GCTTCAATAAGTGTATTTGAATTAACGTGGAAGAATTTACAGTAATCCACTGAATTAATTTAGTTCGTTATCGATTAGATGTATATATACATTGACATACAGAGTTTTCTGATATCAGACAGATGATAGATTCGATTTCATGATGTACTGTTTGTATAACGTTGTAGTAAACCACTACACAATGACGACCTCTAACGAAAAAACCATAAATAATTAATTGTACTTGTACTCGCAATGCCTATAAATGTCTTATTTCATTCTTTGTCTCCAAGATCACGCTTTGTTTCGACTGATGAAACGTGGAACAATGGCTTATTTATTTGTTTACGGATCAAAGCACCTGGGCTACACAATATGTGTGGGAGCGGTCTATAATATTAATAACATACATAAACTGATACAGGTCACATATCACTGGATATAGACAATACACAAAAAACGTTTTTTATATATTGTCTATATATCAATAACTTTTTTCTGTATTTAAATTAAAAATCAAAGGAACTATATATATATATATACATATATAGGTATTATACAAAAATTTTCCTTTACTTATATGGAATTTTAGTTTAATATTTTCAATTGTCCAAACTATTCATGCTTAGTATAATGAATTTTATAATGACAGGGAACGTTTATTAAATTACTTCCCTTACGTTGTTTAGATTTATAACGTCTGACCTGGCAAATAAGCTGAGCGCTCGCCTGATTTAAACTGATGCATCATATTCAACAAACACTACTTACATCACACAGAACTCTGTAACGCGAAAAGTACCACTCATACATTCCTATTTCTAATGACTAAGAAGTCATATATACTCTGTAATGATACTGTCATATAACCAAATTACTTTGAGGGTGATAATAGGAAAAAGAGTTGATATATGCCATACAACATATATGTATATAATCTACTTGAATTTTATTAATACAAATTTATTACTTTAGTGGTAGCATATAGAGTAGGTAGGTACGTGTTAGTATTAAATTAATAATCACGAAGTATCTAAGATATCTGTGGTTAACTCCTGTATAGTTTTATATTTCTTATCTAACCACATATAGTCTTGTTTGTCTGACCAGTGACCACATGACATTGCCTAACAATAGTTCATATTTCTTTCAAAACACGTCCAACTTCTTCTTTTATCATATACCCATAAGTGATCTGATTGCTTCCACGTACTTTTATCATTCTCTTGTGACATACTGGTTACTATAGCGTACACTATTACCATTAACCAAAACAGTAAACATGTTCGTAGAAACAAATATAAACATTGTAAATAGTTATCTACATGAGTACCTCAGCCTCACCTATTTCAGTCATCAAGCTGCTTGCTCTTTATTTTTTTTTATGTTTTGGTTAAATGTTGAGATAAATGCCGTGGAATTAAAGAATATTGATATAATCCAATATTTTACATATTTTCTATAGAATAGGATCACATGCGTGGCGTCACGGGCGTTACATGATGACTCGATGCCCGTGGTGCTGTTCATGTATATGTACAAGCGATAGTTACCACTTGCCTTAGGTTACTTGCGTTACTTACGACCGTCGCGTCGCGTCGGTTTGTTTTCCATACCAATTACATGAAGAAAGGATGGAACTTAGTATCGGACTCTGTCAGAACACCTTCAGCTACTTCTTACTGAAATTTCATAACTAGTATATTTAATACTGTGTGATCTGACTGAATTGTGAAATTGTGTTTTTTATAATATTAAAAATATTAAATCATTGTGTTTCTGTCATGTAGACTGAAACACAATGATTTTATCAATCAAAGAAATTTGAAGTTGTGAACGCCATACATAATAACGAGCGAATAGACAGATAGGGAAATCGTCCCTATCTGTCTATTTATTAGGTTATCACGTCAAAACCTATAAATACCTAGATATTGAATCATATCCCTCTTTGATATTAGATTCTGAATGTTAATGAAGATAACACTGGCATTATAGTAAATCAATAACCACGTGTCTGAACAGTTTCGTAAAGTAGGTCATCATCGTCAATCCAGTGTTATTATTTAGAAGCTAGTAGTTTCTGATCTAGTAGTTCAAATTCAACTATATAAACTTATATCTACTCGTTACTTAATAGTCATAAAATAGTTAATTTTTTAGTAATATTTAGTGTTTTAAATGTTAGTTTTTTTATATTATTGACCACCTTCGTTTATCCACATGGTACAGTCATCAATTAAAACCGGATTGCGTTAGTGACAAAATCGAATAGACAGTAATTCAGCATCTACAGTTGTTTAGTAAGAAATATTCGGTGACAGCCTACGCTCAATAAAATATAAATTACAAGATAATCGTGCCTAGCTCGCATAGATTTTTAATATATTGCATTGCTTAAGAACTGAAGTTTTATTTAACGTTATATTCAATTAAACAATTAAATTAGCTTAAGTGAATTTAATTATACTTAATGAGTGGAAATGCAATGATCTTTAAGCAGTAAATAATGTACCAAAAATTGTAATGTAATTAATATGCATATTTATTTATTTTTATGTTCTATTTGAACAATATAGATCTACTGTATGTATTAAAATACACAAAGAAGTTTCAAATCAGTTTTTCAATTGAAGAGCAGGTGCAATAAGTCGTTACTGATTTAGCAGCAGCTGTTTCGATTTCGTAAAATACATCATAACACAAACCATAATCTGTGTTTCGTTGTTACTAATGTTTAATATTTGAACAAACTATATCTGCATTACCGTGCATATTTACAGCAGGTAGGTACAATGATATAGATCTTTACACTAAATAAACTTTGTATAATACACCTACATGGATTCTTTTTTTTTCAACTATTTCTGGTGAAAAGCAGCATGCTGTGTAAGCTGAATTTCAGTTTCGAAGAGTGAAGATATATCTGTGAAATTAAGAGAATGATTATGTCTTAGTCCTCTGAAATAAAATTCATGAGACGTAATGTCTATGTTATTCATGTATATGGCAATAGTTGCCACTTTCTATCAGACAAGGCATAAATTTTTTGCCATACATAAAAAAGGCTAAGGAGGACAATTGTTAATTGGACTATTTTTTATCTAGACAAAACATAACAGATCTTTTGTATTTCAAGATAGAGAAATAGATTTGATACCTTATTGCAACTTTTTATTTTATTAGCAGAAATACGTACTTTCTTTCCGTTGCGGCCATCAACGGAAACGCAGTCCACGTGACTAACATGAGCGCCGCGTCCGCGTCGGCAGCGTCGGCGCGTACGCACTGCGCACTCAATTCACTGCCCATTGTCTACGCCTTCCATAACTCCGGATATTATGCTACAGCTACCATAGTTTACCATACGTGAGTCGCCGAGCTCCCCTAATATAAGTCTATAGTACTCTTCTATGTTTTATATAGGTGGTCATGTCATTCATTTCTTTAGCATTTCATTTCATTACCTTTTATTCACGCTTTACTTTATAAATCATCATTTTGAATAATTACGAATAATGTAAACTATGTATCCATGAGTATATCTATTTATATTAGTCTGAGTAATATCTATGCATTATATGTAGGTAATTAAAAATAATCAAAAATAAACATCATGAACGTATCGTGACTAGGTACAAGTTTTTCTTAGATTTAACTAAATACCTACCAAATATAGCTTAATAAAAAAAAGAATCCTAATTATATTTATCTATTATGATATTTAGAACCCTATTGCCTGACGTTATTAAACTTATTAATAAAAATAAAATAAATATCACATTTTGAGAATATTTCATTTAGTTTAGAAATTTTATCACCGAATCCAATCGAGTTTACTTTTATGTGTTCATCATAAATTACTGTTGCGTAGAAAAATAACAGGAAATAATAGCATTTCTCTTTTGGTCACAGATGACAGGTATAATTTTAGGGTTCCGATCCAAAAAGGTAAAACGGAATATCTACTTATGGTATGACTTTATCCGCACGTCCGCCCGTCCGTCATAACGCTATAAGTCAGAAACATTTAAATAGCCCTACTAGCTTAAGTAGAGTATGATATGAAAAGAGTTCATTGGTAACTACCAAACTCGATTTTAATTGCTTTATATTTTGCGTAGATTTTAATTTATATATATACATAAGTCTATTGAAAAATGTAAAGGGAAGGATAGAAAATAGATGCTATTAGTTTTTCTAAAATAATTTCTTTTACTAGCGTATCCACTAAATAGATTTTTTAGCCAGAAATACCCTGTTAAAATACCTAAACGCTAAAAATATTAAAATACCTGTAAGCTGTAAATACAGACAAATATCGAATTTTGTAGCCACATTTTAATTACAACAAGAACTACCCTACCTCTACTTAACGACGCTACCTCAAATTTATTTTATGTACGTTATTTCTTATGTATAAAAAAAGTAAGTGGTGCTTATGTAGATATAATAAGTGCGGTATTAAACTTCGTTAGACTAAAGTATATAAAAAAATAGCTAATGTGTATTATTGGTTCTGATCACTCTATCTAACTCTCCAGCTCGCCCTTTACCAGTTTTGTTAAAAAACAATATTATTATAACGTTTTCCTCAAGAACAATTTCCAGTCATTAAATACGTAATACCTACTTCCACAAGGCTGAGTAATAGGCAGATAAGTAGATACCTAGATTGTCAACTTGACTGACGATGATGTATATATACATCAATACACACTGAATATTACTAACTATTATCAGTTTACAGGCTTATAGAAATACATACATACATAGTATAGTAACAACAAGAAACCTTTTACTTACGACCTTCGGCGCCGTGCAAGGCAGTAGTTCTTTGTAGTCTAAAATTTCAACTTAGTTTAGTTTCTTTTTGGACAACTATGACGACCTCGGTGGTCTAGCCGTTAAGCATAGTGAATTATGGTCGGAAGCAATAGTCGTGTGTTCGATCCTCTAACAATAAAATTACTTGTAAACCAAAACAAATCTGTTTTATTGGTTTGGGTATTTTTGTTTTTTATAATATGTCATGTATATCTACTTAATACAGGTATATATTTAAATAGCATATTATACTTAATGTCTAATAAACAAAATAATATTGAAATTGAATTCATTTATTATACAGTAAAAATATCAGTGTTAAAAGCAACTGTTTCAGTCATATTTTACATACAAAATCCACTTATCGAATGCATTATAGATGAATAATTACAAACCCTATAGAAATCATAATAATAAACAGTACAGTAATATCGCATAATGTCACAGCATTTATTTACAAATAATATTGTCAAATAGAATAAATATTTTAGAAAGAGAGCTCACTGGAAGATTAACATAAAATCTGTAATCATATAGGTACTTATTCCTATATGTCAATCATTTTGATTTCTGTATAGTCAATGCTTATTATCTTCCAATATGACTTACTTAATTAAAGATAACAAACAGTACATAGGTAAGTTGCAACGCAATCGATGCAGGATGTTTTATATTGGTAATTCTAAGTAGTTTTAAAGAAAATACTTTTTTTTAATCATTTTAACTACTCAGCTGGATAAAAATGTTGTTCAGTCCTTATAAAGTCGCTCCTAATTGGGATTGTCATAATAACATCACGTATAATTAGTGCCACTAAAGATGATGGCTATGATAATATGGAAGAATACCTTGCCTACTTCGACAGATACAATACTTATATATACTACTTATTTTCAAAATATTTTTTATGGTAATCCAATATTTTCCAAACATTGACTTAAACATAATAGTAAATGCGCACTAAGCCTCACATAAAGCACTTGTATACGTAGTGTCTTAACTAAATATGATATAATAATGAGATACTGGTTGATAAAATATAATTACTTGAATAAATAAGACAAATCTACAAGAATGCGAGAAGAATTCTTTGTGCAAAATGCAGAGATCCAACGCTCGCGCGCATCAGCAAACGAACGTGCCGGGTGGATGCGCTGAATCGAGAGCTCGAGACCGTTACAACGACCACGTCTCAACCGGATGCGGGGGATGCGCCGACTTAAATGCCCCCGACACACGATAAAACCATGCCGACACTCTAATAACCAAGAGAAACTCAAAATTACTCCACCACACACACATCATTACGTACCTAATGTCACATTATGTACGCAATATTTTCCAATCACTATTTAATAATACTTTACATGCGTTCTTACAAACAATAAATTAACAATTTACACTCAATATCACAAATACGCGCGCCAGTAGTTAGGTTATTCTTAAAATGCAGCATTATAATGGCATTTCCGAGCATAGAGCTGTCCATTTTCCACATTATGATCAATAAACGTGGTATCGAAGGTCAATCTTTATCGCGTAGTAATTCTGACTTTGCACTTTTTTCACTGCCATGAAACGAGAAGTTGGGATTATCCTTTTGTTTGTATGCTTTATCTAATTTTGCTGACGGGAGATCATTCTCCTCTACAGCTTCTGATGCAGGTGCAACTGACACTGTGTTTATGTTTTCACCCCGACAAAACTCCTGCAACCAACGCTGTGAATTGTATGAGGGTCCCTCGCCTCCAAGTTCCGCTGGAAGTATATCCAGAGGTAAAGAATCGTGTAATGTGGATAAATTATTTCCATGAAGTATAATTCTCTCCCGCGTCCTTGCTTTAAGGTACGGCTTTATTACGGCAAGAGCCGTTTCAACATACCAGGGTTGCCCAATAAAATGTATACTTTTAAATCTTACAGGCAGGCAATCTTGCAGACAATCGATCATGAGCTTTAATACTTTAGCTTGCAAACTACAGGATTGTTTAAATGTGAATTCAGTCCAGTCAACGATAATCACATATCCGTTGGCCTGATTTTGTACGTCGTTTAGTGTCCGTTCAAGGGTGAGTAATAAGGCTCTGTAAACGGAGAGTAAGGTGCAAGCATGAGGTGTCCAATTGGATGCAAACATAATCAACACACACCGGCCTCGACGGTCTCTCTCTGCTAGTACACCTGGTATTCCATCTCCAAGTGCTCTTAGAACACCGCCATCTGGCGACGCCCATAATTCTGGATGTTCCCGTCGATACTGGTGATAGCGCACAAGTAGCTCGAAACTCTGCTGAACATCATGCTTGCATGCATATAAAAATCTTCTCAAGAAATTGTCATCTTGACACCGGCTTTTGTCGCGAAGAGCTAGATTGAGACTTGAATCAACAGCCTCTTTTAGTCCTGCCAGAGCTCGTTGTCTGTCGCCATCGGTGAGACGTTTTCTGGCTATTTCACATAGTCGCTCGTTCTGCATCTGATGCAGCTTCCAGTCGTACTCTGCATATTCGTTCATGACTAGTGTTTGGTATGAGTCATGCAGCCTTTCACCAGTCTACGGTAAAGTTGCGCGCGCGCCGCCTGGTGCTCGAGGCCGACTGCGCACTGTGTTCACGCCGCACGCCGCCGCCATCGCCATCCGTTCATTAAACCATATAATGCTACGTTCACATTGGTATCACTGCTCGCTCAAGTTGACTCTCATTAATAAATTCTATAGGGCCCTTAACACCTAAATGCTTTATTAAATGCATCCATAAGATTTAAATTACACCTATATCCCTTGGATATACATGTACTTAATCTATATTGCATTTGTAAAGTGTGTATATTATTCATAACTCATTAAGTGATAAGGTTAAAACCTCAGGTATTGATTTAATTAGTAAATTATATATGTGTTAAGTTTATAATACTATATAACATAAATATTGCAATATACATATAATATTAATGTATGCATAATTCTTAATATTTTATCGGATACGCCTTAGAATTGAGTAGGTTTATTAGAGTTCTGACTTAATTGCTCGAGCAAGTCTTTATAACTAAGTTCACCAAACAAACAAAGACTCATGAATGAATTTTGGTTAGTATAAATAAAAGTAACTGGACTTCCGTGATAATCATTAAGAAAGTCAAGTTACTTTTTTTTACGTATATGACGTATACCAAAATATGAATAATAGTTTAGTAATAAAAATATGTATTTGTTTATATTAGTGTACTGGATTATTATCAGCATGTAAATGTAACTGCACCGGCGTGGCGCGCCAGTGTAAACGAGGCAGAATTTACCCAACCCGAACAAGTTATAAATAAAAGAAAAATTGAAGGCTGGCGGTATACCGGTCAATTGGCTGGCTGGTTTCTGCGATGACGTATCCACAGCGAGCAAGCAGGATGCCTAATAAGCAAATGAGTGAGACAGAATTGTACTTTGTATCCATTATCTCTATGAAGCCTTATATGTAACATATAAACGTATGGCCGAAAATCGTATAACGTCCGTGCTTTGTTCACTGTATTGAATAGTTGGTAACCATAACAAGTAATCCTTAACGTCTTAATGAATTAACAACTAGCTACTTGAAAATAATCGCTCTTGCATGCTTAAAGTAAAAAGTTACTCGACAAACTAGATATGTAATATATATAGAAATTGTAGATAATAATTAAAACCAATAAATAAGAAACTTCTTAATAATCAATTTTCAATTGGCCGTTGAAAACTTTTAAAGTTAAAGACATCAACGACTTTAAACAATCTCTACTTTACATGAGGTAAATTGAGATGCTAAATGCATATTTTAATTTTGTATTAAGATAATATTACTTAATTTATCTAACTGTAAGTATAATATACAGTTATATTATAATGAAACTGTAACACTATACAAGTCTTAATTAGAGAGAAGACCAAGAGACCCAACTGATTACAATATTCTTTTGTTGTAAGTCTGTTTACTGCAGGTACTTTACATTCCTAGAAATGTTTGCCGATAATTGATGTCGGTACAATTACATTAAGGTCGATGACTTTTAAAAAAAGTGAACCGTGTTGGTGCATCGTATGGTCGTTGGCCCCATGCAGTGACTAGGCTGAACGCTGACGCGCTCTAATGTAAAAATAGACTTGTCTGTCCCCACAGGAACCTATTCTCTAGGTTTACTACGTTCATTTTATATCAAAAGTAAATACGATTATAGCAAGATATTATAAGTTAAGTTAAACCAAGCTTTATAGCTTGTGAATAAGGTTATTTTTATTAATTTATAATAATTAAAAGAGTTATAAGGTCTCGTCAAATATTAAAGTCTATATACATATTAAATAATTATTATTTGTGAAAATCAATTGTGCATACAATTAACTATGTGTACTAACTATATCTAAATAAATTTTATGTAAATATAATTTTCAGACCTTTTGTTGTACTTTCTAAATAATGCATAACATCGACCGAAATATATATAATCCATGCACGCCTTTTTATACTGATATACTTGTATATGATGATAACACGTTTGATAAACAATCGATCAACGTAATCAGATATGTCAGAATAAAGAGACGTTATCGTATTCCTTACAAAATTGTATGTATATATACTATAAGTACCTATACATGTATATAGTAGTACTATACCACTAACTAGGAAGTTTTCCAAGACAAACGAAAACGAAAGTGATATTCTGATGATTATTTTATATTTTACTGTTTTCATGACTTTAGATTGAGTCTGTACATTAATTGGTACCTAATGCTATCTAGATTTTATCTTAGAATTTTGAGGTTATTTAAGTAATGTTCTTTAGTTACATTTGTTCGAAAACTGACTCTATAAAATATGCACTCAACTCCCAGCAGATAGGCAAATATTATTTACTCCTAATATGTATAAGTCAAAGAAAAAGTCAGGACGGAGCACTAATTACAGCATAAGCCACTGTTCAACAAATGAGTAAGAAAAGTATAGTTATTTTTTATAATTTATATTATTACTAATATAAATGCGAAAGTGTGTCGGTCTGTCTCTTTGTGACTCTTTGTTCCACTATTGAACGGATCTTAATGAATTTTGACATGAAGATCTAAAATTACAATAGTCTCAAAAATCTAGAATGAATAGAAAACTCCGACGACTTTCAGACCATATCACGGGTAAGAGCAAGTAATTTATATTTCATATGCCGTAAAGAAACAATCCTGTGTATACTCTCACTGTTTTAAATAATTAAATAAATATCGACTTTGTAAATTTTTTCATATAGGTACAATGGTATTAGAATAATTTAATTCCTCTTTTCAATAAGAAGATAAAAAGGTTTTATTTTACAAATAATATAATAATGATGTTTTCGTGCTCCTACATATGTTAATGGCAAGTACAAGCAGAGCATGAAAGGCAATTAATTTATCAGGTACTAACAAAAATTGTAACCAAACGGTATCTACTAAGTGGTAGTTGATCAGACAGAATTACCTTTCAAACCAACAATCCCTTTAGCCACAATCTCCTCTTCATTGTTTATTTAATGTAAATATGCGCAAACTGTACCTACGTGAAATAGAATTTAACATTCTGCTATGTATGCGGTACGCTATAGAAGAAAATGTTAAAACTAAATAATTACATTAGATTTTCAAGGTCAAATTTCCACAGATACCTACACTATGACTAATACTATGGAAACTAATTTAATTATCAGTCATTTTAAAACATTTGGACCAAAAGAATTTCATTCTACTCTAATATACCTACTCGTAGATTTTAACACAATCTATTACCAAATCTTGGTGTGAATAAGATGTCGTGATAAAATATTTTTATGTATCTCAATAAATAACAATTGTCACCAATGGAGAAATACATATACCAGAATACATTCCTATGTACATATATATAATAGGAAAAAGAGAATTTTATTTATTTACTATTATTGTAAGTTGATGTTGATTATGACAATAATATATCAGATATTCCAAACCTCACTTCATCTCAACAATTAACCTCCTTCTGCAAAAGAGTCACGCTATCTAAAGTCTTTATAGTTTTCGGTTTACATTATACCAACTGCCTACTTAATATTATAGAATATATATCACTTTCTGTATCCCAATATTAATTTATATGATAAACAATCTCATACCTGAATAAATTATATTTACTTGACATCAATAGAAATGACCAAAATAGTTATATAACACGATCTAAAAAAAATACGTATTTACTTTTGTGACTACAATGAATTTTAAACATTAAGTACCATATAATATCTGCAGGTTTCAAGGTAACTTACGTTTGTAATGTTATTGTAATGTTAAAATCTCAAGGTCAATATGTATTCTAAAACGTAGTTAACTCGTAATCTATAGTTTCATAGTATAAATCTATGTTATGAAAACAACTACACTAGGTAACTTCGCAATGATAATCACGATATACTCGTAATATATGGACTCTTATGGACGATAATGAAATGTTGCACCCACCTGTGCTAACGGTTTACACTGGCGAGGCACCAGTGAAGAATGATAAGATGAACATGAGGTCAGATCAGGTAGCCCATCGTGGTAAATTCATCATGAAATTTATCGTGATGGTTTCAAAGGGGGCCCATATAGAGGTCAACCTGACATGGTACACTGCTAGCAATGGGGTTATTAGTCCACAACAAACAACAGTCACTACTAACAATCCCCTACCCCCCTGTGTATATGGTTCTGACCTGTATTTTTGAATATATGTATTTAATTCAATTCAAAATTCCACATATGTTCTTTAGGCATTGAAAAGGCAAACAAATCGAGGGTCCATATCTGATTTTAAATAGTAAGCATAAGCATAGTTAAGACAGATGGTGACATCAGTCATTAAGACATTATGAATATCATAATAGATGATATAAGACATTTATAAATGTTATCACCTTATGCTCTATACTTGACCATAGTACCCAATAATTTTACTACCAATTGTATAGTAACTATAACACAAACACTGCCTAACTTGGGACTAGGTTAGGTTAGGCTACGGTTAGCTAAGCTACTCTATTTCGTTATCTACTAAGATAATCATATCCTGAAATAAACTTCAAGATTATCTAATAATAAATGTTTTCCAATTTCTCTATACACCTATTTAGGTGTGAGACATTTAAACCTTTCAGATTTCGTTTCATAGAAGATTTTAGAGCTTATTAGAGCTAAACAGTCATGCAATTTTAAATTAGAATGTAGGACATGTAGTTAGAATGTTAATAACTTCGTAATTATTTACATACACTTACTGACCTAGATATTTAAATCCCTGTCCATAACAAAGTGTACAGATACTTTATTCATTTACCGAACAGAGGGTAATCTGTATTCCTTTGACAATCTCTACATTATATGGTCAGAATTCAATATCATCTTTGATTAGAAATATAAATAATTATTGATTCTATACCTATACAGCTGCATGCAAATGTGCCATACCTCCCGTGAAATCGGGAGAGAGTAGGCCTACTGGAGCGCAAAAAGTAGATAATTAGATGTTGTCTTGGCGTAAATAAATATTCTCGATCCAAACTGAAGGGGAAATAAAAAAATAAGCTTAAATTTTTACTAATACAATTGTATTAGCTACATATTATTGTAATATTAGAATACCTTCACTATATTTATTTAATGTGGAGACAAAGGAAACAGTAATTTGATGTAATAATAATCTATTCCTAAATAAATATTTTGCAGTTACTTGAAAATAATATATCTTGGCGATTTAGTAACCCGAATTAGAAAAACCTAAAGGAAAATTTATTGCCATTCATGAGAGTTATATAAATCAGAAATAAAAAAATTGTACATACCTATTATTAGTAATAGCACAGATAACATAATAGAAATAGTAATAGTCTCTTGACTTATATGTACTTTGAGAAACAATGATTATACTCAGTTAATTTCATCACTATAATTAAAATCAATAAAATGGAAACATATTCAGTTTGAAAGTCGCAAGCATTGAATCTTTTGTCGACCTTGTTGGTTTGGTAGTGATCGTTTCACGTACTGCCTCACCTTCGGAAGATTCGGTCGCGGTAGCGAGTTCAATTCTCTTCAATACAAACATATGTATATATGTATTGTACATTCGTGAGTGAGTTTGTTGGTATTCGTCTAGGCGTTGTTTCTATACACCATATAAATATGTACATATTTAAGTACATATATCATTTGTCTACGGCTCTTGTTCCATATTACACTACTTAGTATGACACTAAAAGGCACTGTGGGTTAGTTCATAGGTAGACTAAACTATATACCCACATATAAATTTTAATAATACATAAAGTTCTCGTGTAGCGGTGTTTGTTACCAAACTCCTCCGAAACGGCTTCACCGATTTTTATAAAATTTTGTGTCCATATTGGGTAGGTCTAAGAAATAAGGGTGAACCACCCATGCATAACTAGTAAACTATATAATTATTTTTACTATACCTAATAGTATTGAAAATTCATAGTTTAGATAAAACAAATTTGTATGTAGGAGTGGTGGTATGTGTATGTGTTACCTATTTGTCTCAATAATCAGCATCACGTACTTCTGATAAGAATAATAAGGTTTTTATTTTCAGAAAGCATAATGATGTGCTATTGTCAGTAAGTGCAGTATATTCTACGAAGCACATAATAATCATGATTAGTCCTCTAATCAGACCGTAAGCTTGATTACTACTCCTCATCTAGATAAAAATAGCGCTAAATGTTTAACATTAGGCAACTACCTACACATTGTTGTATAAAGATTATTTACACTTACAATTACTAGATCTGTTGATAAATAAGTCACGACTCCATCATGAATCTAGGTTCGTTCGTTATCTATACATCGAATGTGGTACAATTCACCTCGGATTATACCTAGATCTGTCCATCTGTCCACACACCTACATTGAATTGGTTGCCAGTGCACTTAAAGTGATCTTAATAGCATTGCTCCAACACAATCAAATACTTACATCATACATACATGTTTGAATATAGTAGGTATACAATTTTGTAATAAAATTTAGCACAATTAAAGTTTATGTAAAAAAAAAGCTCAGAAAGCTAATATATTTTTTTATAATAAGAAGGCAAAAATACAACGGCCTTGTTGATCTAGAGGTTTAACATACTGCCTTACTTCCAATGATCGTTGATTCAATTCCTCGTACGATGCTAAAAACTATTTACATGAACTTGTTTGTTCTGGGTGTTTTTGTATAATTTATATATTTACAAAAAACTATATATTTATGTATTTCATCAGTTCTTTAGTATCCCTATCCACAGACTCTGCTTATTTGTGACTAGATGACGCTATGTGAATTGACGCTGAGCATCACTAGTATCTCTATATATCTATTATTTAATATCTACATATGATCTACATATATTTTTATATTATTAACGTATATTTTGCATGGTAATAGCGACCATATTTAGCGACGTAAAGTTTATAATGTGGGGTATACTTAATTTTAAACGGGGATTAATATAAGTAATTAGACGTAATAGACTCGCATGACATTGTATTGTAATTGCTTTTATTTAAAAGTTCCGTATTCAACTATTTCAGCAACGGATCAGTTGTAGTCACATGTGATGTCCGTGCTTATGCTCATGTGTGGAGGTGACAGTTACCACTTACCATCATGATCCCTAAAAACTTGTTTGCATTCCAATTGCAAGAAAAAATAGAGAACAACAAATGAGAATCGTTAAAATTATTAGGAGAATTGAGGCTCCGAATAGAGACGCTCCTTTGCGTTAGATACTTAGAACAAAATCATTTAAATATCATAAAGAGCACGTAACCGTGGCACAGGAAGTGTGTTAATTAGCCAGAGCAATACGTAACTATAATTGCATTTGAATTACAGTGAATGCTTCAAGGTAATAAATACATAATGAAGTAAGTATATAAAAATAAGGCCGTGAAATGTGAATAAAAATATGATAAATCATGTTATTCCTGAACAAATAAACGTTATTGCACACAATTATTAGCCTAAATTCCTTTGTGTAAAATAAGTATTCTCAGCAAGTGCAATTTTCCGATAATAAATGTAAGGAAAACGTAAAAGAGAACGTAACGCAACCGTCTCTGCGCATTGCACTCGTGAAACATGTTTTCATCGTTATCAGAGTATGTCGTAATAATTATTGTTCGCGAAACTAAATATCTACCTGTTTCACCGAAGACGAACATCAGCACATATGTAGTTGAATACTATAAATTGAGAAAGAAATACATATATGTACATATTTGAGGGTACCTTTGAACATTGAACATTGAACCTTCCATGCGTCTTTCCTTAGGTACCTCTGACTGACAGACTTATAACAGGTAGAAATGGTTTAGAATTCGTACATAGAGAGGCGGTCGTAATCTTTGGACGGTAATAAGGTCAATCTAAATAATAAAACTCTTTGACTAATTAGTCTGCAATCTCATATAAAAAAAAATCCGTTTAGAGACATCGCGTGGCAAAATATACAGACGAATGGAGAAACTCCTTTTAATACCTGCGTGTGTCCTGTTTTTTGTTTGAAAGACGAGATAAGGCAGTAAAATTAGAGGATAAGAGGCCTAATATCTACGTTTGAGCGGTATCACAGGTGCTACATGCTATCGTGATGTTTATACCTACTACTGTTCATGTAGATATATGGGTGACAGTTACCACTTAGGACTTCAGCTTGTTTGCCCTTCTAATTACTTAAAAAATTACTGATAATGCTCACTGTTGTTCTACTGAAAATTACTAAACACGTAATTTTATAGTATTGCTATATAATACACCAGGTGGCGTATTGTACCTGATTTACGAGTTTCGGCAATGCTCTGTAGCTACTTATCACGGTGAAAAAATTATGTTATCGCTATTGTTCTCTGATTTGCTCAGATCCGTACTTACTGGTATTATGCAATTCGCTAGATGGTGGCATAACGTCGAGTACCTCGACAATGGAGTACACTTGCTAAAAGCAATTTGGTAGTTGCGTTGACGTGGCCACAGCGAGGCGCTACCAGCCTCAGCAACGACCAACATACCGTGAACAAACATTGACCAAGCACGCAGCCAACGCTCTGCGCTCCGACAACTTGCCGCAACATTCCTAGCGTAAAAGTTAACGTGAATGGTTTACTCTATGTAATTTGCGATGTTTAAGTTGATATTTCCAAGTTTTCCCTTGGAACAACATTGTGCGAACGACTGTATTATTTCGAATTACGAATGTGTTAAATACGTGTATCACTGATGTATCGGCGATGTTCTCACTGAGCGCGATGGATATTGGAAAATTCGTACTTGTTACAATTAGTAAGTAATCACCTATTAATTTTACTTTCGAATGTTTTTAGCATTGATTTTCCTTTGACACGTAACGTTTGATTTTAAGTTGGCATGTACATTGTTTAATTCTAACAATGTGTAGACAGAAATTATTGTTATTAATTATGATATGATTAAAAATAAACTAAAAACTTCGGCTAAATGGAGCTTCGTTGTTGTTGCCTAGTTATGTTGGCATAATTGTCGCCATCGAAAAACCCGGTAATGAAAATCCTACACAACGAATTTTATCAAACATAAACACTATTGAGATTAAGTATAGCAACAAAAAGATTTGGACCATTAAAATAAATATTTAATTTAGACTAGCACGTTACAGTAGTAACGTGCTAGTCTAAATCCTGGTGTTAAAGTAACTATTATGACAACTGCTTACCACTAAAATTACGGTGGCCTCAGCCAAGACCCGGACCCTTATCGGAGCCCTCATACTAAAATCCTAATCTCCAGGTAGGCTTCAGCTACTCCATAAATTTTTCCGCTGGATTTATAGTAGGTACATTCTGCATGTCTTCATTATAAGCTGTAAACCGCAATAGTATTAAAATAAATGGAATAAAATAACATAACATCAAACAAATCCATATTCCAAACCTGTAGGATGACGCGCCGTTTATAAATAGACGACATCGTGGACATATTACATATGGTAATATGTATAAATAAATAAATAAATAAATATGGTAACTTTTGTTTAATCTACAAATAAAACGCACATTTAATTTCAACAGTTTCTTTTAATTAATCTGTAGTGTAATTAATTCTTTTTTTAGATTAAATAGAGACAATAATCATTAAAGTAATCTGCCTGCGTATAAATATTGTTTATTATTTTTATTGTGATGAGACATGAGAGAATGAGCTGTAGATTAAAAAAAAATTGTTGACTATTCAAAAGTGCTTAAATTAAGTTTATTTTGAATAAATTATTTTCTATTATATTAATTACAGTTAATATTAATATATTGATAAAGACAAATGTAAATATTACAGAAAAAAATAGAATGATCAATGATTTTTTTACACATCAACTTAACCCTTTCACAAATAGCTATGCGGTACGATTTCAATGCCATAGTTGGTCTATACCAAGAAATATCTAGCATTTATTTCTTATAAGTAAATACTTATACCATATATAATTTAAGGACTGAATTAGAAAAACAATGATGCTATATGAATAAAACTATATATTTTTTATTTAACCGGGTCTTAAAATAGCCGAAACAAGTTATGTTTATTGTTATTAAATGTAATAGTACATTTTTATTGGATAAAATTTATTATTCACAATATTTAATGTGCTGTTTCTTCGGGATTAAACTGATTTTCCATCCTAAATAACTGGTAAAAATAAAGCACCAATATAATAATAAAATATAAAGATTATTAATCTTGCTGTTCTATTAATTCTTCTGATTGTTGACTAGACAAATACGCTAGTAAATATTAGTTGCAAAATGCTATAGTTCCCAGACTGAATACCTATAGGTAATATGATAATGCAATGTTAGTCAGGCCCAGTTGCGCAACTCAGCCATGTTGTAAGAAATCGTCTAAGCGAACAACGTTATACCGACTATTTATAATGAGTCTAAATTATAGACGCTTTATATTTATACTTCATTCAAAATCACTTAATTGTTTATAAAAGATTGTGAAATGAAGTTCCTGCTTGCGTTTACGATATAGATACGCCAGCATGCGACTGGTTAAAGATGATAGGATGTGTTTGAAGGATTGATTGTTATGATGTGTAGGATGACTAGGTTACGCGAAAAGTGGCAAATTTACCAAGAATTGACTAAAGGTTGAGAACCTCTATAATTACCACGATAACTTGCTGAAGGTATTACGTGGAAGTAGAGTGGGTACCCTGATGTCTGACGTTGCTAGAAGTCCGGCCGCCGCCGTTAGCAGCATTGCAAGTACCTCATGTTATTACTATTTTGATTTGTAAGCTTTTATATCTTATTTGTTTCATTGCGACATGTTATATACGTATACGTAACACGTGCTCTTTCTTCTATTTTTAAATGATTTACTGTTGACAATATGCTACTAAATACAAATAAATTTACGCTTTCCGCTGTAAAAATGAAAATCATTTAAGTTTTGATATGACTTCAGAATCTACCTGAGATTCTGAAATCATATGATGAAAAATCATATTAAAACTTAAATGATATTCATCTCCAAGATACAATGATATTACTGTATTAATATTATATTTTAAACACTAATAGTCATATATGTGTTTAATGTCTATATTCAATAAATAGAAAATTACAATAACATGTTACAATTACAAAAGTGAAGACTAAAATTAATAGATACGTACCTCACGTGTCTATTAATTTTGGACTTCACTTTGTCTGTATAAGCATAGTTTCTTTGCCTTTTATTCAATGCATTGATACAATACAGATACAGATAATCTTCAATTTTATTATCTGTATCTTGTACTGTCTATAGGAATTGACCGGATTGATATTCTACGTAAAGAATCGATTGTTTTAGCATAATGACCATTGAAAATAACTCGATTTTATATAATGTTTTTGATTTTATTACATTTTTTTGACAGCTGGGTCTTGATTTTTTGACATACAACCAACATGCAGACCTTATTTTTTTTGTACACATTATTTGAATTTAATAAAATCAATTTTCGTTCGAAAAATAATCGATTTATTCCATAATGGTATTTTACACGTACCTATCTGTTTCAATTCCAATTGCGAAATACAATGTAAACATATGTTACCTACTTTTAATTTATTATTTTTCATAGTACGCTACGTTCATGTAAACAATTGAAGAAAATGAATAAAAATTATAATAGAAGAGTGCCAGAGTTTCATGATGAACATTGCTGCACGGGGAATGTTGCCGGCAACTTCCGGCGCACATCTTCACTGCGACTGCGCGGTGAAAAGATGGTGCAGCGCTCGCCTCTTTCCACGAGAAAATTAATTCCTGTAATCACGGAGAACGGTCATGAAAAAACCCGAAGCGATGGAGCTCGACTCATGGAGCCGGGCCATCGCCAGAGAAGCCATGTAAGTTTCACTATTTGCACGTCAGTTTCTCTCGCTTTTGTCACTTAATAACCATATGATCAAACAGTACTACAGCAGCATAATTATTATGACAGCACAATTTTACTATTAATGTGAATTAATTTTAATGTGCTCTTGTAAATCAGTAAATTTTATTAACGTAGGTAATACCTCTATTTATTATATTAGATATCATGTTAAGAATATCATAACTTTACTTTGCCTATATGGTACACACAAAATACATTACTATAAAAAGTGATATGAAATGCGCACAAAAGGTTCTTCCTGCAAAGCAATAAATGGATGATAATTTCAAGTTATATCTCAAATATATATATATGGATGTAATAAACATTTCATCAATGTGTAATTGCATAAAATGTGAAAAATAATTTTATTTAAATTTTTATTAAGTCTCCTAATACTTTCTAATGAAGTTAAGTAAGGTAAAGCAAGGGAAAATATAGAGAAGCCTATATTTGTTTACATTCTATCATCAGCCTTCCTACATAAACTATATTATTATAAATTCACTAGTTACAAAAATTATAATAGGTTGTAAATTTTTTATCTCTTACATAGAATTTTTCTTTGCAGTCATTCAGTTCAAATGCCCAGCACAAATCAAGAAAATCCTGTTTGAAACCACCTGACAGCTATGTTGATGGCAAACTGGATATGACTGATTCTGCCCATACTCCACCTGGATCCCCTGAGGATTTACCTGATGATGACTCTCTCCATAGTTATGGTAGTGCTGCCACCGCAGCTTCTGTTGATGCGGGCTATGCCCCTTTCAATGGAACTACTTTCAGCGGCCGTTCCATGCGATATGTCCTACATTGTTCCTCTCATGCAGGTCTAGCAGGTGATGAATACCTAACACCAACACAACGTGCCCAAAAACAAATCCGTCGCCTTAAAGGCCTACTCAGCCATGCTAAAAAAGACTTAGAAAAAAAAGACAGTGAGATATTTCAACTCACAAAAGAAGTAGTTGAACTTCGCCTTTACAAAACATCAATTTGTTCACCAGATGAAAAATCAAACTCCAGTGAAATTGTGACCATTAGAGAAAATGCAGATGATATTTGTACAGAGCAAGAAAGCTTAAAACATGACGAAGCTTGTAGTAGTTTTGATGTGACAGATAGTCCTCTGTTCAAAGATCAAACTCCAACTCGCTGTCGAAATGATATGCAAGGCTCATTTACGGATTCAGGCCACTTTGATGATCTCACAAACTCTTCTTTGCACTCTAAAGAATCAGTTCATATGTTAACAAATGAGGCAGCTTGCATGACTGAAGAAGATTCAGAGGAGGAGCGACGTAGCCTAATATCTTTTTATGAAAAGAAGGTTGAAGATGTGATGAGAGCACATGTGGGAGAAACGCAGGAACTAAAAAAAGCTCACAATGACAAGGTGGAAGCTTTGCTGCAGAAGTTGGCTGATGTGAACACACGCTACTGTGAATTACTACCAAACTATGAACAAGCTAAAGAACGGATCCATTCCCTAGAGAAACAACTAGAAGAAGCAAGCAAACAGTTGCAAGAAGAAGAACATAGACATCGCTCCATGTACTTGCAAATGTATAACAAAGGAGTGGAAGCTGCTAAGTTTGAATTAGAGAAGGTAGTGTACCCTATTTTGTTTTATTTGACTGAAATGGCAAGCAATTTTTCTGCTAACAGAAAATGCTAATTGTTCCTTTTTACATCAACAGCACTGCATTTTCTAAAAAAAATATCAAAACCTTAATCAAATATGCCTTGGCATAGTAATGAAATGTTATGCCAATTGACAACACGTCCTGCAAAGCGAGCAAGTCATTTCATTTAGTATAATTTTTATTTCTAACAGCTGCTGACGATTCATTCACAGATGCTTTTGATTATTAGTATACCATGCAATTTGAATAGTTTCTTATTTTATGCATGAACTATAGTATTTGATAGTTACAGATACACACAGGGTTGTACAGTACGAAACTGTCCTCTTTTACTTTATCATGTGCCTTTAGTTGAAATAAAACTAAATATAATTTTATTAATAGTAAGTGCATAATTTTATTCCAATCTTCTAGGAAGGTGAGGCAGGTACTTCACAAGTGAGCAGAGTGTCTGTTGAAGAACTACTTGAACAGCTGCAGATTACCCAGACTGAGCTCGAAAATGTCCGAGTAAGTATAGATAATATTAACTTCGCTTTATTTTAACTTATCTGCGAAACAATAGTCTGTTTACATTGAACACTCATCCTTGACAACAGTTGTGTAACCTTTGTAATGCATAATTTACGCGTAAAATAATAAAAGTGTAGGTGTAATAATGTTTATTCTTTCATTACATTACGGAAAAATGCAGAAACAGTTATGGTATTGAAAAGCATTGAAAACCTTTTCTAGTCGTAATAGATACGCATGATAAAGACTTTAAATATTCAAAGTTATTCAAGAAAGTGTTTAATGCACACATTAATTATTAATTATTATTTTTTCCATTATAGTACTCCAGTAGCATTACAAATGTTTACAAATTGTCCATGTAATTTCATTCATCAATATCATTTATAACTATCTTATAGTTACATCTATTCTTGCCATATAATTATTGCTAACATTTTCTATTGAAGCTAATACCGTCGCCCATGAAGTGAGAACGGAGCTAGAAAAATAATTCTTAAAAATTATGAATAATTAACCGCATCACATTGTAACATGAAAGTTTGTGTGCATGTAGTGGCAATTAACAGGATCGAGCTTTAATGTGTAGTGCATTGCAGGACACGGCATTCACAGCGGACCGAACGGCAAAGTCACAAGTACTTCTAAGTGCAAAGGAGGCTGTTTCTTTGTGGGTCCTAGGAGCTCGAAAGGTTGGATCTTTTACCGGACAGCAGCGTTCACTGTTGACCATTCTCGTGTTTTTTTTTACATTTTGCTTTAGCACAAAGGTTTTGAGAAAGTCTTGCTAAAGTTTATGTTTTCATGTTTCTTATTTTTATATATTTATTCAAGGTGGAACTCTTTTTTAAGGTGTGGGTGGTCATCGTAAAACCATAAGTACTCATTTTATGAGAATTGTACATTGTTTTAATGTGCAAATTGTACTCGAAAAGTTTGATTAAATTGTAGCTGGTAAATTCTTGATTCCTGCTGCTATTTATAGTTCTGTTTATTGTTGTACTTATTATAGTTGTATTATAAAGTGGCATTGTAAATTACAAAATGCAAAGCAATATAAATACCCTACTCCTACTAAATATACTAACATCATCCTAATATATGATTAGCAATATTTACTCCTAACACATGTAGTTAATTTATATTTATTTTTTCCTGCCTAACACAAGCTTTGCATGATATGCCGCTGAAACAGCCTCTTTTGGTTTTATTTGTAACATAATAGGTAAAAGGTATACAGTTATTATATTTAAAATAGTATTACTAGTAGTCATTATTTTTTTAAATAGACTGCATACTATGTCGCTATGTACAATGATCAAGACTTTGAATGATTTTTTATTATTAAATTTCGATATTTTATAGCATTATATATACATTTCTTTGCACGAACGATGCAGGTATATTTAATAAATAATAATGGATTAAAAATGACATGAACGAATGAAAATGTATGTGTAATGAAAAAAATATTTGTTGTAAAAATTACGACAGTGTATTGTTATTTCTAGAATTTGTATAAAAAAAGGATAATTTTATTTTTTACATTTAGTTTTAATTATTATTATTGATGTAGTTTTTTTTATTTTAATGCCCTGTTAACTAATTAATGCATGCACTACAAAATATAACTGTAAACCAATTGTCAAGCATAGATATTTTATTTTACAGGCAATGTATCGTCGCATCGTAGAGTCGCAGAAAGGTAGCAAGACCAATGTGGATCCTGAGGTGACTTTGCAGTTCTTGAAATCAGCTATTTATTATTTCCTCACTGATCCGGAAAACCACCAGGGTCATCTGAATGCTATAGAGAACATTCTAGGGTTCACTGATTCTGAAAAAAAGAACATACACAAGGCGAGAGCTACATGAAGACTGCTGTGAACGTGTGATATGTCCATAGATTATTTCTGTTGCTACTTAGATAGGTTTTAATAGTTGCATGTTGTTGAATATGGAACCTAATTACATAAGTCCTAATTTTAGAACATATGCACATGACCATGCATTATCTTTAAGGAACTCTGATTTTAGTATAATTCGCACGTAAAATACACTTTATTTGTGGTGGTTGTTATCTCTCAATCTTCTTTTTTGTTTTATATCGAATTTATTTTTTAAATAAGTTTTGTGATTTCTGTTTAGTTCTTAAGGCCAAAGAATTAATTTCCTTTTTGTGCAATTTTACATTAGTTATAAGGTAAAAAGTACAGTGAAACAACTACATTCCATGTACATCTTTAAGTAGCATAAGTGTTGAATATTATAATTTTATTGTATTTGTGGTGTTGTTTTTAGACTTGTTATTTTTTTTTTTGCATGCTGGTCATTTTATTTAAATTATTAAATCAAGATGATTGGTAAAAATGTCACTATAAATCTAAAGGTGAATTTTATACACGAGTAAGCGAAAGTTTACAACGGGATTTGTTGTGTTGTATTATTTCTGGATACTTATTAAATTGATACTATGATTTACTATATGCAAATTAATACATGCCTTTGGCAATTTTGTTGATTAAAAAACTCTGTGAGGCATATAATTTTCAATCCAACTACACAATCTTTGTAACTATGCCTCCTATACCAAAATCATACATGCACTACATGGGAACACTGTGCGATGATATGACAATAGTCTTAAGGGGAAACCTAAGCCTGTATTTAAATATCACACGTGATATATTTAGCATTATTTGCATAATATCTAATAATTTTACTTTATATGAATTTTCCTACTACCTAACAAAAAATTACTTAATAATTATCCAGAATTTGTACAATAACTAACTTTTAGTTCCTATTATGGTAATTAGTTCAATACATTATAAGATTTACCTTCAGAATTTAATATTAGATGTAAGATTGTGTCTTGCCACGTTTAACTTGTCTGTGATTGAAGATAAAGTACTCTAACGATTTGCATAGTAGATTTTTAATTTTCAGTTTAAATTTATTTATCGTCAGTCTCCATAATAAACCATAATTTTTATTGTATCACAATTTGATTTTTGCTAAAAATGTTGACTTGTCTTTAGTTACTTGGACTACTTGATATGTACATACTAATTTATTTATACACTGTTTAGCATATCTTGTATTGCATTTTTTTACTATCTTTAAGTTATACATACATACATACATACACTTGTTATTATTATAATATAAACTTACGTCTCAGATTAGACTACTGAAAACAAAGAACCTGCTTATGTTTCGAGATGTAGGTATCATATTTCATATGATTAACATCATCTTTGGTTCACACTTATAAATTTTATTTTTGTTATGTATATAGTATGTTGGACCGACCTGCAGAGATGCAACCGCCTAAAACAATAGAAATATTCAATAACCAAAAACTCACTTTTTTGCATAGATCAAATTATGAATACAATTTTTTAGCTTAGTGCACCATTGTTCTACTAAACTTCTACATCTACACTAAATGGAGCATTCTACGTTAATATTTATCGTATGGTGTTCAGATAGACTGCAAGATTCCCGTACCTGTATCTTACTGTTATCTTCTATAATGCACGTACATTATTTAAGATTAGAACGGAACAGTAATGTCCGGCAGCTTTAAATCTCATGTATATTTAGCAAAAACACCTATGAGCCAAAACTAAAAGCAGTATTTATCATAGATAAAGTAAAACTTTATTAAGAAACAATATTAGCTCTCTGTTTGATTTTTTCAAGAGATCTGAGAACAAGAACTGCGTATTTTATCATGCTGGATGTACATTCTCCTAATTCTTATTTCGACTGTATTGTACATTTACATAGTATCTTATGTACAACTTTCATATATTTACCAAAAGATACGAACTACTTAAAAATTATTCCGTGACATAAATTCATTTTGTTATCATTAAATTATGAAACATGATTTTTATTGTTTGAATTTAAACTTTCCATATAAAAGTTAAGATTATCCATCGGAAATGTATATAGTTTTCATATTCTTGACTTACACCAAGGGTCTAACGCTAGAAAGTGAAATAACGTAAGAAAGAAGAAATGAAAAGTCGTGTTTGTTCTTTATCGTATTTTATTATGTAAAAAGTCATTTAAAATAAAGTAAATTACTGGTAGAAAACATACATATCCGTAAAAACTCCATAATAGTAATTAAAGCTAACAGACTTACGAATTATAAAATGCAACTCGAGTCTTTCTGCACTGATAACATTGCAGCATATTTATGCTGACTTTATAATTAACGCTACTTAGTACAATAATAATATAGCAAACTATTTTATTGCAATATCAAAATATCTATCGATTTCATCATAAATAGCCTCGGTACTCTTTCTTACTTACACAACAATGTAAATAAACATCACAACCGTGCCTTGTACGCTTTGATTATTGTGCCAGATGATAAGCTCTAAAAGTATCGTACTTATATCACAAAGTACTCGCGCTTCGATTGTAAAAATTAAATTTGCATTGCATTTTGATATATCTTACAACTAAATACTAATACAACTTACAGAGTAACAAACTATCAGTTCTGATTTGCCGCTGTCTTTCACCATGCTACTATTTATGGCACAATTATAATTATGAGGTTACAGATAATATCACAAAAATATCATTTGAGATTGTCATGAATGTTGCATGCGCACATGGACTTTCAAAATAAGATATATTCACTTAAACAGAGATTCCATTCAGTCTTTTAATTACATAACAATGATTCACACCACAAGCAGTTTTTCACATATCCGATAACCCTAGATTCTCATTATTAAGACTTGGATAAATCCTAATTTGAACTTTACACTTACGGGCTAAAAAGTTAAATAAATAATTTCCATAAAAGTATATTCCTTCATTCCATAAATGTCATTTATGGTATATCGAGTTCTCGTACACTGGGTTCTTATATACTTAAAAATATTACATATAAAAGAATGATTAAATGGTGAGTGAACTTCATTTTTAGTCAGATTTAAGAATGTGTTAAGCGACAATTTATATATAGGTCTGTCCAAATTAGCACTGATCTTTACTACTTTACTGACTAGCACTTTGAATAGAATGCATGGTGCTATTGTCAACAATGCATAACAAAATACAGTCGCAAGTATAGACGTAATTTTTTACGAGAACGAATTTATTCCTGAATAAGTCAATCAAAACTGAATTTCACTTCCTCACGAGACCGATCATTATTTGCTGCAACAGCTTGGAGCCAACAACGACTTAGTTGACTTTCAATGGACGGCGTGCTTTCTTTACGTACATTTGCCGCTCGGGCTTTACGTTTAGCCTTAGTGTGCTTTGTTCGTCGTCTGCCCACTTTCGTCTTCATTTCAGCAATTTTTACTGATAGTTGACTATCTAGTGAATTACGACGCGATTCAACAGAGACATGACGAAGGCTAATACTTATTTGAGAGTCTTGCGAATTACGACGATCCGGGGTAGAACTCAACGAGTGATGAGTGTGCGTAGGCAAAACGAGAGCGTCGCGCCTACGCACAAATCTTGGAAGATTCGCAGCCCACGATGACGATAAATCGGCACTATAAAGAAAAACAAATGATTAAAATAATTACTATCATGATAATGCTAATACACCAATGACGAATGGTACACACGTATCATCAGAGAATCATCTTAAATATGCATCAACATGATCCCAGATATTTGAAGTTATAATTATATTGTGTATAACTTGAATACGTTTTATTTAGACATAAGAAAAGTTTCTTAAAATACAATGTAACTTTAGTTTTATAAGAACTAAGAATTGCGTAAGTTAAATATATTGTATACATTACGTATACAATATTTTTAAGCAAAATAAAAATTTATATTATGTTATTATATAATAGGCAAAAAACAATTGGAGTACAGTACATAGCAAATAACTTGAATGTAATCTTAAATAAAATTGTTAAACATTAAGTAGGTTGATCAGCAATCAAAATCAAAATATCTTTATTCATGTAGGTAGCAGTAGACTACAGACTCTTATGATATGTCAAATCTACCGTTAGTTCGGAATGATATCGAGATGAGAAGAACTGACAAGAAACTCAGTTCGTATTCTTTACATAGAAATGTTGTACATGTTTACAATAATACACAGTCATTAAAATTCAAACTTGGGAGTAGAGTGACCAGCATATGCTCTTGCAAAAAAACAAAAAATCTAATCAATGTTCGTAACCTAATGTGCGACGCAATCATAATGTTATGATATATTTTTATTTCTTACCTCTCATGTTTCGCGTCCTCCGGATAGTCTATGGGGGACGTGTGGTCGATGCAGAGACCCACGGGGTCCTGCCTGGAGCCACCGAGCGAGATGGAGAGCCGGCCGCGAGCCGCGAACTCGCCGCGACGACGGTACGCGCGAGCAATCAACTCATGTTTGCGTGCACGCCGCGTTACTTCACTTTCCACTGAACATCCGCATTTCCTATAACATTGATTTCTTAAATACTAGATATAAATACTTATTAAACCACATTCCAAAACACCTGACTGTTTTGAAAATGAAGAATATGGGTATGATTTATTTATTTTTAATTATTTATAATTATTATTTCAGTTATAAATAGAGAACATGGAGTACTGCTCTCATCTTTGGGCAGGAGCACCTGGATACCAGCTCGGTCCTTTTGACTCGGTTCAGAGACGTGCTATGAGAATTGTCGATGATCCCAATCTCTCTGACTTCGTTTCGCCTTGTGTGTTCTACCGATTATACAACGGACTGTGTTCTGAGGAATTGTTCGACATGATGCCTACGGCTACCTTTCACCATGGCACCGCTCGCCATCGACAGGGAATTCATTCCCACAAGCTGGAACCTAAGTGGTCTCGGACAGTGCGGTTTCAGAGGAGCTTCCTCCCGCGTACACTTAGATTGTGGAATGAACTTCCTGCCGAGGTTTTCTCACGAGACTACAGCATGGGGTTTTTCAAGAAGGGTATATTAAGGTTTCTTCAGGGTCGGCAACGCGCACGTGACACCTCTGGTGCTTCAGGCGTCCATAGGCTACGGTAACCATTTACCATCAGATGGGCCGTATGCTTGTTTGCTACCATAGTAGTATAAAAAAAAAAGTTATAAAGGCAACATAAATTATATACACAATTAATTCCAAATATTTTAGCAACCGAGCATTACAGAAATCGGAAAAATAAGTAAATCGGCAATGTCCGCCCTTATGACACAAACTATATTTACGTCAATTCTCATTAAGATCCTTTCACTCGCTTAATTATTAAAAGGTAACAAAACAGAGACAAGACAGATATTCTTTCTTATTAATAATATTCGTGTTTAAATTTGTCTAATCGTGATTAGTGAAGCTTAATTTTGAAGGATGGGGTTTTACAATAGCCTAAGAAGTGAGTTACCTTGCCTACCTTGCCAAGTATCGCCTCCAGGCGGCGGCGGCGGCCGGGGTCCAGGTCCAGGAGGCCATGAGGGCGCCGGCCGCGAAGCAGCACAGCAGCCGCAGCTGCAGCACCGACACCGACGGCCGCGCGCCCCCGCCGCACTCCTTATTGTTTTCCTTTAAGGCTTCCAACCGACATCTACAATAATAATAATTCATTCAGACTACTTAATAGACCATATAATGTTAGAAACAATATTCCTAGAATATTATTAATTAAATAGAGGCAAAAGTAAAAGAAACAATAGCATGCGTATTTCCCCGCCATGACTCAAAATACTCGTAGTACGAGTAAATTTAGTTCTGTGAGCTAAAGCGCTAGACCACGGAGTACGTATTTCCGATCAGTATGGATACTTTTTTTTTATGGCGTTTATGAATATTAGCTATTATTTGAATGAATGATGAAAAACTCTAACTACAAATAGAAAAAAACATAATTACAATTAGAGGTAGTAATGGAAGCCCTTGTTACTATATAGCGCTACATAGTGATTTCTTCCAGGCTTTGTGTGATATGATTGAATGTGGTTGCAGTTCTTATATGTAATAGTAATCTTTTTGTAGATATATATTACTTTGAGTTTGTAATTCAAACCAAAATGTCAATCTAACAAATTCAAATTCAAATTCAAAATATCTTTGTTCATGTAGGTCTATTACAGACTCTTATGATATGTCAAATCTATCGTCAGTTCGGAATGATTTCGAGATGAGAAGAACTGTGAAGAAACTCAGCACGTATTTTTTTTAATGTTGTACATATTTACAATAATACAGATTCATTTAAATTCAAATTTGGGAGAATAGAGTGACCACCAGCATATGCTATTGAAAAAAAAAACAAAAAATCTAATCAGTGTTCGCAACCTGAACAGACCAGTCCCCACAAGAAGCACCCGTTCACGAGTATGACGGATGAGCCAGCCACAAGTGCACTCAACCATATTAGAGGGACCCGACCCACCACGCCGCCACAAGTTTGAACTTTATAGCGAGCATGACTGTTTCAAGTTACTCCACTACGTCATTTATATTATTTACAGCATAAACTATACCAATCACAGTTTTCACCCATTACAATATATAATTTACATTATTTAAATTACAATAAGTCATTGCTAAATTTAGAATAAGTTTCTTTAGTGTTTATTACATTATCTATGTCAATGGGAAAGCTATATACCTCATAACAAAAGTTAAAATTATAATTGAGTACACGCATTGTTGTCATTCAAGTAGTCGTTTATTTTATAATAAGCTTTTAGCGCAAAGTGTATTTTTTACATGTATCTTAAATTTCCCTTCATTTAAATTCAAAACATTATCAGGCAATTTATTATAAAAACGTATACAATGTCCCATGAAAGATGTACTTATACTTTATTGAGACGAAAATTAGGCATATTTAATTTATTTTTATTCATTGTATTAAAACTGTGTAAGTGACTATTCTTTGTAAATAATTTTTAGTTTTTACGTACGTACATTATATTTTCAAATATATATTGAGAGGGAACAGTAAGGATACCTGTTTCTTTAAAGCGTTCTCTAAGAGATTCGCGACACGGTAAATTATATATTGAACGAACTGCTCTTTTTTGTAATATAAAAATTGATTTTACATCAGCCGCCCTTCCCCACAATATAATACCATACGACATTATACTATGGAAGTAACTAAAATACACTAGCTTCGCTGTTGCAGTATCAGTTAACCGTCTAATTTTTCTGATAGCAAAAGCAGCCGAGTTAATTATTTTGGCAAGTGTGTATATATGTGGTCCCCACTGCAATTTATTATCTATTACAATACCAATAAAAGAAGTCTCATCAACAGAGTCCAAAACATGATCATTCAAACTAACATTTGTCATTACTTGTTTTATATTTGGTAAAGAGAATTTAACACATTTTGTTTTCATTGAATTAAGCGCTAGATTATTTGATGTAAACCAGTTAAGAACATCCTCAAGAGCATTATTTAAATTACTAAAATCCTTTGTATTTCTTTTCACTTTGAAAATAAGTGATTTGTCATCAGCAAACAATACTATGTCAAGTATGTTTTGGAATTGGTATGGTAAGTCGTCTAATTTCTCACTTACATGATATTCTTCTTAAAAGAATCCTTCCACAGATCAGCATTTCTAAATTCATAGATGTGACAGGCGAAGGTGACACATATAAAAACTGCTACCAACGCGGCAGTGAGCGAGCATCGCGTGATGGTCTGACGAATCTTGTTGGAAGCTTTAGGTGATATAACATCTTTACTGGACACGCGGACGGCGATCAATGAGAACACACCTGAAAATAACAAAGCGGATATGGATTTTTCGAATAGGAGATAGTTTTATTTACCATCCACCCGCTGCTCTTCAGTTTACCTGTGATCATGGCCGTTGAAACACTGCCGAAATATTGGGGACTCAACAAAAATAAAACGTGGTAAGATCCCTTGATTTACTAATTATTAAAAAATATTCACTTCTTAGGTAGTCAATATTATGTACATACCTCTAAGAAGAAAGTATCCACCGAGCAGCAATACAACAGATAACGGTGCAAGTAACAAGGCTACACGCATGGAATAATTTATATATCCGACAAAACAAATGCCAGTCACGCTACTGCCATCCACCTCTCCAAACGCCATCGTGGCTATGGTAAGCACCAGCGGTAACGACCACGCCACCAAGTGGAAATATGCGGCTTTCTTATCAATTCTATCTTGTATTTTACCTGCAAATTACACAAACATACATCAGTGTTTCTCAACGTGGGGCCCACGCCCTGCAATTTGATTGTTAAGGTTTGTGATTGTCAATTCGAAAATGCAGTCAACACAAGTTTAACCTTTTCGATCCTGGCCATTTAAATGTCGAATGCAGAATTTAGGTAGAGCATGACAATAAAAAATGGCGATTAGGAAACATTGATTTACACAGAAATACATATGTGATATTCTGCAACAACATAATATATTAATTGTCACAGATACATACCTAGTGCTCGGAAACTCATATGCCATGCATATGTAAATATGACGAACCAAACGCAGGCTGCCATCATAAAGTAGTATACCTAAAGAAAACAGAATTAGATTATAATTTAATACAGAACAGTATTCATACTATTCTAATGTTGTTGGCCGCAGCTAGCGTTTACTGCTTTACCGAACAATAGGGGGCGAGTGCAGATGGCACTCCAAACCCACGCAACAACTTATGGAGCGGCTAAAGGACAACTCCTGCCTGACGGATAGGACTTTAGTCCGAAATACCGCTAAGGGATAGGACTTTAGTATGAATCACCGCTATCAAAATGACGATGGCCTGCGTGAAATTCTGAATTCACGCAGGCCATCCTCATTTTGATCCCTGAAAGAATTTGACAGCGAAACAATCAGAGGGATGAAGTCACAGTGAATATCTGTGAAAAATGACAAATGTGCATGGCAACAGTTGTTCATTAAGGGGATTTTCATTCAATGTTAGTCACCTATATAAGTAATGTTAATAAAATGGCCTTTAAAAAAATCTATTGTTTCTTGTTAGTTTTCAATATTGGACAACAGGGAAAAAATGTAAAAAACGTAACGTTCATAAGCGGCTAAAATGTACTAGGTATTAATAAATTAGTTAGATTTCTTTTTTATTATTTTAATTTGAAACCCCTCACCAAGTGTAATATTAGGTTACGGAACCGGCTATTGTAATATATATACATATAAAGTATAATCTAAAAATAGTATATACTACTATTTCTACATTGATACAAGTACGTAGAACAATAATAACACGAAACCGTGACTAATGGCGGCTCGTAGGTACACTATGTGACTTTTGTTAAGGCTTTGGAAGAATTTCCACAAGCAAAAGAAATGCCTTAGTTGATCCAGTCAGTTATGTATAGCACTAACAATATACTAAAACATATAATATCTCTTCAAATAATATTAACAATATCTTACCAACACAAAAACGACTACACAGGACAAGTTTTCTTCTGCTGACGGCTCACCTTGTCGTCTGGTTCCATCTTTTGAACAAACAATATCTTCTCTTGAACCAAAGCCAAACTGGACAAGCCACCTGAACAAAGAATAACTTCTTAGATTTTAGATATAAAACTCGTAAATCAAAGTCCAATATCATAACAATTTTATGTATAACTAACTGGCTTTTACCCGCGGCGCCGCTAGCATTCTTCATATTATATTTACAACCTCAATATCAGTACAACAATAAGTCTTTAATGCTTGATGTATATCCGACGACGCCATAAAAAGTTTCATAAGTTTTTTAAGAAAAACCCTATAATCCTGAGACCCATCGACCTACAAAAATATATATAATTTTAATTAAATTAAAACTACTACTAAAGCTTACCCCATAGATGCGACTGCGAAACAGACGTTAATATAAAAGATGACCAGCGCAGGATACTTGTTAGCACTACGCCAATCGATAAGGAATGTGGCGACAGTCAACAGGTTGAGGAGCAGGCATACACCAGCACCCCATGCCACTAGACGATGGATCTGTTGATGCTCATCTTCAGTGTACAGTGGATCACGACAAGGTAATCCACAACCGGAAATACCTGTATTACAACGACAATGATTGTTTGAAATGTTTATTAAATATTCTATACTACATTCCCGCGACTTCGTCCGCGTGGAATTTAACTTTATTCTTCTAAAATAACAGTAGCCTAAGTTACATCTTATTTCATCAGCAAAAAAAGTCCCGTCAAAATTGGTCCAGACATTTCAGAGATTAGCCGGATCAAACAGTGAGACAAAAATTGTAAAAAATGTTAATTTGGTGTATGCACCGTATTTATTTTGATATATAGTATGTAGTAAAAAACGATTATTTCAATATTACAAACAGACACTCCTCCAACGTTTACTTCTGCAAGCTATGAAAATTCTTTAAAACAAATTATAACACTCCGTTTCATTTCTTTGTTTCTTTATTGGGCAATTTTATTTTTCTGTATGATCAAGCGGCGATATACATACAGTTTGTGAAAAGACGTCTACGTAGCTACATTAGTCTCAGTTTAGCCGGCCATCAAAAAAAAATCTTTTTAAGATTAAAAATATAGATAATGGTAAAATTAAAAAAATACTTGAATTTAATATTGACATCATAGTCCTAAATAATGGCAACACATGAGTGGTATCACAGCAGTGTTGGCAGTAAACGATTACTTTTTTAATCAATTAATTCGATTGATTTCAATCATGAATAAACTAAATATGATTAAAAAAGCCATGATAATAAAAAGCAATTATTAGCGTTAATCACTAATCATAATCATTAATTTATGAGTTTATAAAAGCCTGATTAACATTCATTGAAGGCTCTGTATGATTGATTATGAGCATCGGCTCTCTCGGACTTATTTAAAGTCTGTGGCAGGGAGCTAATCCTCCATCCTGTATTAATTTTATTTTGCTGTATGTGTCGGTCGTGATTAGATTATGATGTCGATGATTATTTCAAAGGTGATCATGATGACAACAAAATCATCATCATCGTCGACATCACTGCCACCAGCTTCATGTTCGTCGTCGTCGTGATCATCATTACCTTAATCCACATCGACAAAAGTCACTACGAATAATCAGGTGAAATGAGATATCGTATGTCAATAACCTGTACTGTCGCTGCCATAACACACCCTTCAGTAATTGTGTCATAAGCGAATACTACCAATCGCAACCCATTTGGCATTCTAAGCTTTAAAAAATATTAAACTAAGAGCCTGTATACTATACCTTCATAGAAATGCAGAAATTTTTCTGTATGGATAAGCGGCGATAAACATTTGCCACTTGTATTGAATTTCATTTCCCTCGCCGGTGTTTCACATTTCGGTGGGAATAGAGTAGTATTACATTTCAAAAAAGACGGGAAGTATGTAGTATTGTATAAAATTAAACAGGGCTCCATAGTAATCTTGCACATTTCATAAGAAGGCAAATAGACCATATCTTGTCCTAATATTCGTTCGCATTTTGGCATGAATGTCGCACATAGTAAAGGCTGTATCACAGCCCAGCATTTTGGCACGTTTATCAGTTCTTTATACAATTCCAATTGTATTTGTATTTGATTCTGATTGTCATAAAAAGTAAGATGAACGCTTGTTTTGTCAAAAGGTAGTTTGGTTCCTAGACAAGTGAACTTCTCTAGGGGCTCGCAGCGAGCTCTTCTCACGCAACTGTCAAGTTTAATCTCACGTTCCGGGAACCAAGGAGCCGCCCTGTTGGGCTTTATGAGTCTAAAGTTAGGAGTCCCATTGATAGATTCGAGTACATCTGTGCCGTTGTCTATTAGGATTGCGTTTTTGTCACTACCGCTATCATGTTGGCTCGCTTGACATAACAGTGCACTCAATATCCAACACAGCCATGTTGCAATTTTCATCTGAAACAAAAGGAAAACACTGTGACTATGATGCGTAGGTTTGGAGTCGGGGCAAAATAATTTGTAAAAATGAAAACTACAATAAATTTTCTTAGTCATCTTTATTTATGTAGGTGTAGGGCGATGTCAAATGAAACCCTTTAAATTTTCAATATTTTATTATGTCTACATATAGTTGAAATTAATTTTCTATACTGTAACCATTTAATCAGTAATATCCAAGTTCTCTCAAACACACTGTCCAAGGCTGAAGGAATCTGGCAGGTACGGTCATATAAAGTGATATTTATATAATTTCATTGTTTGGGTTGGGCGATAAATTTTAGAGATATACACATGGAAGTAATTAAAATAATATTACATATATTATTTTGATTAAAAAATACTAAACGAGTAGAGTAAATGTTTACACTATCTCGGAAATGTCATCAACAATTTTGATCAAAATTCGTACTTTGAGTTGATATTTATAACTTTTAACATTGATAACTTCAATTATGTATTTCGATATTATCTACAAGTAGGTGTCATCACTGAAAAAAATATATTATATATTTTTTAAAACCTTGCTTTAAACATCGCTCATTTCGTAGAGACACATATTTCCCCCATGGAATTAATTCATTAAATTACAATATATATTTTTTATTGAGTATAATATATTTTGAAAAAATAATCATTAACTATTGAAATGCGCAAAGGTTAATTTAAAGACAACAATTCTTTAGCAATAATTATTATGTAGTTAACAATTTAAACAGAAATAAGAGTAAATGCATTAACAGATGCCTTAAAAAGTTTGCCTATAAGACGAAATAATTTATTGCCGGAAGTACGCAAATATATACACTATTTCTTTCATACCAGTATACATTTTACAATGAAACATTTCATAGTTTTCTTTAAATGTAAAATATAATACTAAAGAAGAATTTATCTGTAATGTCTATCTATTTTTGTAACTATAAATAAGGATATTATTTAATACATATTATTTCCCAGACCATATACGCTTTATTTAAAAACATATGTACGCACGTCTTCTAATTTCTGAAAGTAAAAATATGTCACCCATATGTAAATTTTGGAAATAATCAATAACGTGTGTTTCTTGTAAAGTACCGTTACTTATTTTTTCAACGCTTAAATGAATATTTTGAAATATCGTTTTAGACAATTACATTTTAATTATGGGAATACTTAGAAAGAACTAATGAATCTATTTAAAAATATAAAACAACTATAAACAAAACTATAATTAATTATTATATGTAAATAATAAACTTTTTTACTTCTTTGACAAATTATAAAAAAAAAGTATTTTAAGTACGTATTGTTTTTATATTTTCTAAATCTATTTTCGTCCAACATAACAGGTTCATAAAATACTATTAAAACTATTTATAAAAATAATAAATTAGCCTATAGTCAACCTATATAATAACTGGATAATAGCCGTATTAAAAGGAAGGGAAGCCTTGGACATGTTTTTAATTTATTCTTTATTTTATGCCATATATTTTACAATGAAGGTAAAGGTGGGTAATCTTTATTGTGAAGGGTTTATAAAATTTTATTATTGACAAATCAAATTCAATAAATACCGGGCTCTTACTATAAGGTTGATGAAGATGATGACGTCACTCCAACCACGATATCACCAGGATACAAAGCTGGAAGCTTGCGGCTTGAACATATAATTCTTTCATATATGACATCAATTTCTTTCTTCTATCCTTGACTGTGATTACCTGAGATAGTAATTAATAAGTTATTATATTGTCAACATTGTAATTAATCACAAAAAGTAGAAGTCAACTTACCAGAATTGCGGGACAGTATACTAGACCTGTATATAAACATAATAATAATCTTTTTTGACATAATATAAATTTATTATGTTTCAGCTTAGGAAAATAAACTACATGCGGTAAATAAAAATTATGTACAACCTTAGGAATCGCATCGTCATTATTACTTGTCCGTTACACAATACACTTAACACTCGTCATATTTAGGTATTTCACAAATAAATGGGAAAATTAAAGTTTGTGTGGAACTTACTAACATAAAGAAACTCTTAAAGCTATTTGGATATCGACGATTTGCCGCCACGTCTAAAACTTCTGTTTGTAGCTCCACCCCTGCGATTCCACGTAGAACCACGATTACCCATGTTACCTCTTCTGCCACGACCATGACCATTCACTCCACGGCCTCTGCCTCTACCTCTCCCTCTGTAACCACCGTCCCATCTTTGATTTCTTACATATCCATCTTCTACATTACCTTCATCATTATAACTGTCTTCCTCATAATTTTGATCAAAGGCTTCTTCATCATTATATCCATCATCATTTTGTGGATATGACGAATTATCATAATTTGAATCATAATGGCCTTTGTTATTAAAACCATTGTCATTGAAAGGTGGACGTGGAGGCATATTTCCCATAGGTGGCATGTTATTAATCGGTGGCATGCCCATTGGTGGCATATTTCCCAATAGTGGCATATTACCCATTGGTGGCATATTGCCCATTGGTGGCATATTCCCCATTGGTGGCATATTGCCCATAGGCGGCATATTACCCAATAGTGGCATTGGTCCCATACCATGCATTGGTGGACCCATAGGACCCATATTGCCCATAGGCATTGGAGGCCTCATCATATTATTCATCTGAGGCATATTGTTCATAGGTCCCCTATTGTTCATTTCAGATCCATTGTTATAAGATTGATCTTCGTCTAAACTGTTATTATGCTCTTCCATATCATGATCATAATAATCATCTTGTTCAAAATTTTCTCCATCATTTTCGTTACCTTCTTGTTCATTTATTTCATTTTCTCTCTCAGGATACTCAAATGGTTGGAAATTTTCATCATCAGCATCATCTTCTAAATGAGGCATTACATCATGCAATTCTTCAATTTCACCCGTGGCTATGTATTTTTTCAGTGCAAGAGGTCCTTCTGATATTGCAGTCTCCAGCTTTGAGCCAGGTTCTACAGATATTAACTTGCCATAAATAAATATTGCAGATGGTGTAATATCCTGCAATGGTATAGCTCCAGGCACTGACTTCACTAATGCTTGAGTTAAAGCCTCTGTAGCAGCTTCATCAGTAGTTGGCCCATGATTCCATTGGGCTTGGAAATTCCTAGGTATAGGTTTACTATAAGGAACTTTCTTTACTTTTTTCTCAAATTCCATGGGTATGAATGTGGTATCCAGATCTAAACCGGGAATAACTTTGTCAGTATCAGAAGAGAATATTTCAACTTTGTCTTCAGGTCCCATTCCAGGAATAACAGCTGGTTCTTCTAGATCGTGATCATCCTGAACACCAGGTGGTAGAGTATTTAAATTATATTTATCTCTCATCAAGTCTCCAGGCCGATTTCGAGTCCAAAACTTTGAAGTATGATCATTAGATCCTGAACATAATATATGTCCCAGGGGATGCCATGCCATAGTCCACACTATTGATTCATGAGCACCTTCAATGCAACCAACTTCTTTATCAGTACCCACATTCCAAAACAGAATGGCTCCATCAGAACCACCTGAACAAAACAATCCTTCATGAGTAGGATGCCAAACAACACTAGATGCTTCTTTTTTATGTCCTCGGAATATTTGCAGTTCAGTTCCAAGTTTACGAATGTCAAATAATTTTAATAAGTGATCTCGAGAAGCTGTAATAAGCCAATTACCATTTTCATTCCATTTCAGATCCATCACAGTAGACTTATGGGCATGGAGTGTTGACAAAGCTGTTCCAGATTTTGGATCCCATAATTTAATTGGCTGCTGGTTATCTTTACTCCCAGACACAATAAGAGCTTTTGTAGGATGCCACTGAACACATTTAACATCTGCACCATGTCCTCTCAATATTCTCTCTTCCTGACATCTATAGAAGTCAAAAATTCTTAAAGTACCATCATCTGAACATGTAACTATCTTAGAATCACTAGGACTAAAACTAATACCTCTAACAGCTTCCTTGTGAGCCTGATACATTTTGACATTATTCATATTACTTTGCCAATACTTAATAAAACCTGAGTGATCTCCTGTAACCATCCATCCTTCACCATGAGACCAAACCATGGACCTTACAGGAGAATCATGAGCTTGAAGGATAGTTTCGAAATTGAATGTCAAACCATTCCATAAAGTAAATTCTCCTGAAGATGCTCCTGTTATCAATCTTCTACCTTCAGGGGTCCACGCAACGGCGAAGATCGGACATCTCATTTTATTGGTAGCTGTTTTAACAAAACGTGTTGTCACCGCGTTTATAGGATTATCGGGATATGAAGGCGGAGGTAACAAATCGGGAGTATACATTGCATCCGGTTGCAGTGCATGTCTGTCCCGCCAATCTCGTTGCCAAACGCGACATTCTAAAGCTTTAATTATAGCAGCATTATAATCTACTGTTTTCCGCATAACTGATTTACGTAAACGTTTACCATCAAAGTCATCTTGAGTCATGTTCAGCGGACCTTGAGGTGGAAAGCGCATTTGGTAGTTGAAAGGTCTAAAGTTATGGCGCATGTTGTTACGACCGGGCGGACCCAACGGACCACCCATGCCGGGTGGCGGCATGTTCAATTGCGGCGGAGGGTGCCCGAAATCCATAGTTAATGACTTCGATACCTATTTAAAGAAATATTTCTATTAAAAAAAAGGAAAAACATTTGCAGCAGCCGTTCTAAAAGTATGATGAACTGTATATTTTAATTCTTACCTTGTTTGAAGAGTTTACGCTATAACATTATATACGTAGATTTCACTACAACACTGCACAGAAAATACAAAACAAATATTAATAACAAATTCTATAAACAATTACTGGAATCATGAACACAGACGTTAACCTATTTTGTGAGAGGAAATTGTAGCCAAGCAAGCAAGCGACCTGCGCCATGTTGTTAATATGATAGTGTGGTACTCGCTGAATGATTGTTAACATTAGTCGATAATCAATCTGTCAAAAATATTACACTACATTTATACATGTAGTATATAATGCACCTAAAATAATATATAATAAATACAATTGAAAGTATGTAGATACTAAATACGGTTATATCGCTTAAGTAATATCTATCAGAATAACTTTGTGTAGAAAAAAAAATACAAAAGGTTAATGGAGAATGATTGCAATAAAATAAAATGTTAAAATTATATTAGACATAAATAATCATAATATAAATAAACGAGTTCTTTATAAATTCATGATTTATAAAGAACTCGTGTACATTACAGATAATGTACATATAAAATAACGGATTATTAAATAGGAGTGACAAGACAAAGTACATTTTATAATAATTATAGTAAAATTGAAGGTGATGCATAATTCACATATGTGGTAAAGACAATGATACTATAAACTATATTTACTAAAATTGCTACCTAATACTACTTTAGTTCTTAAACTAAGTAACTGAGCTCGTGAAAGCTACGACAGGTGGCGTCTTAACACTATGATCTCCTAAATACAGTGATTGGTGGTGAGTGCTTGTCTTATATTTTCTTTACCTTATTTACGTTTTACTTACTTTACTAATAATATTTAGTACAGCCTCGACATTATTGTTACAAAAATAAAATTGCTTAGTAAATACAGCAGCGTTTTGTACACGTTTAGTTTATAGTTAAACAATTTAAATAATATTAAACAACAAACAAATATAAACGACAGTGCGGTAACAAAATAAATTTAAGTCCGTATTAAATGCATGTTGATGAAACAATTATCAATTCTAAGTAGTTAGATAATAATTTGTATGTTAAATTGGACACAATCCTTATTTTGAAGAATTATAGTAGGTACATATTTAACTAAGCATACGGCAGTACCAGTACCAAAGAAAGAAAACTACCCCCTGTGCTAGTTTTTACTAAGGCCCTATTGTATTCACTTACAGTTGATTTTTACATTCTATTACTGTTTACATACAACATGATATAAGCGTGTGATCGTCCAAAGGGGTAAATAACAAATAGATTACAGACTAATTCATAAAAAGAAACTTAATAACTACTACCAGACAATTTATTAATAATAACAATATATTTACTATTTCTATGTTTTGAATATATATATATGTATAATGTGTGTATGTATATATATATACATACACACATATATAGTTATCTTTTACAGTATATTTCTATACCCAATATATATTTACGTAGACAAATACATGATTATTTAATGGGATTTGTATAAATAGAATATACAATGAATTTTATCAATAAGATACTATTTCGATTATCAATAAGATTCCGTTGTTGAATATCTAAAATGCTTAAAATTTATCACTTTCAGAATACAGCTTTGGGCCCTTTATATTTTCAAAAGAGTACTTTTTCTGGCACCTCCCCATACTGAAATGCCATTTAGACTGACACAGAGCTATGTACACAGTTTTACTAACCTTTTTATCTTTTAGATATCTAATTCTTTTAAAAAGCGGTATAAGTTTTCGCATTCGATCAATTTATAGTTTTAATATGTTGTTTCCAATTCAAATTTTGATCTATTACAATTCCAAGGTACCTAAGACTATCTACCTTAGAAAGAACAAAACAGTTGCAGTTATTAAATCCAGAAACATCACAAGTAAGCATTCTCAATGTAAAATTTATGTTAGGTTGTAAGTTATTTCTCATGAAAAAATTATATATTGCATTTTATTCAAATTTAATGTCAATATATTGTAGTCCAACCAATCTATTTGGCAAGGCTATTTGGCAGATACCCTTTTCTGCTAATAGTCTAGCCTCCATTTTGTATTTTCATATTACATAGACTGTTTACATATATCAAGAAGAGTGTAGGTACGAACGGAGAACTTGAGGTACGCCAAATATAAGATATTGTCTGGAACTGTACAATCTCCTATTCGAACTTTTTGTGACCTATTTGATGCGAATTTAAAAAGTAATGTAGGTATAACAATCTAAACTTTCTTTTTAGTTTAAGCTACATACTAAATAGGAATCAATATGCGTTCCGAATATCCCGATACAATTAACATTAATTTTCTAAAGGTGAGTTTTAAGACTTTCAAATCAATTAAAATACTGAATGAAATTGCGATATATATGACGTCCATTAGGAAGCCCCTTCCCTGGGAGTCCTAAAAATGTGACTAGCTGTAAGGGAAAGGAGAAGGATAAACAGAATGTGTGTAAAAGATTGTATTAAGAAATACAGATTAATTAGAGGTTAATTACACATTTATTTTTTGTATAATTATTTATTAACGGTCACTTGTAATATTTTCCTCGAGCAAAACCGGTGGTACTATTAAGGATGGTGTTGGTGGATTGGTTGTGAAATCAAATGTCATAAAGTCATCATGATCGATCACATCTCTTGAATCATCCACACCGCATGTAAGAAATTTATTATATTTGCTTAAATCAAGAAATCCCACACCACATGGTCGATCTACCAGACGAGAAGTCATCATACCCTGGACAAATCCCGAACACACAATAATTGTTCCTAAGTCATCCTGTAAAATATAATTACATGAGTTCTTTGTTTTTGATGTTACAAAATTTCATTATTTTGTAATATTGAAAACAAAATTAATTGTTGCAATATTCAACCTGTATTATTGTTACAATGCTTGCAGCTTCACTATTAAGCCTTAGTTATAATTATTATTCATTAGTTTTGGAAAACATTAAAAAAAAATATAATCTTGAATAAATAATTCCACAATGTTTAAAAAAATGCCATCTATATTTTATAACGGTAGAATAGAACTATCCAATTTCTATAATTAAATTCGTAAGCAGTGACATCTTAAAGGTTATGACTTACAAAATTCTCTAATACTTGCATTTATAAAAAGTGGAAGTTTCTGGGTTTCCATTATTAGGTATAGGTATTTCTTTTTTAAAAAACTAGCTTGCTTAGTGACCAATGTATAACAAATTGTTGTTCACTATACCATTTGCGCTGTAGCATGGTACAAGTGACAGTTTCAGTAACGTTTCGTTTCACTTTTGAAAGTTGCTGCGATTTACAAATTATGACTTAGTATTTAGGCTGTACCAGATTCGTTATATATTAAATCATTAATAACTGAAGTAACTTAAATTTAACCCAGCCAGAATGTTCTAGTCTACAAATACAGACAAATGGCACCCGCACCATGTATAAACGCACATAGTATAAAGTCACATATTACGATTCTTTGTTAGGAATATTTTTACTTTCATGTCTCTTCCTTCTGTGCAGGAATAGGTAAAACAAGTGCTTCATTATATAGCAAGAAATATACTTAGATAGATTAAAATAACAATTGCTTCAGTTAATACTGCTGAGAGATTCAAAGATGCCTCTGTAGAAGACATACAGTCTCATTGCGGTTGAAAAAAGATATAGAAAAAGTGCTCTCACTTGCAATTTCGCCTGATTTTTAAAATAATATTTTTTCCTCCTAACTTCCTTCGTTTTAAAAGTTTAAAATTTTCACTATTAAACGACTAAAGAGAAAGACCCTTTAGTCGTTTAATAGTGAAAAAATTACAAACATACTTTTGCAGTCATAATATAGATGAATAATTCAGTATTTTTGGTAATTTTGTTTAATAACTTAAATACTTACTGGACATAATGCTCCAAATTTCTCAGACTAAAACATAAATATTAAAAGATAAATATAACAATTACATCAAACAACAGCAACAATAAGATGCAGACTATTGCGAATGAAGTCTCTGGTTTTGTATACTTAAATGTACGTAATGCACTTCCGGTATAAATAAATGACGCAATTGTGCGTACAAAACTTTTTTATAATTACCTATAATAATGCATGCTATCGCCAAATAATATAAAATCTATTCTGTTATGATATAAACAAAGGTTCATATTATATACAATATACACATATTACGCCTAGATTTATAAATGTTTAAATATGCAACTCCAAAAATACGCGAGAGATTTTTTTTTCGTCTACCAACTCATAGAGTACTACATAGAGGCATTTTATTTTATTTTGCTTATTTTACTTTAATAGTTCTCATTTTACACTTCACGCTGGTCGTGTGATTTATACTGCATATGTGAATCGCTAATGCTTTCGAAAGTTCTAAAAAATTCATAATCGTTTGTTGATTGATACATATTAAATAGACATAAGTATAGAATAAATAAGTCAAACCTTGCAAGGCGGTTGCTGAACGCAAAGGTATTTGTTATTGTAATTCCATATTTGAGGACAATTCTCAGAGCGTGCAAGTATCACATCAACACGGCGAAGATGTATCAGCAGTGGTATTAAATACCCCTGTAAGAAACTCACTATAGTAGGAGTAGTAGGAGAAATAATATTTTTTACCACCTACATCATATATCAGTTCCCGACCAGACAATATATATCAATATATTATCAATCAAATCTATAGCTGAACAGTTTTAGGGTGAAAGATCAACAAAAAACATCCATACTACCGATCGATTCCAATTTTGTTGACTCGGAAGATTTACATAATGTACTACATAGAAAACAGTAATACTGGCATATAGTTATAGGACATTTGTTATAATTTAATACTATTTCTTATACAGCGCATATTTACGGCTTTGGTGCTCTAGGTGTTTCATTTTACGTCCGATGGTCACGGGTTTGATTCCTTGCATGATGCAAACATGTGAATTCATAAGTATTAGTCTGAGTGTATTATGTTTGTATTTACAAAGAAACTTGCATTTCTATAAGTATATTACTTAGCAATGTGAGTACGTTTACTCACATTTCGCCTACTCCCCCAGCCATAATAACGACAACTTGAGTCACCGATACGATGGTCGTCCTTTGGAGCCGAGGTACCATATCTTACTCTGTTTATCACGAAATCAGAGCCAAGTTCGCGTTTGTGAAATGAAAATTGCTGATTTAATACCAATAATGCCACATTGTCTGGAGAACATTCTATCCATCGTCGTGTGTGATTATACCCTAAAATTTCCACAAACTTACATTATAAAATCTAGGTAATATGTGAATAGTTTAAAAAATACAAATTTTTCACTACGTTATGAAAATTAAGATATACGTAATCAAAAAAATCTTACCTCTGTGAATACAAAGATGATGTACTAAACGATTAACGCCGGCAAACTCCAAAAAATTATGCGTGCCACCGATAACATCAAATTTATACCTTTCTCCAAATACACAGCTAGCCGGTGTTAGGACCACATGAGCTTCTATGAGTGCGCCAACGCAGAACATCATTGCATGAGATAAGAAATGTACCTAAACAGAAGGATGAATATTTTGAAATTAAAATATCTTACTTGCTTACTGCAGTGCTAAATTTCTGTCTAGTTAAAGAAGAAACTAAATATCAACTGTGTAGCCATTTTCACGTAATGTACTAGTTACAAAACGAAACAACAAATCGTTGATTAAATAGAAAAATGATATTTTTCAAAATTAGAAGCTAGAATTGCTTCCTTTTATATAAGTCAATTAAATTAACCACGTCATCTTAATCATTGTCTAAATACTTTTAAAACTATTTATAATACTTCTGTGTAAATTTTTGTTAAAACTTTAAGGAAAAAATAATAATTTAAATAAATTTAAAAACTTTAAATGCTTGTCTTGTAAAAGATGTACATTCTGAATAGTGTCATTTTCAATTTAACCGACGAAATGCCATTCGTAATAATTCAATCTGAACAATATTAAATCAGTAACGTGTTCATTATTAGATATACCTATACTCGTATATATTAAATTTGCATAAACAAAAATTATTCAGCATCTAAGTATTTACTACTTCCTTTTATAATCATTATCAACTTACAATATATTGTGCTTCTGTTAAATCGGCCTGCACACCAATAAAACCTGCTGCATTTTTGAAATCAATATCCACTGCAAAATTAATTATAAAATATAAAATGTAACTTATTTTAATTTAGTATTTGCAGTAACCAAAATAATAAATTATGATAATTTACGCATTGTGGCTATGCCGCCTATTTGTCCAGCACCCATTTTTATTATAGATGTTACGCCTACTAAATTGGCATTCGTACTAATATTGAAAATTGGTACTTAAACACTTTGATTAAAGTTTACGGTTTGAAAATACTTAAGTATGAAGTCGTTCAATCGTTACAATGATAACAGTACCTATAGAATGTAATGGCGTAGTATTTTAAAACAATTTTAATTAAAAAAATAATTCCAATGAATACATCTGCATCTTTATGAGCATAAGAATATAATGTCTACAATGATATTAGCCATACCTTTTTAATAATAGTAATAGAAATTGTATTTCCGTGATTCACCTGGAATACAATTGCATTAAAAAAATCCAAGCCACATGGTTTGACTTACATAATTTCCTTTTATTGCTATTATGGTCAGCATTTCCTATGCAAATCCAGATTTAGACTGTAGTAAGTTGTTTGCATAGGTACCTCAGCGTTTCGTCATGGAATTTTTTACATTAACTTTTCTATTGCTCGTTTTTATATACCCTTAATATGCAACACAATTGCATAGGAAAAGCAGTATGCACTATGGCTTATTATATCTGTAACACCGGCAGGCGCATCGTCTTAGTAAATTCGCGAATCTCATTACATGTGAACAACATCAATTTGGATATCTTCTCTGTACGACACGTATTCGACTCCTGAGCTACCGAGGACCTATTATACCCTTGCAAATCAATGTTTATTCAGCAAATAGAGTTGCCAGATGGAGTTGTGAACATACTTTTATTCGTCATCATAGTTGTTTCTATTATAGCAGAAAGCCACCGCTGTTTCGCTGACTTGTTTTATAAAGTATGTTTCAGTCATAGGATGCAGATTGAGCAGTGAAGTTACAACGCTCTAGAATGTCATAGTATTAGTGATAGTACGTTATTACATGTTAACGTGATGTTCGTAGTGCATGAACATCACGTTAACATGTAATAACGTGATATCTGTACTGCTGTTATTGTATATGTGTAAGAGGCGGCTAGCGCTTACCATCAAGTAAGCCGTAGACCGTTGCCATTCCAATTACATAGATAAGTATGTTATGGATTACATTTCCTTTTTACAACACTATTTTGCATATGTCATCTGTGGTAGAAATTCTGATTGTCAAATTGTTTACTGACATGACTTTATATAGTATGATCTGTGATTTATTTTGATTTTGGCTATTACCCAAAATTTGGGGAAAAATTAATGGACTGAAATTTAAGATTATCTAAGCGTTATCTTATTAGATAATGCTTAGATAATCTCTCAAAAGAGTCTCTCTCTCTCAAATTATCGTTACTAATAAGTAAAGATAATTTGGATGTTAGACTCTTTTTAAGTATATCTAAAATAGACAGCCCCGTCTGGGGGACAGGAAAAGAAAAGGTTGGTAAATTTTATGAGAATTATTTTAGAAAATTACATCTACCATATACCTAGAAACTGGGACGGGAGGAGGCAGTGCTTAACGACAGATTTAGGTATTCGGGACTTGATTCTGGTAGTCCAGGGTATTGCAACTTGCAATACTGCTTTGGTGTTTGAGGTAGTCTGCTCTGTGATGTTTGTCTTTGAAAATTTGAAATTGTGTTGTATTCTACTATAATACAATCATCAATCGTCATTTGTGTTTCAGTTTTCAATATATCAATATGAAACCTATACATTGCATATTTATGTTGTAAATTATATTAAATAGTCAAACGACCCCAGTTTAAACACCCACGTAAAAGTTTATCTACAAACACCAGGATTTGCAGACTGATAGCATTAGCGGAATTGGCTGAACTCGATGTTCCATCCGCTCTAATTAATAATTTCATCAGACGATTCTAATTTATAGTTTTAAAATATGAATAATTGTGTTTGGAATTATTGTGGTTTAATTATATTGCTGTGCATTTTTAATGTAAGAATATCTTTTTCACAATATAATAAGCCATGGAGTGATAAATATGAAAACAATAAATGCCCCAAATTATTTCCAAAAAATTTTGTGAATTATGCTCCCGTAGGTAAGGCCACGCGCTATATCACTACTTTGCTAAATCATTTGAGAACATTGATTTAATTGCTATGTATTAGAAAATACACAGTTGTTTTTTTCAGTAATTCATAGATGTATATACAAAAAATACAAAAAATCTTTTGTATAATTCATTTAAAATTAATGTTTCTTTTATTAGGGAACCTTACTGCTGGAAACTACACAGAGAAGACTGGGATAAAAGGTCTCCCTCAATGTGTAATGGCATGTTGTCTTAGTGAGACATGTAATATTGTATTCATTGTCGACTCAAGATGTTTCCATGTCGAATGTGTCAGTGATGAGCTGTGCTTGCCACTACCGAAGACTCCTGGTAATCGCAAATGGGATGCACATCTTTCAATGATATTAGTTAAACCTGTTCTACCTAATGGTAAATATTATAAAAAATTCAATACTCAATATTGTTTTTAACCAATAATAATAATTAATGACTTCTCTTATTGTTGACATCTTAGGCTTCTTTTGCATCTCATTATTATTAATAATTATATTGAAAATTCTAGTCTCATAAATATGATGTCTATATTTGTATACCATATATTAGTAACTTAAACTGTATTGTGTTTTTGTAGCATTGTTATATATAAATAAAAGTTATTTTGTTTATTTCTAAGTAATATATTTCATGTTACTTAAGTGAATGCTACAAAAAGTCATACAAAGGAACAACAATTAACCAAACTACCAACCTTGTTAAATAAATTATCTTTATTATTATATATAAATTTGTGTATAAAATTTTCTACCTGACTGTTTGATTCAACAAACATCTGTATTCATACAAATGTAAATTAATGTGTAAATTTAGATATTTGGCATTTTTTATTTTTTATAAATCAGTGCAATTCACAGGGCTCTGTCTAATCCCAAGCTGAACTGATCTTGTGATAACTCATAGATATACTGATCTTTTTAAAATATACGTATATTTTCTATGTAGAACATATACTGTCCAATATAAATAATCATACTCATGAATACAAATGTTGGTACCATGTAAGATATTGAATCTGTGAATATTGGAAGCAAAGCAGTATGCTAAACTACTAGACCACAAAAACTGTCAATTATAATTAAATTTCGTTCCTTTCTGTGAATTATATATATGTATATTTTAGGTCTATATACCGTGATACTCATACATATATGATGGAAATTTAAATTTGGTTCACAGAAAATTGGTCGGACATATTAGATCTATCTAGTTATTCAGAAGTCAGCAACAATTTCTCACCTGAAGAAGAATCACTCTATGCACCTTATTCAAATCATCACAATGAAATGCTATCTGAAGTTGAAGACTCAAATTTCTTGTCCCACTTCATTAACAATTTGCCAAATATGGAAGAGAGTGAAGGGAACAATTATAATAAATTTAGAGAATCTAGTGACAGTGACATGATAATGGACTCAACAAATTATCTTGAAAATGTACCATGTGATATGGGTGCTGGTGATTGTCCAATCAATTCAGATTGTATACCAATTGGACTAAAAGGAGGTCATGGTATCTGTAAGTGTGTGCCAGGTACAGAGCTTATACAAAGCTCTTGTGTACCAATACGGCCATATTCAAAGGGACCCACAATACCTATTGATTCAATTAAAAAAAGTGATGAAATAATTCCTGATTCAAAAAATGATAACTTAAAAACTGACACTTCATCTCCTAAAACCATACAAAATTTAACTGTTTCTGTATCAGATAAAGAGGTATGATTTATTATAATGTATTAATATCTGATAGTATTGTAGCCATTAGTTTTTTGTGTAAAATATTTCATATATTATAGGTTCAATTGCCAGACAATGAAGTGACTTTAGCGGCTTATACAATACCCAATGAAAAAACAAGTAATAGACATTACAACTATGTGTGGACCTTAGTAGATCAGTCAAAGGGTGGTTTTACTGGTAAATTATTTATATAATATTAATATATAACATAGCAATAATTAGTTGCAATAAAGAGTTCTTAATTGGAATTGATTGTTCTCTAGGAAATATGCATCAAGATGGTGCTACTGTTAAACTTACGGATCTCACCGAAGGACAATACAGATTTAAAGTGACAGTTAATGGCACTGATTCATATGGAGAGGAATATGCTACTGTGACAGTATTGCCTAAAGTCCGAAAAAATACGCCACCAGTAGTAGTAATTACACCACAGACACAAACTGTGAAACTACCCAATTCTGGTGCTGTACTTGATGGCAGTGCTAGCAAGGTAATACTAAATACTTTATTCCATATTTGTACATACTTGTTAGTTATTTTAGTGCATACTTTACATTTGATTAAGTATTAAATTAATACTTTCAGAGAGGTTTGATTATTCCCAAGTGCTTCATTTTGTTTTGAATATGCAAATATTCTCTTATCTGTGATCTTGAGCCATTTAAAAGTTTAAAATGTAACACAAATCTTAGTTTTATGTGACATCAGGATGCCTGTTTTTATTATATATTAAGGTGTATATGGTTGTATAAGTTGAAGTGAATGTTATTCTTTCTGTACAGGATGATGTTCAGATAATATCATGGCATTGGGATTTAACTTCTGGACCTATAGGATTCCAACCACCACTTGAAGATATACCCACTTTAGTGCTGAAAGATCTAAAACAGCCTGGTGTCTATACATTCAAATTAACAGTTGAGGACTCTGACCATGTCAAGAATTCAACCACAGCTAATATTACTGTTCTAAACCACACAGACTATCCTCCTGAAGCCAATGCAGGTAAAAAAATATTATAATCTCTCAACTTACTGTTCTCACTTTACTTGACTTCAGTAATGCTTTTAATACTGTAGATTTTGATGTTTTATTAGGTCTATTATCCTCTCTCAACATATCTCCAATGGCAATTGACTGGTTTCGTAGTTACCTGTTGGGGCGTCAGTAGCGCATTCGCATTGATGACGTTCTGTCTGCATGGTGCGTCACGTCTGCTGGCGTTCCTCAGGGTGGTGTCTTATCTCCTCTTTTATTGGTCTTATTTATTAGCTCAATCACTTCTAAACTTCAATCTTCCTACCATCTTTATGCAGATGATCTCCAAATTTATTCTCCAGCAACCCTGGTTGATATTACTCAAGCCATTGTAAATGTTAACGAAGATCTTGCTCGTCTATCTGTTTGGAGCAAATTTTACGGTCTCGATGTAAACCCCTCGAAGACCCAAGTCATTATTATTGGTAGCCCGAGGTATATTTCAAAAATTACTTATAATGACCTTCCGCCTGTGGTTTTCGATGGGGTTTTAATGGAATACAGTAAGTTTGTTAAAAATCTTGGTATTATCTTTGATAATACTTTGTCTTGGTCTCATCAAATCTCCGAGGTTAGTAGGAAGTTGTTTACAGCAACAGGTGCCTTGAACAGATTACGTAACTTTCTTCCCCTTGACACCAAAATTGCACTTGCACATTCCTTGCTCCTTCCTATTCTTGACTATTAATCAATCCTTGATCAAAATCCTTGACAATTAAACAAACTTCGGCGTCTTCAAAATTTATGTATTCGCTTCATATTTGGTCTTCGCAAATATGATCACATTTCCCAGTTTCGTATTCAACTGAAGTGGCTAAGTAATGTGTTTTTATATCTAAATTTGTATTTTAAAAATTATATTTATAGTTCCTTCTTTAGATTCTTGTTTGATACTTCAATTCATTCTGTTCCTAATATGTTAGTTGTCTATTATTAATATATTTTCTCCGTTTTACCAAGTCTTTTGTCTTATTACTACAACATTTTTAATCCTGCTACTCCTGATTACCTTAAAAACTGCTTCCTATTTCTCAGTGAGAACAGTTGTCATTCCTTGCGTAGCGTAAACAATCTCCGTCTTAGAATTCCCATTCATTCCACTTCCTTTTATTCAAAACCATTTTCTGTTCAGACTGATAGGTTGTGGAACTCGCTTCCTGCTTCTATTTGGTGCGCTCAATCTCTTGCTAGCTTTAAAGGATCAGTAAAATCTCATTTCCTTTCCCTTTAATTCTATTTTTCCTTTTTTTGTAATCCCTTTCTTTCCTTCAAATTTTTCATGGATATGTGTATTATTAAATTTATGTATATTTGCTAGTATTATTTATATATAACTAATATAGTGTTGTGATTTGCACCACCTACTCTTTTTCATATACCTTCACCGTCTACCTAAAGGCTGCCGTTGTATCTATGATTGTATATATATATATATATATATATATATATTTATATTAATTCGTATATTTTTTTTGTTCTGGTGCAATAAAATGTATAAATAAAGTAATAAATTCTATAGAATGTTTATAAATTATGTTTTACGAATTTTATCTTATTAATATTATAAATGGATGGATGTTTGTTACTCTTTCATGCAAAACATACTAAACGGATTTAACTTTACAGTAATATAGCTTATACATCAGAATAACATATAGTATTTCTTGTTTTGATTTCTTGTGTACTGTATTTCTTGTATGGGGTGCTCATATTTCTAAATTGGCGAATAGACTTAATTCTGCAGCTTATGCGGTAAGAAGAATTAGAGAATTAACAGACGTGGCAACGGCTAAACTCGTGTATTTTAGCTATTTTCATAGCATTATCAGTCATACGGTAATTTATTATGGGGTAAAGCAGCTGATATAAATACAGTATTTACTTTGCAAAAGAGGGCCATCCGCTCCATTTACGGTATGGGTTCCAGGGAGTCTTTGCATGAATGTTTTAAAGAATCAAATATCCTCACCGTTGTTTCTCAATACATCTACGAAAATATTATGTATGCCAGGAAAAACATTAACAGTTTTAAAAAAGTAGGTGATTACACTAATAAAAACTTACGTAATGTCAACAAACTAGTTTTACCTAAGTGCTTTGACGAAAGTTAGTAATTCGTTTTATGGAAATTGCGTAAGGTTTTACAACAAAAATTCAAATGTGTCATAAAATATTTTCTTTGTAAAAAAACTTATTATAAAATTGAAGAATTTATAAATGATTATAATGTTTTTGTATAAAATATCTAACTTAAAATTCATAGCGCTGACAATGTTATCTGATTGAACAGAGATTAAGTGCGTAGCGGTTTCTATGTTGATTATCGCATGCCTAATCCTTGTTATTAATTAAATATAAGTAAATCAATATTTATTTAAAAGAGCAACACACAAGTTTCTTGCTTATTCTTCTTGTGATGAATCTGCATTCCGAATAAGCGGTAGAATCAAAATACTTGACTATTCAAAAGTGCTTGTATTAAGTTTATTTGAATAAAGATTATTTCTATTTCTATATTGATAAATGTCGAGTAAGTGTATTGCAGACAAAGTTGTGCAGGTCAGGTAAACATTAGTTAAGACAAAATAGAAATGTCAATCCCTTAATCACTCGGAATCCTATTGATTAGAGTTCGGTATAATGTAACATTATGCAGTCAAATGTCTGCCTGATATTAATACTTTTGGGAATGGTATTTGCTGGTGATTAAACAAAACATCTAGGTGTGACTTTAAATTTGTTATGAATGTCAGTTTGTAACACAATCTAGAACTTCTAATATGCTCAACTCTTGACATATTTCCTTAACTTTGATATTTGGCTAAATGCGAAGGCAAAGCCAAAGATAGAGGAGGAGAAAAAAAATTCTTGACATTGTTTGTATCTGACAGGCCAAGATGTAATAATATACTTGCCAAATAATAATCTCACGTTGAACGGGAGTTTGTCCACGGACGACCACGAGATTACGTCATGGGAATGGACTAAGTCGACGGAAGATGAAAACAAAGCTGTAGATATGCAGAACACACACTCACCTTACTTACAGGTATGTGAGTATTGAAACATCAATACATACAAGTTACATTTTATTACTAAACTAACTGAATCTTATCCAATCATCATAATTAATATTCTAGCAGCATGTGATCTTACTTTTTTGGGTTTGGAATTATAATAATAATATATATAAAATTTTGAACAGTTTTTTCATTATTTAGTATATAAGCAAAGATGTCCAATACAATCTTTAAAATACTTCAATTTGAAGTTAGTAAGATTTGTTAGCAACCTATGACAAATAACACAATATTATTAACATTGATAGATAATAATGTTATTTATATTTACGGTACACATTCCCTTTAATTATTACTATCATCATACTATTAATAATATCTTGTTCACATAAGTTGCTATTTTGTATTCTTATTACTATTTTCAGCTATCCAACTTATCTGAGGGTGTGTATACGTTTGTGTTGAAAGTAACAGATTCATCAGGTCAGTTTTCTACTGCTGAAGTGCATGTTTTCGTGAAACCACCAACAAACACACCACCTGTAGCGGATGCCGGTTCTGATATGGTAAGTGTATTATTTTTGCAATACCTGATATGATAGTGTTGCTATTTTTAGTATTGTTATTTGATACAGTTACGTACAGTATAATAAACAATTGTGTGAATATGCCACATTAATAAACGTCATCTTTATCATGTTTTTATAAATAATATAATAACAACAAACGTGCATGGCAATAGTTATTCATGCACGGGATTTTCCTTTAATGTTAGACATAGACAACTATAATGTAAAAATAAACATAAATAACGTTTTTAAAAAAAAGCTTTAAAAAAAACCAATTGAGTACCTGCCAGTTATTCTCAATCGAATGTGTATACTGATTGGACGCTCTACCGTCCAAATATGAATACAAAAAACTTTACGTTGATTAGCGGCTAAAAACTACACGAATAAATGATTTCATTGATTTAATCTTTCATGTGTTGTAATAAAAAAGAGTATGCGGGCATCTTATTTAATACAAATTTATTTTCGCATCGTATTACGAAACGACTAAATTCGATAAAACACACGCCAAATACAAAAAAGTTAACGCGGTTAAGAGATCAGTCAGTTAGGACAAGTTTTTTTAATATAACACATGAATGCATAAATTTATAGGTATAGCTTCCATAATAATATCAAAATTACAATGAAACCTATATGAAAATCCATACGAAAAACACTTTGTTTCATATTATTTACATATCTATTAATAAATTAAGTATTAGTTTATTTATATTATATCTGTTAAATTATTTTCCTAATATTAATACAAATAAAAAACTTATCTAAACCTTTATTCTAAATAAGTTACGATAACAGTATAAATATTGGCTATCTAAATGCCACTAATGAATTTGGTGCGAACAAATACATTGATACTGATAACTGCATTCTCACACAAGTACACTAGGGTGCTCATATATAATTTATTAATTATATAGTTTTAGCTATATAAGCTATAGCTTTGCCTTATCAACTACAGTACTACAGAATTCAAAATCCTAATAAATTATAACAATAACAAATAATAATAAGCTCAGGACAATTCACATAGCTAGCTAGAGTTTGTGTTGTGAGTCTAGTACTCACAACTGATACAAATGCATAGATTTTTTTTATATATAGAAAATACCAAGACCGATACAAACTTATAAAAAACCCGCGACCATTAAAAGTAAGGCAGTAAGCTAAACCACTAGACAGACCACCAAAGCCATCAAAAAATATAAATTTCATTATAAAAATCTATATGTTACAATATAGAGGTAGGAGGCAGATGAAAACTGAAAAGCGGTCAAAATATATTCCGTCAATAGATGATTGGTTTTCAAAATCATGTAGATACATTGATGTAGAATTTGTACGATATACTACTTCGTTTTAAGCGATTTTTACTTGTTTTTAAAACATCGTGCAACATACACTTAGATCTAATGTAGCTATCTATTAAATGATTTTATAATTACAGTTCATATCTCTACCTCAAACATGGATAACATTGAACGGTACCGGTTCGCACGACGACCACAAGATCGTTGCATACACTTGGCGTTGCTTGTCCGGCCCCACTAACTCTAACATAATCAACTTTAACGAATCTGTAGCCAACGCTACGGCCCTCACTAAGGGGCAATACATGTTCTCGCTGACTGTTCTGGACGATAACGGAAACTCCGCTAGTAACAACGTATCAGTCACCGTAACTCAAAGTAAGTTACTTTATAATGTATATATTAATACGTGAAGCAAAAGTACTCCTTTTTACGAAAATTGCGCGGAAAGAGGAGTATGAAATTTCGCACATTTATAGTTTACATAGAGGAGTGCAGAACGCATATTTTTTTAAATTTATGCTTAAATAATACTTTAAATCAATAAAAAAAAATAACATACACTACCGTGTATTTGACACACACACGTATATAAAAAAGAATAATAAATATAAATATTTTCTATATAAAATATTAGTAGACGTTAGTTCGTTATTGTACACTAATGACATTACTTACCTCAATGTAGTCACGCCGATAATTATAATCGATGTATCGATATGATATTTCTTTCATTCTTTAATAATGTCTCGGTCAACGTATAACGATTATTAATTTGTACGAATTATACCTATTAACATATATTTATGATTTTTTTTGTTTATTTGAGTATATGGTAATCACATTGGCAATATAATAATCGTAAGTATAACAATTCAAATGGCCATAACGACGCATTCTACTTAGTTCTACATTATATGTAAGTTATATTATGGCAGATAAAAACAGTCCACCAAAAGCAGACGCCGGAGGAGATCAAGTGTTAAATCTACCCATATCTGTGCTGATCCTTAACGGTTCGAGGTCATCGGACGACTTTCGGATAGTCACGTGGAAATGGTCGCGATCAGGGTCTGGCTTAGCCGCTGGTACTGTCATACTTAAATCGGACACGGAACCTGTACTAATGGTAAGAGAGCTTAGTAAATTATGTTGATCAGAATTGGTAAAACATTTATTGTATATCGTGTCTCTCTGAAAATGAGGAGGTACACACTATGTTCATATGTTCAATCAAAATGATGAATTTCTATGTATTGTTGGTTATATCGTCACCAGTTCTGAATTAAGTTAGTTTTTGTTTGAATATAAAAGGTTTTTCCTTTTTAGCTAACAGATTTTTTGTGAAACCGAATCTTAAATGAAATATAGATGATAATTTGTAATCGAACTTAGAAATAAATAATAACCTATTTACACAGTGTCATTTAGTCCCAAACTAGGTAACTTGTACAATTAGTGCTAAATAACTGATAAAAATTGACAAATACGTAATTTTTTTGTAAATGCATGCATAATATCTATAATAAATGCATACATAATATTTGTATATTGTATGTTTTTAAATTCGAACCCGCGAGCATGAACGGTGTTCTAAACTATTAGAACATCGAGGCTGTCAAGAATAAAATAAGACATCAAGAAAACCATTAATAATTTTCAGCTAACAGATATAGAACCTGGTAGATATGTATTTGAGCTGACCGTAACTGACGATCAAGGCGAGTCGGATCGTGACACTGTGAGCGTGCAAGTCAAACCTGACCCACTGGAGACAAGTCTACTAGAGATGACACTGAATATACCTGTCTCAACATTTACACAAAGCCAACTAGACTCTCTTGTACAAAAAATGACATTGTTATTGAAGGACGACATAAAAGTCAATATCAGTGCAGTTAGAGGTCAAGTGGATTCTGGAAATACACAACTCATCTTTTTCTTGTCGAAGGAGGTAAGACTTACGCTTAATAGAATATAACTCATTTCGCGTCCGTTTATTTTCTATTCCGGATGCATAAGAAATGTAATATTGGATGTGTTCCTTTTTGCTCATCCATCTGAAAGAGATTACTTTTTTTTCATACAAAAATAAACCTGTATCATTTATTACAAAGAATCGACAAACCTATACTTTGGTATTCAACCATAAATATAAAGCTCCGTTTTTCATTCATAAAAGCTATCAATGTCGTTACATATTTTTTTATTATGTTACTGCTGTTGACACCTATTGTAAGGGCTGTGTCTTTTGTCGTCATAAAATTTTTATATAACAAACATGAACCGGTTTTTTCTCGAAAAAAAATATATAGTTTCAATTTCAACAAAAGTTTCTCGTTAGAATGGGTACTTTCAGTAGAGCACTATAAATCTATGTAGGTCGCAGTGCTACAGGTCCAAATACCTGACAATAGTCCAAACGACTCTATAAAAAAAATGGATACTTTTATCCCTGTGGGGTGGTATACCATGTTCCGGCTAACCCTGTATCATCATCTGCTTCTTCCTTATCCCATTTATTTGGGGTCGGCGTAATATGTTTTTCTCTTCCATTCATCTCTGTTCGCAGTCATCCCGTTATTTACTCCTTTTCTCACCATATCATCTTTCACACAGTCCATCCATCTCGTTTTCGGTTTTCCTCTACCCTTATAACCATCCACATTCATATGTAACACCGTCATTAGGATATGATCGTCATTCCTATGCATTACATGCCCATACCACGATAGACGATTACTCTTTAACCTCTCCGACATCGGTGCCACTTTCATACTTACTCTGATGTATTCATTCTTTATCTTGTCTATCCTCGTCACACCACACATCCATCTCAACATTCGTATTTCAGTTGCATGCGAAAGGCCCATAAAGGCGACGGATGAGAGACGACTGTCTCTCATCCGTCGCTTTTATGGGCCAGCACTCTGATCCATACAAAATAGCAGGCAGGATCATGGTCTTGTAAATTTTGCCCTTAAGTTTAAGGGGGAACTCGTGTGTTGCACGTCGTCGCCGTAACCTGCCGCCACTTCATCCAATCTGAGTTAATCCTGTGCTTTATGGTTCGGTCTAATTGGCCATTGCTTTGGAGGAGTGAACCTAAATACCGGAAATCGGAGCAGATCGGCAATGGAGCTCCATTTAGTGATATGGCTGCAGAGCCAGAAAGACCGCCAAAGTCGCAAAACATGTATTCCGTTTTGGAATTACTAATCTTTGAGCCACCACTTTCCAGCTTTTGCTGCCACATCGCCAATCTACTCTGTATCTCAGCTCCCTCCTCACCAACGAGCACAATGTCATCTGCAAATAGCATGCACCAGGGTGCCTCTTCTTGTATCTCCAACGTCAAGGCATCCATTATCAACAAAAAGGGGTACGGGCTTAAAGCCGATCCCTGATGCAAGCCTACAGACACACTGAACTCGCTGGTATTTCTCGCGGCCGACCGAACGTATGTACGAGGTTGACTGTACATAGCACGAATCAACTCCACATACTTCACTGGCACTCCTCTATCATTCAGGGACCACCACAAAACCGGTCTGGGTACTTTATCGTACGCCTTTTCCAGGTCCACAAACACCATGTGCAAGTTCTTGTGAGCACGTCTGTATTTTTCACACAGCTGGCGCAGTGCAAATATTGCATCTGTGGTACTTCGGCCTGGCATAAATTCAAACGGGTTTTGAGTGATACTAGTCTTGTAGGGTCCTAAACTAAGGATTTTTAGATTAAAAGATTGTTTTATGGACTGTAAGTGAGATGTAATAGTTGAAATATAAAAGTCTCTCCAGTCCGGCCAGCCGACGATGTCCGAACAAGTCTCATCACGCAATCGCAATATGATCATTCCTAATCTTGATATCATTTTGCCCTCCATTACTTTTATTTTTAATAGATCTCTATCCTCCGGCGTCTTTCCTTCCAAATGGAAAGATGCTCACATTATTCCTCTACCCAAAAAGAACATTCCTACCTCATTCGCAGATTATCGTCCTATTTCCATTCTCCCTTTCCTATCCAAAGCCTTTGAACGTTTAGTCCAACAAAAGCTTAATTCATTCCTAACCAGACATAACCTTCTAAATCCTTTACAATCTGGTTTCCGCCCTGGTCATAGTACGACTACCGCTCTTATGAAAATATCTGACGACATTCGTCTTGCTATGGAGAACTCTCAGCTTACTGTTCTCACATTACTTGATTTCAGTAATGCTTTTAATACTGTGGATTTTGATATCCTATTAGGTTTGTTGTCCTCTCTCAACTTATCTCCAACGGCAATTGATTGGTTTCGTAGTTACCTGTTGGGGCGTCGCATCGATGACAGCGTATTCGCATCGATGACGCTTTGTCTACTTGGTGCCTTACGTCAGCTGGCGTGCCTCAGGGTGGTGTCTTATCTCCTCTATTATTCGCTTTGTTTATTGGCTCTATCACTTCTACACTTCAATCTTCCTACCATCTTTATGCAGACGATCTCCAAATCTACACTCAGGGGCTACCTTGGTAGATATTTCTCAAGCCATTTCCACAATTAATGATGACCTCGCCCGTATATCTGCCTGGAGTAAGTCTTACGGCCTTGTTGTGAACCCCTCGAAGACACATGTCATCATTATAGGTAGCTCCAGATATATTTCGCAAATATCTTGGAATGACCTTCCACCTGTAGTCTTTGATGGAGTCCTTATTGAATACAAGAAATCTGTAAGAAATCTTGGCGTTGTGTTTGACTGTACTTTGTCTTGGTCCCATCAAATCTCCGAGGTCAGCAAAAAAATGTTTGCGGCAGCAGGTAGCTTGAACAGATTGCGTAACTTTCTCCCTTTTGAAACCAAAATTGCACTTGCTCACTCCTTACTTCTTCCTATCCTCGATTACGCAGACTCCTGCTATTTAGATCTCACTGAAGAGCAACTAAATAAACTTGAGCGACTTCAAAATTTATGTATACGTTTCATATTTGGTCTGCGCAAATATGATCATATTTCCCATTATCGTACTCAACTCAAGTGGCTCCCTATCCGTCTTCGTCGCAACTTACACATCCTATCACTCCTTTACAACATTCTCTTTAACCCCCACACTCCTGATTATCTAAAAGACAGTTTCACATTTCTCAGTGAGAACAGTAGCTATCCGTCGCGTAATGTTAACAACCTCCTTCTCAGATATCCCTCTCATTCCACTTCCTTCTATTCTAAATTCTTTTCTGTCCAGGCTGTCAGGTTATGGAACGCACTCCCCCCTTGCATTCGGAGCATTCAGTCACTTGCTAGTTTCAAAGTCTCTGTCAAATCCCACTTTCTTTCCCTTTAAGTTCATATTGTCCTCTTTGTCTCATAGTTCCCTTCATATATACAGTATATGTATGTTTATACTTTATTATATATATTAATAGATATATTTATGTTCATTACGTGCACCACCTACTATTTTCTTATCTTAATGTTACTTTCTCTACTGGTAGTCTGGAAGAGATTGCTTAGCGATAAGACCGCCTTTTGTATCAGTTTATGTATTATATCATTTTGTGTGTTTTCTTTGTCTGGTGCAATAAAGAGTTTAAATAAAAAATAAATAAAATCGCTTCTCTATAATTATTGCAATTTGCGCTTTATTCCTCGATAATTATTGCAATCCAGTACATCACCCTTATTCTTAAAAATGGGCACTAGGGCTAACCACTTGCATCCATCTTCTCCTAATAATTTCCAGACTTCTGCTGGTATGCCATCTGGCCCAACAGCTTTCCCATTCTTCATACTTTTCACTGCTTTCCTTACTTCATCCATACCAATCTCATTTACTACACCGATGTTTACCGATACATCTTTTGTAGGATCACCCACAGATTCTCTTCATTCATAAGTTTTTCAAAATATACCTTCCAACGTATTTTTATGTCATCGTCTTAACAAAATTTGGCCTGTATCATCTTTTAATATCACCGGCTAACCCTGTATATAGTGAAGTAAGAAAGCGATTTGGGTGTGACGACGACAGGGTAAAGCGATGGAGGGTGCGGCGGCGCTGCCGCTGTCGCGGGCGGCGAGCGCGGCGGCGGGCGGCGGTGGCGGGGGGGGCGGCGGCGGCGGAGTGCGCGTGCGCGCGGTGGCGTGCCTGAGTGCGTGCTCGGGCCGCGGCGCCTGCGACCGCGCCACGCGCACCTGCCACTGCGACGCCTTCTGGATGCAGAGCCTCTTCACGCAGTTCGATCCCGACGCGATGCCCGACTGCGGTAACTACCACTACTCGCTTATATATATTTTATCCCTTCGTTTTTATTATTATGTTCACGCAGTTCGATACCGACGCGATGTCCGACTGCGATAACTACAACTATGACTATTTACCCGCGACGTTCGGAAGTAAAGAGTTAAACCGCTAGACTACCGAGGCCGAGACTTATGTTAAATAATGTGTTTTTTTTTGTGAATGCTTATTGAGTGGTACACCCGCCTGCGCTAACGGTTACGCTGGCGGAGGACCATTGGAGGATGATAAGATGAGCATGAGGTCAGGTCAATTAGCCCATCGTGACAAATTCACCATTAATTTATTACGATGGTTTCCAGGGAGAACCGCATGGAGGTCGACCTAACATGGTATATTGCTAGCAATGGGAGTTACTAGTTCCCGTTACTAACAATCTCCTTCTCCCCAATAACATTTGATCGGTCGCGTGCAGACTGGTCGGTGGTGTACGCGAGCCTGGGGCTGGTGGCGGCGCTGGTGAGCGCGGGCGCGTGCTGCTGGGGCTGCGCGCGCGCCGCTCGCCGCACGTGTGCGCCGCGCCCGCGCTCGCGCCCCAAGTACCGCCTGCTGCCGCTCGCCGCGCACGACGACGCGCCCTGTGAGTGTACACCCGCCCTAACACCCAATAGCCCAATAGATCTATGTGGGTCGCAGTGCTACAGGTCCTGACGATAGCCTAATACTTCAATGAATAACATGCCCGCTAGTATGACCAGATGGCCATTCTTAAGTAGGTATCAGGTATAGTCGTTATTCGTAAAAAGTATTTCACTTATTTTCTGATGGCTGATTTTTATAATATTTTGATCAACATGATAACTGCTTCAAATTGCCAAACCGAATCATCAACCATACACATTTCATTCAGCAGAATATAAGTGATAACTGGTAAGAATGGTTTCTTAGTCTATCTATATACATCTGCACTCTCTTTTCAGTTGCTTCCGATTTACTACAATTTTTTACTTACACAATGGTTAATATTTTTTTTGTTTCATTAGCATGGCAAATAAGCTGATTGGGGCCGCCTAGTGATAACCATCGTTTATACACTAACAGCACTATGGATATCATGTTGAAATCCATAGTACATACCCGCGACAAGACTCATGCAGTGCCATTTCAGCCTGCGATGTCTTGCTTCTTATCCTGTAATATGCCTAATCTTCCTACAACCAAAACACAGCTTACGAAGCAATCTAGTTATGTATATAAAGTAAATCTATAGTAATAATTCCGTCAAGGGGTACGGTAGACTCGAACGAAACCTTATCGGTCTTATTACAAAAAATCTGTTAAAACTCGGACGAAACGTGGTCTAAATGGTCGTGGTTTAAACCATTCCTAAAGTTAATACTTGGAATAAACCTAACATTATTACGAATCCAGATCTAACAGAGGACTACTTAGTACTACAGTTAAATCGTTCATTATGTATTCCATACAGAAATCAGTCACTCATGTCTGTCACCGTACAATTACGTTCCATTTTACCAGAAAACTGAAAAGATCAAAAATAATATTAGTTCAAAGAAAAATGCATAAACTAAAAATAAATTTATTTCTATTTATCTATATCTTCATTATAACTATTTCATTAATATATAATATTTATTAATGTACTATTAGGCTGAAAATCAGTTTTAAATTACAAGTAGGAGTCCTATACGGAGAAAAGGAACGGCGAGATATTTTTATTGGATCGTTCGAATGATGACTATTTCAAAGTCAAATGAGTGAAAAAATAACAATTAACGTCTTTTATATGTTTTTATTGTCGTAAAATTTGCTTTAAATATTTTTAGTTAATATATTTTTAATTTAGTTAAAATATTTTTCCAAAAACTACAACAATAGAATTTTTAAAATGGAGTTTGTATTTTTGCATTTAGACCACTGTTAAACTAGGGGCATCGCAGGTCTAACTTTAGACCATAGACGAATCACGATTTAGAGATAAACTTCATTTTGTAATAAGGAATACATTGGTGAATGGTTTATTACTAGTGCTAAACCAGATTTATCTTTTTGTAATAAGGCCGTATGTGATTAACAAAACATAAAAAAATATTGATTTCGAGTCGACAACATATATCCGCCAAATTCGGATTATGGAGTATTTCGTTAAATTCTAATGACACTGACAAACGAACCGCAGTCACCATATTTTAATTTCACTAGCATTTTCTTTGGTCGTTGACGTTTCGCGAAAATATTGTTTTTGACACTTTATGATAAAAGAGTATGTGTTTTTCCTTTAAACCAGAAATTGACCGATTGCAAGACAAATTTGGCAATTTTTTTTATTAATTTGCTTTTTAGCACAACTTAAAGTTTTACAAAAAAATAAAAATTATTTGTATAAAAACTTTTGCACTTTTTATTTACTATATTTATTAAACACAATGAACGAAACTTTACAAATCTATGCCTTGCTTACTTTTAATATACCATGTAGTCATACAGAAATATCTACCCACATTTCACCCGAGCGAAGCCGGGTTTTCATCTAGTATTTTAATATAATAAACAAACATAAGTAAATGTAACTACTTTACGAAAATTCCTGTTATCCTTTTCATAATTAACATTATGAAACTTTCGTCTTTCCAGTTACGGGTAAAGACGTGTCAGAAACTGAAACGGATTCAGATGTTTTATTTGAATCTAAAGGTCAGACGACATCATTCCTATCGCGATCAATGAACGGAGACGCACCCCAAGGGAATGGATGGAAGAAAAACGGACATTATAAAGGAAATCGTAAGATTAAAACGTAGCCATCTAAAATGTACCGTCTCTGTCATTAAATTAGTATCGGTCAGTACAAGTGTTCTTAGAAACGTTACCGAAAAGATTTTAGTTTCAATAAAAATCACTGTGACAAGCTAATATTTTTAAGAATTACTTTTTTGGACTGGTATTGTCTGGTATGTAATTCTTGGGTATGTAGTATAGCACATATCCTCGTTATAGTTTCGATATATCGAAAAACCTTTTCAAATTATACGGTTAATGTAAGCAAAAGGTTAAAATCAAAATAAGTGTACCAGACTATATCTACAATACATTTTACTAATGTAAATGAAAGGCTATGACGCTAGTAAAATATGACAATTACCATAAAGAGCATCGAAATTAATGAATAGTAGAACCAATCAGATTTTGTACTGTAGGAAACATTTTTCGCATGCCGTATAGTAGTTATAGTGAGTAATTGTTAATGACCCTGAAATTTATAACAACGAATAAACGGATTTTGTATCAAACTTACAGAATAACGCACAATAAGTGGCAGAAGATTTATCAACAAATCCAGCTTCCATTTCTAAGTCAATTAACGTAAGCCATCAATAAATTGAATAGTAATAGATAGGTTGAGTTTACTATTACTATCTTTTCCTGATTTTGATGAATTTCTAGCGTTATCCAGAACGCATCAGGCTTTTGTAAATTTTCTTCCACTGATTTCCAATACAATAGTCTGTTTTGTAGTATTTATCTAGTAAGTACATATTATAATATATATTATTATGATTATAGTTTTGCCAAAACAGTAATGTTAACATTTATTCACGTTATTATTATTTGCATTAAAAGACATTACAAGGCAATTAAAGATGTGATAAATTTTACAATTTTATTGATTTTGGTATTTGATATCCCAGTATTATTTTTTTTAAATAAGTCAACCATGATGTTTTACGTAACTAAGTCAATGAATTATGTATAACTATATAAGATATTAGATAAAATTAATAAACTTTCCTACTGTTGTTATGCCATTATGTACAGAAAAAAGTATGTGCCTATTTAATTTTAATTTACTAACGATACTTGAGGTAAATAGTGTCTGCAAGGGATATCTGATTCTTTAGCAAGGTTGTTACGGTTGGAAATATTTTTATCCAATCCTGTGACTAGATGCACTGTGTATGCATTATTACACTCGAAATTATGAAATTAAAATTAATAGTGTATATGGATAATAGCAAAGTTAAAATTGTTTAAATTGAACTTCTTTCTACATAGGTAAGTACATTGGAAATAATTGATAAAAATATTCATACAAACTATGCGGACAGTTAATTTATATGGTATTTATAAGTTCCAAATTTATTGTCTTTTACTTCTTGGTGAAAGTGGTTCAGTTCTCTATCTGGCTTAGTTTTGACTTAGTATACTGAAGTATTTAAAAAAACCTAAACTGATGTGTGAAGAGATCCAATAAGCATATTATTTTTTAAAAATTAACTAAAAATCAGAACTAAACCAGGTTATTAGCTCCGTACACTCGTTATTGAGTTATGAAGTTGACTTTTGAAGTGAATTTTTAAATCTTAAATAAGATTTCAAAAACATTAGATATTACATGGAACTCTTTTTGTACGGGGTTAGTTGAAAGGGTATAACCAAAACAAAAACCAGGGAAAATACTATAACGCTAAACACAACTACTTTCAACAAAAAATCGTAATAAATTGATCTGGTGTGTGCGCGCAATTTGTATGGAGATTATTCTTTTGAAAAGTTTTTTAGTTTCATTAATATTTTCATTAATTTCGGCTTGATATACTCATCATTACGGTTTACCTTATGTATTAGTTATAATAATTCAGTGTACTTGTAATATAGTAATTAATAATATTAGCACAATTTTCAAACTAAACAATTGATTTGACCAAATTCTACGCACAGTAAATATAACGTTCTTATAAAATAAACACATTCCGATAAATTCCGTCGCTGATTCGTAATTTTATGTAGTTATTACGACCCGTATGTGACTAATGAGATTTATTACAGATTCATGTTAATTTTTAATTATGTTAAGATTTTTTTTAGAGCTACGTTCTTATTTTATTGAAAATCGCTAGTACTTACATTCCAGTGTAGTTAGTATGTTAATAATGTGTATGTTATGGACCAAGTGGTTAAGGAGAGTATTATTTACGTTAGGCGAGTAGTATAAATTAATAGAAAAATGAAAATGACGAAATAAAATATTTTGTGCTCTGTGAAACGGCTGGTAAAAATAGTGAAGCTACATGAGTTGCATATCTTTATAGTTCATACACTTAATTATACGTACCTACTACAGTATTTTAACGTAGGCATAAACATAACTTTTATTAATTTAATATTTTATAGTACTCTGATGACATTAAAGATTTCGGCATGGAGATTACAAACATATATGGTTTGGATCACTTGGTTCATAAATTATAATTGTTACTTTTAATAATGTGGCAAGTTGTGTATAATCTGACATAATTATACTGTTATCCTATTTAAGGATATGTAGCTATGATTGTATTTTGTATATTTATAGTAACTAGAGATTAACTAGTTTTTATTAGAAAACTTATTACTTAAAAAATATAATATAATATTAATTCTGAGTGCAATTGCATGGAATGTAAAAATTGTTGTCTTTATATTAACTACATGACAAAAAAGTTTAGACAAAATATGAAAAATTGATCTCCTAAAATTTGTTAAATTTTGTATTTCGGTATAGACATTTTGAGTATAGATTTGTTTGGAATCACTTGATTCATAAATTAAAATTAATGCGAACAAGGTTTAAATTTTTTTTTAAAGAAATGTCTGTCAAGTATTTAAAGATCCTAACAGTTCTAAACTTATAATGGGCATACGACACTTATGGAACTTATTCGCGCCTTGCGCTTTTGCATAAGAATCCAAACAAAAACCCACAAAAAATATCTAAGTATACAATTTTTTTTACCATCACAAGATAGTTTAATGAATATTTGCACGATTAATATTTTAGTTCACTACTAGAACATTTTTAAGTTATCGTTCATATATATTGAAGGTGGTGATATAATCGGATACATTCCGTAAAAATTTTGGGAAAAGCTATTTTTGTTTCAGTAACTAAATAGTGTTTTAGTTCTATAGCACGTTATTCTCAAACTAGTTTAACGCACTGCGTAAATACATTATATTTAAAATTAATCTAGTCATCCTAGTGATTTAGATTATGGCCAAATATGTAAAAATTATATTTTTTATTTAAGGACCGATGTGATTTATGTACTTAAAATATTTATTGGATTCATTAATGCTAACTGATTTTATTGTTCCTTATTGTATTTTAAGTTATAGAATAAAATGAAGTGCAAACTACAATAGAAATTATGAAAATAAACAAAATGCTTTAAATAAAACATGTACCTACTATTTCTTTTTATTATGAATTTATTTCACAAGTTATAGGTATTAACATTTTTTCATTTCGTTGTATATCTGTTCAGGTTTAACAATATCCTTGTATTAATCTTCCGTCTGAAGATTATTCCTATACTTACATAGTTTTCTAAAAGAACAGTTGTGAATTAATTTCACTAATTAAAAGCCTGTATAATTTGAAGTTTTATCGGAAATAGATTATCTTGTGTGTAAATACACAGCGAAATAAAACAGGCGTGAAAATATCTTATTCACATTGTTTCAATTTAAATATAAAACAATATAAGCAGCTTTATAAAAACAAGGTAATAATGATAATAATAACCCAGTACAATTCAAACAGCACCATCTAGTGCTAAGCAGAGTTTGTATTATGACTAGACAATTATATAAAACACATTTATATGCGAGGAATAGAACCCGCGAGGGTCGAAATTAAGGCGGTGTGTTAGACTACGGAGAAAACATGATTGAATACAACAGAAATATGTGAATGTGAAACTGGATATGTGGTGTGATAAGAATGGACAAGATAAAGAAGAAAAATCAGAGTAGGTATGAAAGTGAGCATGATCGTTTTGTGTGTTTGTTACAAAACTTAATAAAATTAAAAAGCAAATATATGGAATAAACAGTTTTAATAATATGGATTCCCATGACCTATGGAAATTTAAATTCATTCTTAGCACTACTGTAATTTACACATTAATTACCACTCAAGGCCGACTTAAAATGAATGTCCCATTACAAGGAATATTTCTTGATGAACAACGTTATAAATTTTGTAATAGACTAAATACCTAGTTTATATTTAGTATAAAAACAAAACAACATATTTGGAATGCATAAAAAATATTTAATAATAAATACCTATCATAAATTAAAATGCACACGTTCGACAATTATCAGCTAAAGTAAAAAATCATTATTTTAAGGTCACAACCTACACCGTATTTCCATAATCGTCATTTTGTAGTATGCAATAAAATTTCACAATCTTGATCAAATTATTATTTAAGGTGTGTAAAAATATAAATGGTAGTTTCTATTTTCTGGGGTGTGACTGTCTAGACAGTGCCATTATTCTGAAACTATTTTAAAGCTATTCTATTAGAAAATTTCGCATAACTTAAGCATCTATACAATGTAATTATTGAATAAAGCATTTATCTATCAATCTAACACGGACTCACTCCGCTACAGAAGACTTGTTACACATTACAATGCTAATTATTATGAACTCGTACCTAGTCAATAGCTACACCTAATAATTATTATAATCTATACCTCTACTTAGATGTAATACACTATATATAATATATATTTTTTAGCTATTTTGTGGCAATCAGTTTCAATAATTTAGAATTATCTAACTATAATAGTTTTATGACATCAAACTAGATTCGTTGAATAAGGAAATTACAGCTCTATGCAATGTTACGTAAAGATATTCTAGTATAAATCATGCTACTTGACAATGTGTTTATTTAATTACAATCTAATCAAACATTTTTAGGACACCAAAAGATTCATTTTAATTTCAAATCACAATAATTATATTTATTTGTGGTAAGTACATCATTTAGAATACTTATTTAAGAATACTTGTTCTTATATAGATGTTCCACTGGTATTTCAAAAAGTGGATACCGTCTATAAGACTCAAAGACTCAACTGAATAGTATATAGTTATCAGATATCATTCAAGGCTCATAGTTATTGCTATAGCTATTCTTATATTATTTTTACGAATTATGATAACCCAATTACAAAACTCTTACATTAACTATTTGGTATATGATTACAAGAAAATATACATATTACAATTATTTAGCCTTCTTTTTACCAGATTTAACAGTTCGTTCGACTTCCTTAGACCACACAATTCTGTTTAATTTCTCACCTAAGAAATAAAGACTAGAAACAAAGCCAAGACAGAATAAATAGAATACAATTCTAATTGGCCAGTTTAATACGGCCAAAATAGGGTAAACCCATTTGTCAGTTTTGAAATAAATTACATGTACCCATATAAAATAAGCAAGAAAGAAAGTAGATAGTATAGTCATGGCAGATTTTCTTGTTGGATACATTCTGAATGATGAGATAAGTTCAATTAACACGAATATAACAATATTAGTATGCATTACATGATTTAACCATGTTGGAAAATATGGATCTAGACTTCGAGGGAGAATTAACTCTCGATCTACAGCATATATGCCCCAAAATGATATTCCAACAAACATGGCTACAGGGTATGCCAGGGCACAAAAAAGAATATCCTTTATACGCCGTATCAGAGGTTTCTCTGACAATGTTGACTCATTGTTACCAAACAGATCATTGAGGAAAGCTATAGTAAAATAAATACTCTGCACTATCTGTAACAAAGAAATAGCAGTATTTATAATGCAATTCTGATGAGTATGTATATATATATAATTATTAGAAGATAAAGCTTTTAACTTTTACTTCATTGCCATAATTATGTATAAAACCTGTGATATTTATTATATTTAACATGAGATGTCATACATATACCAGATCTTGTTTAATATCTTTGCGCATGCTGAATCTACAATAGTGTATAAATGTCTGTATTGAATTCCTAACTATTGAACCATATTGTGTCTCTAAAAGAATATTTAATTTAGCTTGGCCTTTGATTTTGTAAAAAAAGCACAGAAATTCATTGAAATCTTAGTGTTTTTATGTATATAAAAATAAAATAGCCTGCTTTGTTAAAAGGTATGGTTTTCTATATAGTTGTTTATAGTATTTTAAGTTATAGAATAAAATAAAGTGCAAACTACAGTAGAAATTATGACTACTTAAGGTATACTTTATGGGAAGGATACAAAGAATTGTGCTCACACTGTAATTTTAGCAAAGATAGCTTCCTAAGTTTAATTTATGGCTGAAGTATTTTTAGTTTAGTATTGTAAATAATAGAAGAAAAATGTTATCTTACCGCATCCAAATATGTCAAATATTTTAATTTTCCGCCCAATGTTGGGGCAGCACTACCAGGAATATTAACATATACTGCATCATAGTAACATCCATAACAAAATTGTATTGCTCCCAACAAATGAAACAGGGTTTTTAACAACATACTGTATAATTCACTTGAAGATTCTGTAATGTAAAACGAAGTATTAAACTGGGAACCGGACGGACACAATATATGTACATGTTTGTTATTATATATACATTATACTGTTTCGTAAATGTCAAGATTTTGGATCAAAAGTAATGTTAGTTTCTCAAAATAAAAATAATATAATGAAATAAGAATCAAAGTATGATATGACTTAATTTTAAGTGAAAGTAAAAACTAGACCGGACAAAAATATATAAATTATTTAATGTAATTTTAAAATACTTAAGTCTTACAAACCGATTTATTTTTTTAAATAATGTAGGAAATTACGTAGTATTCATTCCATATACTATACTAATAAACTAAAAGATATTCGGAACTTTGATTATTTGAGAAGAACTAAAATTAACTTAGGTTAAGTAGGTAATGACTTTTGTATTTATAGCACAGATCTGAAACACTGACACGGACAACGTAATAGAAGACAGGCTATGTCAGCAATATAATCTATGATGACGTGTAGTTTTTTTTATTAATATGTTTTACGGCTCTGGATACAAGTCGTGGGCATAGACCAACTACGTTTTCTATAAATTACAAAAAATAAAGTCAGTGTCTATTACGAGTTGGTTAGTTTCATGGTTACCAGCTTTAAAAGTACCTTAGTCGGGTAAAAATAGAAAATTCATTCTGGAAAACGGAGAACTGAAAGTTGCTATACCTAAGCAGAGAATACAGATCTTAGAAACGGAAATTATTAGTTTTTCTATATGGTTTGCTATGTTTAAGATACAAAATAAAATAACCACAACAATTTCAAAATTGTCTCATTTTATTTGATCCGAACATGATTATTTAATATATATATATATAAATAAGTATAATAATTAAAATAACTATCATATTGTTTTGTTACTTTTTTTTAAATAAAGAATATTGGGTTATTTGCACCCACGATAAAAATTAGGAATGTGACAGTGATTCTATCATATTACGTTGTGTTATATCGTTTTCAGCGTAAACCAATTCATTATGATAAATTTTAATTCAGATAGAGTAGACCTTCGCAAATATACCCTTTACCATTTGCATTGACAATAAAATTAAAATGGGGAAAGAATATTTGTGTTATGAATCCATGATGTGTCAATTTGTGTGTTAGTTAAATTAGTATCATTTGTATGTGAATGGAATTGCTAGTGAGAGCTAGGAAAGAATAGATTATATAATTAAATCGGCGGTAACTTGGAATACGCGTGTGGTGCCAGGTCGGGCCGTGGCGCAGTGAATGCCGCTGGCGGAGCGCGGGCGGCGGAAGGCTGCGGCAGTTCGGGCAGCGCTCCGCGCACCAGCCGTCTCAAAGCGGCGTTTCGACTTCGAAGAGTCATCACTTCTTCATAAATACGTTCCCGTTCTATGGATAAAATACTTAAATATGCACAACAGGTACTAACGAAGTTTCGCAATATGCGCATTATAGAAGACTTTTAACATATTTAAAACATGTCTTGAACAAATTGATATAATTCATTTTCGTAAATACTAATAGATACCGCCGCCGGGCCGCCGCTATATAAGCGGCGGCCTTACCCATTGCGAGGCCCTTTGTCCTACGTTAAAAATACCTAAGTGATGCCAACGAGTATGCGGAAATTTTCCGCTGATTTAAGAAAACAACATCTTATTCTCTTATCTTATTTCACATTTTTTTAAATATGTATTTTTTATTCTAAATTTTACTGTTGGTAATTTTGTTTATTCGCGATTAAATGCCTGCCCTGCAAGAACGAGGCCTCGGGCGATTGCCCTGTTCGCCACCCCCTTAGGCCGCCACTGTATATATATATCTTATATATAAAATTCTCGTGTCACAGTTTTCGTTCCCATACTCCTCCGAAACGGCTTGACCGATTCTCATGAAATTTTGTGAGCGTATTGAGTAGGTCTGAGAATCGGCCAACATCTATTTTTCATCCCCCTGTAATCCAAATGTTAGTTGTAGTCCACCCCTAAATTTTTTATTTTTATTTTAAGGCAAAACAACGTTTGCCGGGACAGCTAGTATACATATATTATTGATTTTAATTTGAACAACGACTTTGGGATTTTTATTTCAATCGTCTTTTTGTGACAACACATTCGATTCACTAAATAAACAAATTATAAGTTACAAGAATTACTATTAAATACAAGTCCTCAAAGAAAAACAATAATCGCAATATAGAATATGTTACAAATAAACATTAATATAATTTTACTAAAATATTATAAAAAGATTTTACGTACCTTGTAAAATAGGTAAATAATTATTTAGGCCAGTAAGTAGACCATCCCAAAAGCGGTCTTTTTCAAAAGGGAATATATTTTTCCATTGAGCCCAATACTGCGTAATCTCTTCAGTTGTTAATTTTCGTGAAGGTGTACTAAAGTTTAGCGGCTTCACGCTATCCCTATGAGCAATAACGAATGGCTTTATACCCAGCAAGCTAACTTTTAACATATCAAACGCATATCTTAGGGTAGTTTGGCGTTTATAACCCCCATATTTGTATACGATAAAACAGCTTGAATTAAACACAATCATAAATAAATGGTTATCTCTAACACGTAGTGATTTAACTTATTTAGTGTATTTCTGTCGCTTAAGAGACAAACGCGTTGAAAACTAGATATTAACGTCTCTGTTTCATAATAATAATAATAATAATAATAAAATAATAATAATCTTTATTTGTCTCGAACAGAAAGTTTTACACAATACAACTATTGCCCATAGAATAATATAATTTAAAAACAAATTAATGAGACAAAACGGTCTATAACTCAGTGAGGGCAGTGAGTCCACCCTCTCTGCTATTCTGTTATAGCCTTTACCAGTAAAATACAATGTGAGATCGACGACGACGATAGCATATTAAGTTTTAAACTACAACTAACAAAACAAACATAAAAATTGACAATAACAAACTTAAATATATATAATCTAAACATTATTCAGGATTAGTTACAACATTAAATAACATCTACAGGGTTATTTTATCACATATACCATCAGACGCAGACTTGCGTGTACACACATATATCGACACAACTTAGTAAATTACAATACTACGAAACGGGGGATTGTTCTTGCAGCAACCATTTGCTACATTTGCGCCTAAATATTGGTAAGGATAAAATCAGCGATGAACGAACTGGCGGGGGCGAGTCGTTCCAAATTTTTGCTGCAGCATACTTAAAACAACCCCTAGTTCTTATGAGCTTGATGAAAGGTTTAGAAAACTGATGACATCTGTCTCTGAGGGAGTCTATTTTAGATTTATAAACATTTGTTTTAGGACAGCAGTGACATAATGTTATATTGAGACTTAAATAATCTGTTTCTTCTTTTTATTTTATATATTTAATATACAATCGATTTGTTATATAACTAGTATTTATAACCTAATTGTACAACTAAGAACTAAAATAAAAAGCTTAAAAAAAAAAAAATAATAATAATAATAATATAATTTTGTATTCCTTATGGAGTGCAAAAGACAAGCATACTTTAAAATACAAACATTGTGTGAATTTAATATATTATTTCTGATTAAATAAGGTGTAATATGATCTCTCCGCGGTATATTGTAACAAAATCTCATACAAGCATTCTGTACTCTTTGTTTTATTTTGGCAGTTTTTGCAATCATACAAGGACTATAAACAATATCACAATAGTTTATTAGTGATAATACTAGACTATTGCATAATAATAGTCTTATGCCTCGTTTGAGAAACGTACAAAACTTATAAAGCATTTTTAATACCCCATAACACTTAGCTACTTTACTTCGGATATGGTGTTCAAATTTAATATGCTCATCCATGAGGAGACCCAGATTACGTACACTATCTTGATATGGTATAGTAATATTGCTAAGTTTAATTGCCGATTTACACTCTATAATATTTTTAACTTGTTGTTTAGTTCCAAATGTAATAGTACTACTTTTATTGGGATTAAGTGTAAGACCATGTTTTACTGACCACTCTATTATTGATGTCAGATCTATATTTAATTTGTTAACTCATATTATAGTATAGTCATAATAGCCTGTTGCTAAATTCTCTTAGATTAAACAAACATATTTTTTTACTTGAATACTTACAAAATGTCATAAAGTTGCTTCTTTTTGGGTGGTACAAATACCAACATAAATTCACTCAAGGCTGTCAACACCTGCATGGGCTCGATTTCTAGGTAATGGCCCACTATGAAGAAATAAATAAATACGCAATAAATAGATACCTTATTATGAATTGAGTCACAAAATATAAATATTATATTTTCCTTATACATAATGGTATGATGTGGCATCTTTGTTTTCGCAAAATTAATGTCTCTAAATTATCTGTAAATTCAAAGACATACCACAACTTACCATCCAGGTCAACCTGGAGCTTTCAGCTTGTTTTTCCATTTCAATTATATAAAAAAATGTAGGTACACAAATTTACTTTATACAAAACTTGATTTAATAGTTTTAAAATTGGTATTGGAAAAATAACAAGTAACAGATAAAATAATTATTCAGATTTGTTGATGACATAATTCTTTTCCTTTGAAGCTTGATAGTGCCAGTTATTTTATAAAGTTATTACTACTAAATAATATTAGCTATTATATATAAAAAAACATGCTGACCTGGGCAGAGAAAAGGATTTGTTGTCCTTGTCGTGCTTACAGTCGGTTGTGAGGATACTGTGACGCCTCGAGCACCAGCACGTCGCGCCGACGTGGGTCCCGTGGAATCAGAACCTCCACCCGTCATAGATACAGTAGCTGAAGATAAAATTAAATGCTTAAGAAACGGATATTATGTACTTATTTTTATTCAAAAGACTGTACAAGTAGAAACTTACGCAATAAAAATAAGTTAATTTTACCTAAATGCCGTCTACACAAAGTTAGTAATTCATTTTATGGTAATTGCATAAGATTCTATAATAAACTGCCAGAATCTACGCTAAATCTAACAGAGAGGCAATTCAAATTTTATAGTAAACAAATGTTATGTAAAAAAGCCTATTATAGGATAGATGAATTTATAGATGATAGCAATATATAGTAAGTATAAGTTTATTTGCGGACAACGTTATAATTTATTTTTCATACTGCTTTCTTGATATTTGATAGCGTAGCGGCTTTTGTATTGATTGCCGCATGCATCCTCATGTGCGAATTACTATATGGTAGTTACAGTGCGAATACTGTAACTACCATATAGTAATTTTTGTAGTTGTGACGTGGTCGAGTGGAATGAGTAGTCATGCACACTAAAATGTCCAGACATGTGGCGGCGTGGTGGGCCGGGTCATTGGGCTCCCTAAAATATGGTCGAGCGCAGTGATGGCTGGCTCATCCGTCATACTCGTGAGCGAGTGCTGCTTGTAGGGACTGATCTGCTCTTATCACTACGACTGATTTAATCTTATTGTGTTTTTATATTTGAGCCTAAATAAATTAGTGCTGGTTGGTAGTTTGTATTCACACGTTTCGACTTGTAAAATGTGAACTTACAAGGATTGTTTAAAAGAGCAACACACAAGTTTCTTGCTTATTCTTCTTGTGATGAGACAGCTTTCCGAATAAGTGGTAGATTTAAAAAAAATATTGACTATTCAAAAGTGCTTAAATTAAGTTTATTTGAATAAATGATTTTCTATTCTATTCTATTCAAACAGGCAAAGTTAAGCTTACAAACAGGAAAAGATTAAAAAATGCAAATTATTTAAAGCATATATTTAACAATAAATGTTAATAAAAAAATGTGTAGTTATCAGGTATTATCAAAATACTAAACTACTAAATAAGACAGGCATTACTAAATAGTTATAATATACAATTGATGTTAAAAATATATTCTGAATAAAATAAAATAAACAAAAATCGTAAACTATTTCGTTAAAATAATTAAATAAGTCGTAAGCGAACCACCCTAATAGATACTAAACATTTACTGTCAGTTGGACCTGTGTTTTAAACAACTTTACGAAAGGAGAACGCAGCTAATCAAGATTAATGCCACGTGATTTAAACATAGTAATGACTATTCTACTTCTTAGTCTGAAAACTTACTTTGAGGGTCGCCACATTTTTGTATGATTTCGTCTGCTTCAGCCATAAGTAGTTGATCAGCTGCTGACAATTCATGAGACCTGTACAAAAAATGTAGGTAGATTATTTAGGATACTAATATATTTCGCAAAATGTGGGCATTATGTTTAGGTACTACGTTAATTCCTAATTGAGTTAAACTAATTTACTTTAGAATTATTGGTGAGATTCAATACTTACGAATCACATGCTGAAGGTACACGAGTTACTTATAAATAAATTGCCCGATAGCACTTAGTATATGATGTTATAGCGTCGAGTAGATTAGAACTTAGTAAATTGGAATGGTTAAAACTGTGTCCTAATACAATTCGTGAATGGGGCAATAAACTTAAATACAATGGTAAATATTGTGACTCCTTGTAAAAATAGTGACTTATGGTAAATTTTTGGTAAATTAGCCACAATGTTAGCCACGACCTCATTTCATCTTCATCCCGTCATCTATCAACCACCACCGGTTCCCCGGTAGTGTAAACCGTTAGCGCAGGCGTAATAAAGGTAATAAAGTTAATTAATAATAATAATAATTTTTTTTTTATTTTATCTCCACAAATTATGTAATTTGTGGAGATAAAAATAAAACTAAAATTATGTAATTTTAGTTTTATTATATAAATGCTATCAAATAAAAATCACAAATATAATTTGTGGGAAATCTGGAGCCCAAACTAAGCCATAGCCTGTAACTTAGACACCAGGTCTCCCCTTCATATAAATTAGTTATACATCTAGTTTTAAGTTTAAACGTGGAGTGCATTGAGCATGTGTGTGTGTGTGTGTGTGTGTGTGTGTGTGTGTGTGTGTGTGTGTGTGTGTATGTGTGCGTATGTGTGTATGTGTGTGAGTGAGTGATCTATGTAAAATTTATATATAAACTTATAATTTATATTTACTTATATTTACATGTGTGTACTTAATTTATGTATATTATAGTTTTATTACACTGCATATCTTTTCCGTTTCATCGTAATTGGTACAAATGCATGTAATTTGATAGTAATTTTTTACTCTAAATAGACGCCAATTTACTGACAATGGCTATAGTTTATGGTCTTACTTGAATCCGACATGGGCAGATCGAGATGTGCTCGCTGAAATGCTTCTGGCAATACTGGAGCGTCCACGCAATGAAGGCCTTTCAACTAATAATATAGAAAAATATATTTAAAATAATTACTTGCGTAGGTACTTAAGAAATTTATGCATGCAAATATGTAATCAAAAAAATATATTACCGCGCCCTCCTTTAGCGCTGATGCTAGCTTGATGTGAATCTTCATTTGTCAATATAAAGCTTGGCTGTTCAAGTACTTCGGATGTTACTTCCATTCCCACACATATAGGACAAAACGCATAATTTAAGAATGTCTTACATAGTAATTCAATATCCTCTTCGGCTTGAATTTCAAGAGCCTTAAAGAAATTTAAATACAAGAGTCGTGAAATAAAAAAAAATGGGCAGTCGAAAGCTCGACTTATCATGCAAAACGTGATAACACTTGACGTCGATATTCTAAAGAGGTGCAATATTTCCCGGTACGTACAGATTATTCGTGCTTCACAACCACTAGTGGTCATACTTCTACCACTTAAAACATAATCTAGAAAAAGAGTTGATCGTCTTCAAAAGCTTCAAATTGAACTAATCTTATTACATTTTAAGTACGAATCATCTCGTAGATCCCTAAGGTATGATCGAAATATAGTAAAATTGTATTGTATTTACCATAAATATGGAATCTAATGTACATAAATTTCGGGAAGTCAACTGATACTTTTCAATTAGTTTCAACAGACGGTCTTCTACCAGGAATCCTGTATTGTCTGCTACCATTTGCAATATATGACGAACCTGTAACAATATTTTTTATATAACGGCCAATCTCCACTTTGGCTTCGGCTATAGATGGATCGCTCATCTTCGTGGATATGTTCGCTTGGTTGAGAATGTTTAGAACTAGGTCACTCTGGACAAATTGTTGGTAATAATTGTTGACCTCTGTTGCGGGCGAATGATACAATGTTGTTGGTCGAGACGATGTATATTACAGATGGTAATAAACTGATAATATGTACATAGAAATAATAATCTTATATACTAAATAACAATAGGAAAATGTAAGGTGGGGTGACACAGTTTAGACACAGCAGTGCTTAGTAGACAATATTGAATTTGTCTTACTAGACATTATTAAATGCAATTATTATTTTGATGTATCTAGGTGACTGTGTCCCATAACCTCCACGCGGTTCCCCCTGGAAACCATCGTGATAAATTCCAGATGAATTTGTCACGTCGGGCTAACTGATCTGACTTCATGTTCATCTTATCATCCACCCCGCCATCGTAAACCGTGAGCGCAAGCGGGTGCACCATATCATTATCATCTATAAAAAAGGGTAATAATTGTTATAATAGCCTGATGAGAGTGGCGGTACAGGCAAGGATAAGAGGTCCTGATGCAAGGCCATCCCGGCCTTCAAACGTGGCGTTTCTTCTAATGTTGTTGGTACATGAACAGCAAAGACATTGTCACATAACCCAGGTACCAATTATGCGTTGCTATTCTGGAAGACTTAGATACTTGCATACCCTGTAATTACACTCCCTTATCTCAACCTTCCACCGAAGTACAAAGCAAGCTACTGGAGGCTGAAATGTGTCACAGATAGAGTAAGAGAAATAGGTGACGCAGGTCACTTTGTACAAAGTTTAAGTACTTCAGTAATATATTCAATAGCAATAACAAATATTTTCAATAGATTACCAATTTGTCTTTCGCATCTTGCGCTAATTTATCGTTTGGATCTATAGGCTCCTTTGGCATAATAGAATTTTGTGCGCATTTGTCCAAATCTTCATGTTCTGTAAGTTATTAAGTAAGTTAGTGCACAGCAACACCGTTTAGTAATCTTCTAAATTTACAACAAAACTTATCCTGACTAACTGATAAACATATAGTGCAAACAGCAAATGTTAAAAACTAAAAATGTTAAGCATAGATTTCTTCAGTTACATAGGTAGGCATTGTCTAAGAAAGAACATTTAGAAATAGCAAAGAGGTAATGAAAATTAATAAGTATATAATTATCGTAACATATAGTTTGTAAGGAATGATATTAGGTGTTGCACTCGACTGGGCTAACAGGCTACGATACGAACAGGGCACCTTCATTACATTCCCTTCCTCCATTAACCTATGTATAAAATTATCGTGTTCTAGACCCCCCTCGTTTAATCCATAATAGAGTAGTAAATTAGTCAGGATAAGTTTATATATGTAGAGATTTTACCATATTTAGCTAAGGGGCTCTTTGGTGGTGGTGCCGGTGCTTGTGGCGGTGGTTCAGATAAGACGTGAGCATGCAGCGCCACTTCCGCCTGGCTTAACTCCCGCAAAAGTTGTGAGCATCGAGCGGCAGCCATACGCCACACTTGGCTAAACTTGTAATGATTCACATGAGAGAAGTGCTCAGATTTTTTTTCCAAATCATCCATTGTTTGCATTAGTTTTACAATTTCCGCGTCAGCTTTAATTTCCTCGACAGCACCATCCTCGGCGGCTTTTCGAATTTTCGATCGCAGATTGTTGGCTATATCTGACATTTTGTTTAGTTTCCGTTTTTGTTGTGACCTGACGAAGACGTTCTCTTCCTCCCTTTTTTTAAGAACCTAAAATAATCATAGACATGCAATATAGCTGTAAGTAAAAATTAATAAAATTCTTTTCATTATCTATTCTATATTACCAACAGCTAAATCATTTATTGATTATAAGTAGATATTTAATTACATTATAAGTTATTACTAAGATAATTGACATGTACCTACCTGATAATTGTATCCAATTTTCTCTGTGTTTATAATACATGTAGCTTTTAATTTTTCCAGTTCCTTTTGTAGTTCTTGAATCAATGACTCGAGTTCAATTTTGGCTTCACGATATTTTTCATGGTGGTCCCACATAATAGATTCTATCTCTTCTTTATGTTCTTCTAACTAAAGATTAACATAATGCAGGATTAAATAATTATTTTTTTATAGATACTACGTAGGTGGCACCCCTGGTGCGATGCCCTTAAAAAACCCTAATATTTTTCTTGAAATATTATTCGTTATCAGTTGTATACCTGTAGTAGAAGTACGGAACCCTCTCTCAACTGTTTACAATTTCACGATCATCAGTCGAAGCATAAGCACCTATCAGAATACGTACATATAAAATATACACTATAAAGACACATTAATTACAACTTATAATAACAAACTTATTTAAATAATTATAAATATCACCTGTCCGAACTTGTACTCCATGTGGGCAACTTCTTCTCTGTCACGTTGTTTATACAGGGCCTCCCATCTTTTATTATTATGATCAACCATCGCATCCCGTTCTATATTAATAGCATGTTCTATCAGACTCAGTTGTTTCTCGTAAGCCCTTTGCATAATAGTTACTTGCTTTTCAATTCTATCAGATAATTCTTTTATGTCTTTATCCTAAAAACGAAAGAATTGTGTCAAAGAAACAACTAATAAATGTTTACCCTAAATGCTTATGCTATAGAATTTACAATTGTATGATGTACCTACCTGTTTATCTAAATCTTCATAATATGCCTGATCCATGCGCTTGAGATCATTCTTTAACTCGCCGATGAGGTTATTCTTTTGAGCTAACAAATCGTCACACTTTTGCCTTTGGGCTTTAATTTCAGCGTCTATATCTAAAGGGTCTTTAATAGCCACCATAACATCCCAGTTGGAAGTAATTGCCTCGTACTGTAATTGTGCTTCAGTTGCTTCATCCTCTATTTTTTGTACAGAACCTGAAAATTTTTCATTTTTCTTAATTTAAGTAAACAAAAGTAAAAACGTTTCTCAGTCGTAAAATGTATACATAGACTAAAAATACAGGCATAGTTATTACAAATTGGAATCACCGAGCAACCTGAACAAAAATTTTTATCCAAAGATTATATAAGTACGTACAACAAAGCTCAATCTATAAAAATATCTGTTTGTTCTTACCGACCTCTGAAACGGCTGGACTAATTTTGACGGGATTATCATTCGCAGATTGCTAACACTACAAGGAGTAACTAACTAGGCTTTTCTTAGAAATTTTATTTAGTTAAGTAAAATAATGACATATTCCATGGGGACGAAGTCGCGGGCCTGGTAACAGATAGTCTTCTATATGTGGGTTTTCTACAAGTAAGACGATAAGATAATACTAACGAATCATTTTTTCCGAAAAAAGTGCTCGCCGAATAACTTCCCGCTCGTCCGTCGTAACTTTAACGTTGGTAACGTTAGCAGCACCATCGAGCGCTAATCGTTGGAGTTCTTCAGCCGCAGTTGCTGTTGCCTGTTCGATGGGGCCTGGTTCTTCCTCTCCGCTGGTCTCGTCGGTCTGTTGTTCAGCTCTACACGAATACACAGTATAGGAGGGAAAGGGGATTGTTAGTAATGTGGTCTTATGATCTCATTGCTAGCAATATACCATGTCAGTTTAGACTACACGCGGTTCCCCCTGTATACCATCGTGATAAAATCTTGGTGAATTTGTCACGATGGGCTAACTGACCTGACCTCATGCTAATCTTCTCATCCTCGACTGGAGCCCCGCCAGCGAAAACCGTTAGCACAGGCGGGTGCACTATTCCATTATCATAAAAAATACACAGTATAAAATATATTTTATACTATGTAAAAAAGTCAAAAGTTTTACATACACAGTTTATGATACCTACAACCCGTTATAATGTTACTCTTTGTCAAGCTCTCACCCCGCCCTTAACGCGTGATGTAATAGAGATAGTCTTTTTATGGATTTACTAATGACTAGGGACATTACTAATAATCTACAATGTCAGGTCGACCCCCCCGTATTCCGTCCTGGAAACTATAGTGGGAACATGAAAACGTTAGGCGTCCAATAATGCAGGGCTAGCTCAAGTTATGTCTAATACTAACTACCGGACGTACGGTATTGTCACCGGAAACTTGTGATATCGGGCTGGGAGCCTAGTGGTGCTATACGCTATAAACTTAAAGAGAAGTAACTTGAAGATAGGGATTGTAAGTGCAGGGAAAAGGTGTGTATCAATCGGGTCAGTTCGGACAAAATACTATGAGCTGTCTACCTGGGGCCCCTACTTTGAGAAAACGTTAGCACATGAAGAACGTTACATAATTTAGTAAAAAAAGTTCCAATAACGTAGTTTTTATAAGGGCCTGTTCCTTGTAAATACTACGTTCACTCTATTATAATGCCAAGTTTTCTGTGCTATGGCACATATACCTAATAATATATAGTTTATACATACTTTTTCAGAGCTTCCTGTCTCCTTTTGATACGTAAAGCTCTGCCTGCTTTACGCTCCTCTGGGTTCTGGGACGTAACTTGTGGTTCCTTCGGTGCCAACACATCTTCCTCGTCATCTTCATAACCGCCAAATTTTCCAGCCATCTCAAGATGTTGCAGTATTATTAATTTAGATATATATAAATATCTACAAGTGTATTAGTGACTAAACAAATAATTGTCATAGCAACCGAATTTCAACGGCAACTTTGTTTATGGTTACTCAGAATAGTTTGCAATTTTTTTATTATGAAAATTGTCTGAAGATAATATAAGAATTGCGGGAAGAACTACACAATATTTTTAAGTTGTTATAGTTATACCGGCGCTCGGTACATTAGATTCATTTGGGTTGTTAAAGGTGTTTCTATTATCAGAGTGTTAGTCAGAAATATAAATGTGTTCTATCAATGTCCCCTAATTTCAACTGACAGATCTAAAGTGATAATAAACGAGTTTTTACTATGGACATTATTATAATATACAATACAGTAGCAAAAATAATTGTTATTATTGGATGCTTACAAGTAGTTGAAAACAAATGCTTAAGTCCGTTCAATATAAAGCTAAATGCATCTAATTAGCTAATTCAGTCTTATTTTGTACACCCAATATGTTAAATTAACTTTTCGAAAACAGGTATTATTTTTCAGCAAATTTAAGTTGTTAAAACTGATCATTACACATAATTGTTATTTTCTTACGTTACATGTGTTCAAATTCAATACGAGACTTGATCAGTAATGCATGGATTGGTCAAATGTTTATGGGCGTTATGTATGTAAACTATGGGTAGTTTGATTATTATTTGTAAATTGATTTATGTGAGGGTACTTATGTAATTATGATTAATATTAAATAGTTTGGCTTCCAATCTCCACCAAGTTGTATCTTTTTAATGGGAAAATATAAAGAAAACACGATATATTTATACATATATTTTTTTACTTAATTTACTTTTTGCTGTTAAGAATGATACCATCGTATTTCTGTTGGAACCACTTCATGGCATCTTCTTTTGTCAAACGATGAGCGAACCCAACTTTGCCCGTCTTACGTCTTCTGTGTGCGACATTGAAACCTAGAAAAAAGAGAATCGTAAAATAGGTATTGAAATATTTCTCCATGGATGGTAATGATGATGATTTCACATGTGCAACACCATTTGAGGAAACCAATTAATAACAAATTCTTTATAAACTACCTGTTCATCACACTTTTCATTGTACTTATTTTTATAATTTGGCAAATTAAATTAAATTATTTAAATGAAACCCTAATTATTGCATGCTTGTTGTATCTGAATCTATCCTTATCTCATTAAGAGTAAAATAAAATATATTACTCTTTACAAGTTAAGTTACAATGTAGCACATGATTTACAGAATAGGAAACAATATGATTCCTTCCTTGAACACATGTGCCTATATACAAATATGCTGCACTTAAATATCAGCCCCCAAGAGAAATATTTAATTGGAGACAACATTAAATTAAAACAATAAATTTCGATTTAGTCTCACACATTGAGATTACTAAACAAATTCGAAATATGATTATTAATAGTATAATTTTTGTGTTATAAATATTTTATTACTTTTATACTTTCATATATTTTAGAAACAAATAAATACAGATGAGAATTTGAACCCTTTTCATTTCAAACAAACATATCACATTCTACTTTAACATTTTAGTTCAGAACCTTTTCTACAATGCATTTCGTTATGTATCTTTCATAATTTCATGGAACAAATGTTATAGCAGAACATAAAATATGAACAAAAATAAAGAATTTTATAAATGTAATAAGATATAAAATATAGTCATACCTGGTCGTCCAAGAACAACATAGAAGTCCAAACCGTAAATACCAATGGATGGGTCATATTTAATACCCAAGTCAATGTGTTCTTGAATACCAAAGCCAAAGTTACCAGTGGCTGAAAAGTTGTCACGTCTCAACTCATATTCTCTGACCTGGGAAGAACAAAAAAAATTAGAAGCATTATAAAAAAGGTATAAAAAAGCCACATTAATAAAATTTGTTCTCACAAAATATTTTAAGTTTAGGTAATTTCAAATAACTACCATATATTTATATAGAAATATTCAAATCTTTACACTTAAATTCTTGATTTATTCCCATTAATAACTTTACCCAAAAAATATCATTACATTCCTTCACCTGGCAAGAATCTCTAATCAATTATGTATATAAACAGTAATAACCCACCTTCAGACCTCTTTCAAGGATTTCCTCTGCTTTAGCACCCCGCACGGTACAATGGACAGCAATCTTTTCATTACGACGTATTCCAAAAGAACGCACAGTATAACGGGCCTTTGAAAATACAGGTTGTTGACCAGTAAGTTGTTCCAACACCTGGAGAATACAATACATTTAATAAATGTTGATAATTTGTTTTCAATAAGGTAATAATAAATATTTAACTATATTGATAAAACAAAGTTGTATGATATTTCTACCATGTCTGTAGGTAATAATATCATTTTCCATTAGTGCTGTAGTGGAAAATGTATTAATGAGTATATTTTCCACTACAGCACTATGTTATAATGAAAGTATGAATCTAAGAATTTTGAGGATTTAAGATTTTTTATTGTTCTTTACAATTGTACAGATTATAGAAACAGGACATTTACAATGATAATATTATGAAATAACATTGAATATAGAATTTAAATTTGGGTAAATAATGAAATAAGTAACCACGCATCATTCTGCTATTGTTAGCAGAATGATGCTATACAAACACAAGAAAATATAAACATCTGGACAGCTCCATGGAATAAAACTACTGTCAGCGAAATTCTTAATAAGCATACCCCCTCACCTTCTTAAATTCAACAATTGCATGGTGCTATAAGTATGGGCAGTAGTCAATACAGAGATGAACTACATAAACTTGACTTCAGGTGTTGTTAACAAGAAAACTAAGTCCAACCTAAACAACAGATTTTTATTAACTCTGTTGTTTAGTTTGAACTCAGTTTTATAAAGTCAAATCTATGTTTCATACCATGGTGTGAATGACGCAAATCAATGAACCTAACTAATTTCAAAATACGAGAAAGGAATCGTTAAATTTATTATACATTTTTAAAAATAATGACTAAATACCAATCATTAACAATATAAAGTGTCAAAACTTTATGGTCATGTCAGCAACACCACACTATAGGGAGTATAGGAACTGATATTAATTTTAAAATTGTAACATTACAAGTGTAATTTCTTCGAGTATTCTAAATAGTAAACATTTAGTATTTAGAAGTTGCAAATGAGAAATATTTGCTCTTGCATGAATTTACAAAGAAACACAACGATGTGAGTCTTGAACAGTTCATGCTGCATAGTAACAATAGGTTATACATATGAAAACAACATAGCAAAATAATGGAAATAAACCTTAGCAGCACGAGTTAGCCTGTCACCAGACTCTCCTACACAGATGTTCAGGCATAGTTTTCGTATATGAAGATTTCTCATAACATTTTTAGATTTGTCTTTAGGCGGTTTCTTCTCTTTTTTTTCCTTTTTACCAGCAGTCGGTGGTGCACGCTAAAATATACATGTTTAATTAGTATTCAGTTTATTAGGGAATTTCATTCAATTTTCAAAATGTATAGAATAGGTTATATTATGCCGAAATATAAGACATTAGATGGATCCAAGCACTAAAATATAACACTAGACATAATCTTAAGTAAATTAAGAAAGATTTGAAAATAAAATAAATCTAAAAAAATATTATTATACGTAGATTTTTAAGGATAATTTCATAAAAATTATATAAAACACTGACCGCCATGTTGACAACTTTTCAAAAGAAAATTATATTTTTTTTTATTTTAAATATGTATGGGTTCTAGTGTTGCTTCGATAGACATCAACGTCAACGTGACACTAAGAACTATATATTTTTTTTAATAATTCTTTATACATGACCATGGATACCAGTCCTTCAGTCGAACACATTTTTATATAAATAACATAGAAACTATAACACAGACAGTTTTGCTAACTATTATTTTTGTTGTAATAAAAAGCTAAATATCTTGTTTATTAAAACTTGTTCTATCAATGCAGTCGGTGATGAAAAATAATGAATGACATATGAATAAGGATAGGTAGGCAAGCAACTCGACATTTATGCAACTGCGACAGGAAAGATAGACTTAAAAGAGTTTTTTGTACACTCCTGAAAGGGTACAGGTCGGGATCTCGGGGCGAATTCTTTTGCCCTGGTCCGGGGGTAAAATAAATAATTGTAACGGGTAAAATTTCAAACGATGGCGCCACTGTGCTATAGGATAAATTAATTTTATGCAAACGAGTACATATTTATTCCCGGAAAAAGACGACTGGTTATTTAAGATATATAATAGTAAGGTATTTTTTGTATATTATTTTTCAGCGATTAAAGTAGTATTGTGCCAGTATCATCACTAACAAACCCATCCTCACAACGTTATTATTGTACTAAAAACTAAGTTTTGAGAGTCGTGGTCCTGGAAGTTTTTTAGTGAGATGGTCAGATTCCATTGTTTTCGTTTCCATATATTTTATTTGGATCAAACCCTCTTTAACACTATGACGAATAAAGTGTAGTTTCATTTCATAGTCTATGTCTTTTGATTTCCATGTGATAATAGGATTCTCTTACACACACCATACTTGGACAATATTGTTTGTAGACCAGAGTCTGATTTTATGTGTGTGTTAAAAATGTAATATATTTATCTCTACATAGTAAAACAAAGTCACTCTCTGTTTTTACGGTTAGATTTTTTAAATTACGCTACGAGTTTCTAGACAGCTTCAGCAATAGATAGAGATTGCTCTATACATTGCTGCAAACTGTATTAAAACTCTTGAATCGTCAAGATGTAGGCTTATAAGTAAAATCCGTGCGGTGATAGGCAGTTAGTTTATGAAAAAAATAGTAATGTATCTAAATCTAAATCAAATATCACATGGCTTAGTTTTGGTAAAATCAAATTCAATTATAGTGGTTTTTTAATTATATTGGTGTCTAAATTTGTATTTTACAGATTTGTATAGAAAATATTTTAGATTCACATCTAAGGCGTGATTTTAAAATTCCCAATTAACGGGATATGTATATATGTGAAAGCTTACAATATTTATATATTTTAAATGTACTAATTAAGGGTCTTAATTAGTACATTACGGCACACCAATACGGTAACAATCTAATCATTAATATATTTTTTTTGTTGAAGACGTTCTGGCCAATTGAACTGATGATATTATTGAAATGATTATGATTGCAAGTACTCTGGTACCTCTTCTGTAGTATATAAGTAAATTAAGGTAACAAGCCTAGAATTTAATATCCGGAGATAGATATTATTATTAAAAAAAAAAACAAAAAATAACTATTCTAACGAATCAATTATGCCAAATTCTGACAAGTAGTTCTGAATTAATAAATAAAGGAACATACAGGCAAAACACGCCAATAATTTCATTTATATCAAGCGATATCTTTGCAACTTTTACCAAAGAAATATAAGTATATTAAGTATATTTCTATAACGTTATTATAGGTCAATATACACAAAAACAATGCAGTTGAATAAATTATAAGTAATTTTTGGAGTAAAAAAATATGTGCATGCTCTATTGTCGTCCCGGTTCTATATAAATATTATTCATAAATTGTCTGTTGTCTTTTTATAAGTGAAGTGAGCCGGTCTCGCCGACCGACGGTTCCGTACAAATAATACAAACCGGTTTTTATTTTCTTCATATGAATAATTATTGACCTAAATCTCAATAATTATTGACATTATTATTAAACTACTTATACGGTAATTTAACTATTAAATTTCGCCGAACTAATTTTTACGAACGAAGAAGAGACTATTTATTTTTAACTTATTAGGACTACTAATCAGAGAAAAGACTTTGGGAGCGACCGAAGACCAACTCGGGTCTGACGGATACGGCGCGGTATAGAAGAAGAGTACCTACGTATGTATATAAAAGAGTAGGTATTTTAATTTAGGGTATAAGGGCACCGCTTAAGGATTAAAAGGATTTGAACATTGCTATAGGCCGTTGTAATTTTAATTTATGCTGGAATTTTGAATCGCAGGTTTGTTTTTCGTGTTTCCAATTGAGCTGAAATATTGCATGAAGGATTCGTTTGAAAAATAGATGACGACGATAACTATGTAAAGTTAACAAAACGAAGTCACAATATATGCAAAACATGTGTAAGACTGAATATACAGGTATCTATAAAACAATAATTTTTTCACCGAACTCAGTACTAGTAGGACGATATGTATTCTTTTATATTCAATGACAAGAGCGCCTAGCGCTTTTTCATTGTTTAAGTAGGTACACATACCTACTTGGAGAGAAGCGGTTGCTCGATTTGATCGGGATGTCCGGATTTCAGTGCAATGAGACACTAGAGGTTTCCACTAGAGATGTGACATTGTGTAACTGTATTTTTATTCTAGCTCTGTTGTTTTTAAACTGATATGTGAAATTAATGCATATGATAGGAATACCTAGTTAACTTTTGTTCATAATAACTTTATTTTTTAATTAATTCAATAATGTTACTTAATATTTTAAAAGCTAACTTTAATTTATAGCAATCTAAGTACTTATTCAAGTATATAAATAACTATTCTTCATATTTATGTGAATATTGTGATGCTTCTATTAAATTTGTTCATTATTAAGTTTTTTAAAAAACGAATATAATATAGGTACATTAGTCCAACCGCCTGCGGTAACGGTATGCATTGGCTGGCACCAGTGGAACTTGATAGTCTGAGTACGAAGTCAAGCCAGTTAGTGCATCGTGGCAAAGGTTAATATAACATGGTACATTGCTAGGAATGAATCGTCTAGTCACCATTATTAACAACCCCTCGCCCTGGTGTTCATCATAGCAAATTTTTACATACGCTTCTTGTTATAAATTTCGCTTTTTTTTCTCAAGTACCAATTGTCATAATAAATATCATAATAATAATATGTTTCATTTGGCATAACAAAAGAATTAGAAATCGATTCACTTACAAAATATAATAGTTTGCGACTGGGATCGTTTAATCTAGTTCGTAACTTCTACAATTCTTATTTAATTCGTTCGCTCGACTAGTCTATATGTATTTTTCCGGCAAGTAAGTATTGCAATTTTTTTAGCAATACTTGTTGTGTTTCTTCAAATGAACTATAGAGTTTTAAAATTTGCGAACTTCTTTGCGTAGTTTCTATTTATGAGCGCTCTTTCGAACTAGTTCATTCGTAAACTATACATGCCTATTAGTTATTAGTGATTGATATGACGCGAACTATTCTACGCACGACAATTGTGATTATTTGGTTTAATTAACCAGTGCGCACGCAACGACTTGCTTATTTACTCTTTATTTATTTACAAATTATTTCAATATACATTTACAGCCAACTATACCTTTACGCCAAACCCTGTATGTGAAGGTAGACAGATTATTAAGTAATATTTTAAACGTTAACTACCTTCATAGCCAGAGCTAGAAGAGAGAGAAAAAATTTCCTTCATAAATTTTGCACACTGTTAAACCACAATACAGTACAAAATATACATATTAAGTGTTAAGACTGAAAAAAATTCATGGACGAGCCAAAAGATATTAATCGTAGTATATCAAGCAAATGTAATAGGTTTTACTGTGCTATATGCGATGTGTACACAAACTCAGATAGTCAATTAAATCAACATCTAAATGGTATTAGACACCAACAAAGAGAAAATGTGTTTAAGATGAATTCTGTAAAATTAAATAACAAAAGTGATTTAGAGGAATATCATAACAATGTTAAAGTATATCTTCCAACATTCATTATTATTTCTATTACAATATATCTTTTTTGTTATATTATAACTATTATACTTAAATATTTTTAGTGAGTACCTATTTTATTAAGTAATTAATCGGTCAAAATCAATTTAACGGTGGCTTAAATTTCGCGCCATAATTTTAATTGGCGGAGAAGTCGTCCCCAAGCGTTCACGGCTTCTATGCGCACGAACGAACGCGCAGAACAATGAGGTAGCAGCCATTTTATGTCGGTGTCTAAGAAAAACATAATTCGAATGGCCAATCTTAATGAAATTGTGTAATTAGTGCTATATTTTATGTGTTACTCTACACGCTGCTAGAATTAGGTGTTCCATTATCTATGTGAGTAGAAACTAAGTTTTTGCTATATTTACCTACCAATAGAATAACATACAAACTCGATGCACCAAGATCTAAGCAAAAAAGGTTTAATAACTTTTTTTATATCTCATCTAATATGCACCTTTAGAATCTCTAAAGGTTAATTACACTATGATCTTTCATTTGTTAATTCTGTTTATGTTTACAAAATTTTACTAAACGATATTGTCGCAAATTGCATTCTCTTATTTAGCTGTATCATATGACATAACTTTCACTAAAATTAATAGTATACATCATAAAAACTTGAGTTGTTTACATTGGACTGGTAGTGGTCACTAAATTACTTGTCGCTTATCAACCGGCGTCGCGCAGCCTCGGCCTGAAAGTTGGGGACAAAATTCAATAACGAATTGGCCATTTTATTGATGGCCGGGGGGAGGCTGGGTGGAGACAGTCGGTCGGTGAGCTTCCGCCATTTAATATTTTCTCTTGCATTTTAATTGTTTTAACTTCCTGATTGCACTTAATTGATTTACTATTTTGTTGATAGATAATTTGTCTACATTATACGTATTCACAAACATTGAGTAATCATAAACAAGGTGATTTCGATAATAAGCTTTATATACTATACTTCGTATGTAACGTTATGTTTGTGTATACAGCTATATATTAGTAGTAGGACAATGCAATGCACTCATCTGTATAAATGAACAATATATATATATAATAATGTTGTACTGTAATGTGCACCAATATGAATAAAACATTAAATGCTTTGTTTAAATTGCTGTGTACTTTTTTTTTATTTGATTTGATTGATTGATTCTTTGATATTCTAAGTGACAATCTGACTATTTTTAAAATTATTTATTGTAATAATACTCAGTAAATTGTAAAAATATTTTTTTAATTACTTAGCAAATTTAACCCTTAATTGGTTATTCTAATGTTACTTATTTAAGTAGCTATCAGTCATGACATTATCTAAACAATAATACATAAAAATAAACATATAAAAATAGGTTGTTGTGTTGTTCAATTGTAAGTTATTGTTTTTAATTTCTTTTTATTATATAAAACACTATTTATAGGTATTTGTGTTACAATACAATCTATATTATTCATTAATTAAAAAAAACATAAAGTGTAGCTTAATTTTCTGAATTGTATATTAGTGAAAAAAATAATATTGGTATAGACAGGTTCACTACCTGTCTATACATCCTACATCTATTCAATGATAGGCTATTTTCTTTATTAATCTCTCTGGGTTAATACCCAGCACATTGCAGATGTTTATTAAGACAGTACAGATATTTATGTACAGATGTTTAGTAAGTACAGCACAAAAACAAGTTGTTTGTTTTTGTACCACAAAAGTTAATTAGATTTTATAAAAATCACAAATAACATTGTTTTATAATTACATTATCATTATCCATTGCCTCATGAAAAAGACAGGTGGTAGGCAGTTCTTTTGACATATTTTATAGTTATTTTATTTAAAAACCAATCTGGAATCAGTAGGACCATCTAATAGTATATAATTTTATATACTGAAAAAATATTTAATTGCTGCATTCTGAGCATACTGACAATATATAAATCTAAATTTAAAATTGGTTGTTAAATATAAATAGATTTCTACATATAAAGCAATAATTTTTTAAGCATATTTTTTTATAAATGTATGTATAATGTAACATGCTTCAAAAAACTTATATTTATTAAAAAATTTTTATTATACAAATTAATAATCTTACCTATTAGATAGATAGAGATCATATGGTTAGGTAAAATTATATTATTATTAATTATTATTATATGCAATATAATTTCATAATCCTTGTTTTATTTTTAAATTATAAATTGTCTTATCTCGATAATCATTATGTTAACAGTTTATAAATACTTTAAACACTCTATTATTATTTTATCCCAAAGCAATTACAATTATTCAGGTAGGTAATATTCAGGTAATAATTTGGTATAATTTCTTATGTAATAAATAACAATTTAAGAAATAATTATACATGCATCTGTGTTCTGCTCCCCGACTAGAATTAATGTCCAGTGTGCAGTGTTGGCAGTATTTTATTACTCTTTTTAACTAAATGATTAAATTTACGTTCAACACTAATCATAATCATTAATTGAATAGTTTATTTATATAAATTTTAGCCAGACAGTTTTGTTATAAAGACTACCTGTCATAACTACTGTAAACGCAAATAAGCCTGTGGCAGGGCTTACCAACCGCATCTTGTAAAATTAAGAAAAATTTTATTAAATTTTGCTATAGATGTTGTGTGTGTATGATATAGATGATTATAAATAAGTTGTTGATGATGATCTTCATCATCATCATTATAACAACATCAACACAGCTATCTTGCATACAAATTTAAATTTAATAATCCAAGATAATAGACCAAGAGACCCAACAGAGTTATTAAAGCCTATATATAAAACTTCAATATTTGAACAATATTGTTATATGGTGATTATAATTTACAATATTAACTGATATAAATACAGTTATTTCCGGATGTAAAGACTTTCTAGGGATGGTGATACTTCGTACTAAGCGGATGACGCACATAACGGCAGGATTGTTTAAGTACATATATACATACATATGTACTTAAATTATGTAGTGTATGAAACTTTTACATTCATAATCATCATGTATGTAACATGATGATTATGAATGTAAAAGTTTCATTTTCCTATTTAGGTAAATAAAACAGTATATAGGAATCATGATGAGATGGTTTATGTTAATAGTTTTTTGTGAGGGTTGCATTTGATTCATGGGCTTCTAATCGGTGTAATATTGCACTTTTTCTTCAACTGTAAAACAGTTTCGCTTAACGGAACGCATTTTGTCGAGCTTGTTGTACTTGTCCTTACATGTGACAAAAAGTAACAGATTTATGTGCGCCAATAACGAGAGATTAAACGCACGTAGCCAGTAAGTCGAGGTATTGATGCGTAAGTTATGTAAACAAAACATTGCTTGTGGTTTTATCCGGGCGTATTATCATAAATAATGGTCGCTATAAACAGTTGGTCTTTTAAACCAGAGTCGCACTAAACGGGTTTTTTGCTTGGTACCTGACATCGTTAAAATAGGTGAGTGTAATTAACTAATTGGTTGTCTTAAGTTTCCGGCAAACGTTGTTTTATCCCCATAAATTACTACCTGTACCCGCGACTTCGTCTGCATAAAATAGGGACTTTACCAAATAAAGAAAAAAATATTACATTAATATATTTTGATATATTATAAGGTAAAGGGCCATATTATGAAACACCTTTTGAGTAGGAGTTGAATATTTTACATTGTTTAAAAAAAAATAGAGTTGAAACATTGAATTTTTCTAAGTTAATAGTTTGCCTGATATCTACTGAAGTGATAATAATTATTATCAAGTGAGTTTTAGTTGAAAATGCTAATAAATTGAATAAAATAACAGACAAGTACATACGGCCGTATTTATGAAACAGTCTAAAGCAACACGTACGGGTGTTCCATCGGGAATGTCCCAAATTATGGAACTCAAAATAACCTGAAGTACTCGCATTAAAAACATTTTTCAGTTACTAATTTATTTATTCATAGTATCAAAAGTTTTATTACTAATTATTAATACAGTTAGATTTAAAAATTATACGAATAAACAAGCAATAAATAAATATTCACTTACAAAGTAAGTATGACAAAAACAGTTTCAAATCTTAGCATTAATAAACAAGATATAAAAACCAAATATACATTAAATTAAACCAAAAATTCAACTATTTCATTTCTTCTTTTATCCTTTGTAGTAATGCGTTATCTAGTAGCTTTTTCCGTTCATCAGCTATCACTTTTTTCTCATTTAGTAATTGTTTTCTTTTATGTAGCTTTTCTTCTTTAGTTTTACGATCAGTTTCTTTTTTTTAGTCATATTGCATCCATCGATCAGATGTGCCAGCAGAAGGTAGTTTGAGTTTACCTGATGACTCAGCTTTAATCTATTTTTTCTTAACTTCAAATTCAACTCAAATATTAATTCATCACCAACATTACGCTTCAAAATATTAGTTAAATTTAGTCAATTTAAATTACTACTTTCATAAATACCAGAATGAGCTTCAGTAACCATATCTAAGGTTCATTTTATACTATAATTTCATACAGTAATTACCTCAGGAATGGCTGCTTTGTTGAGACTGGGTACTGGTATTTATCAGAGGAGAATATTTATTAGAAGAATGACAATCATTGTTAAGTGTCATGTAATCATTAGTTTTATCATTCGACTTGATTATTAATCAAATTATTTTCTTACTGTTCTGTTCTTTCACTAAAAATTCAAATTTACCAACGTCACTTCTTTGACAGTTAGTTTATTTATTTCAGGAAAACCAACCAATATCAAATTATAAAAATTATACCAAACAATCAAAAATAAAAATAACAATATAAAATAAATCTATAGAATAAAGATATCAAATTCTATAAAAAAAAATGTATCTACCTAATTTTTGTAAATTATTAATTTAAAAACATCTATAAAAATGTGATATGTAGGTGCTTCGTAAAAATTTTGAATTAAATTTTTTCAGGCAGGTTTTCCACTTAAGTATATGTTTTAATTAATATAAAACAATATTTATCATCCAGCTTATTCATTTTTGAGGTTAGTTTTTCATTTTCATAGAATTTTACAATCTATGTACATATCTAAATGCAAATTTTTAGAAATATAAACTGTTCTAACGTAAATTGCTTTGTTGTAATTAATTAACAATGATTAACACGAAATTAACTAAATATTGTCCACTTTTTGCTGTTTCATAATTACGGACAACTAAGAAAATCGAATGTGAGGGGGATGTGGAACACTGAATATACTGTTCCATAAATACGGTCTGTTTAGAAATTTTTGCGGCAATTATGAAACACCTAAATAAAAAATAAATACCTTATTAAAGTACTTTAAATTCATTATCAATCAATAGATAATAAGTCAAACTTTTGATTGACATGTTTCAAGTATTTTTGTATCATTGACAAATATTTCAAATTGTTAAAACAATTGTGATGACACGTGTCATTCTCTAACTCTAAAAGACAGTCTTTTTTCATGCAACCTGACACGGGCATTTCAACTATTTTTTTTTCTATACATTTTAAGGTGTTTACAAAAATAAATTAATTTAATCAATAAATAGGTTATTAAAGATCATAAAGATAATATTATAAATACTGAATACGTTAGAACTTATTTGTAATTCGGATTTTTATCACTTGTTTCATAAACTAGTACAATGTTCCATAATATGGCCCTTTACCTTATTACATTATAACCTAATATATTTAATATAATATATTTTGTATAATGAAAAAAATATTACATTTATATATTTTTTCATTATTTGGTCAAGGTACAGTAAGGTATACCCAATAAAAATCAAGTAAAAAGTTTCATAGTTCTAGCTTCAAAAATGACGAATATCCATGTAGAATATCATACAACTCAATCAACAGCGTAAAAAATAAATTTCAGCCTTCTGGCTTTAAAATAGACGATACTTCTATACAACCTTTCATTTCCCCTTTCAAGCCTTAACAACCCTTTTTCTTTATTTATATTTAATCAACAGCCTAAAAAATAAGTTTCAAACATATCAAGTTTTAAAAATGGCGATACTTCCATACAATCTTTCATCTCTCTTTCAACCCCTTACAACCCTTTTTCATTATTTATAGTGAATAAAAAGCCTAAAAAATAAGTTTCATGCTTCTAGCTTCAAAAATGACGATTCCTCCATACAACAGACAAAGTTACTTTCACATTATAATATTAGTAAATTATTTAATAAAATAAGCCAAAAAAGGTTTCTTCGTTCAAGCTTCAAAAATGACGATTTACTTAAAAACTATTATCTGCTATTATATTTTAACCCTTTAAGACTAAAATTTTTGCGAACTTGATTGTCACATGCATTCATATTTAATAGACAGCTTAAAAAATAACTTTCAACCTTCTAGCTTTAAAAATGACTTGTCCTTTCTCAGGGTCTAGACTATCTGTGTACCAAATTTCGTTTAAACCTGTTCAATAGTTTTGGCGTGAAAACGAGACATACAGACAGAGTTATTTTTGAATTTATATTATTAGTAAGGATTATCGCTATTAGAAAATAGATGTTAATGTTAGATGGATTAAATTTATGTTTGTATATGTTTTTTAATGATGATTCATATTAGAATCATACTAAACCAAAACACTTATTAAATTAAACCAGGCACTTATTAAAAAAGTTTGTGTGGACCACGCTTATCACATAGGGCTATGAAAAATAGTTTACCTCTTAGTCTTGAACCCACAAAATTTCATAAGAATTGGTCATAGTACAAATACTGGACATGAAAATTTTATGTATTAGATTAACGATTTTGTTCAGATTTAAAATTCTATACCTACTTATATCTATTTGACATGTTTTAATATGCTCATAATCAGAATATACAATTAAAGAATATATTACATATATTTATAATAATATTGACTAGCGCATAGCTTTTAATATTTTTACTTAGTATATTTTTTTTGACTGGTAGAAACAAAAAATATGGTTATTCAAAAGTATACACTTTTAAGTTTATTTGAATATAGATTATTTTTATTTCTATTACATTCAAATTACACTTGGCTTGACATATATAAAACCCTAATTATGTACCCATACAAATGAATTATTTCATTTCATATAATTATTGTTTTTATTGATACAGGTGGCACAAGCTGAAAATGGGGGTGAATCAAACAGTCCGCCATTAGTTTCCCGGCACACTGGGGCGTGGGCGTCGGGGGTGTGGCGCGGGGCGTGGGGGTCCCCGTGCCGCCCCCCGGCGACCTACTCGCCACTATATCCATGTTCGAACAACAGATCAAAGCTGAACCAATGAGGTATATGTTGTATTTAATCAAAATTTCGTTGTTAACTATATGAAAGTACTTACTAAAACTCTGCATGAAGAAAACAATGGACATTCCAAAACAATTGCCTATATATGTATTTTTCCAATAGTAACGCAAAAAATGACATTTTTTTACATATCTGGAATGGCAAAGACAAACCATAGACATACAATACTCTAAAGTTTAATTTTCTTTAATTTCGATACCATTAATTACACTTATTGTTTCTTGTTTAAATAATGAAAATCGTATATTGCAGTTTCTACTCATCCCATCAACATATACACTCCGGTCCCCCAACAATAGTTCGATCAGATTCCAACCATCCTATCATCAATATGAACCAACATCATCCTGTACACCAAGAAGACTCGAAGGATAGCCTGATAGTACAACATCAAGTACAACACCACCAGCAAGAACTTATGGAACAACATCAACAACAAGAAATGCAACAAGATGATGATGTATGTCATAGTTGAAAAAGATTTAAGTACTAATATCACTATTAAAAATAAAGATTGATGGTGGAAGGGTGAAATTTTAAGGCTGTATGTATATTTTAATGCTACAAAAAAAAAATTGTCAAATATAGAAAAAAAATTTTTGGGGTGAGCCACCCTTAACCCTTCGGGTAAAAAATTTGTTATAAACCTATTCTCAGACCTATTGAATATAGATATAAAATTTCATTAAACACGATTAAGCCGTTTCGGAGGAGTATAACCACGAAACCTGTAATACGAGAATTTTATATATTATATAGATGATGTGATGACACACCTCAAGCCAGTCTACATATGTCCACTATTCTATTTACTTATTACGTTTTTGTTGATTATAATGGCCATTCGGCTTGTTTTGGTATAGCAAGGCTCATATCAAAAATTTTAGGAATGAGGGTGTCAGGTCAGTTTACTCATTATGACTAACCAACCGCCATAATTTTTAAAGTGAGATTGCGTACAATTGCAAATTATTAGATCAAAAGTCTGCATTGCAATTAATTTGCTACCCTACTGAAATTTTACTTAATGGTAAATGGATTTTGACACCGATACTTAAACATCAAGTCTAAAATTAAAATATATATTTTTCTTGTGTACAAGCAAAAAAGCATTTACTATTTCATTTACTATCTCATTTACAATATATTTTGTGCACGGAATATTTTTTATATTATTATTAAATTGTATCATACAATCATTAAATAATCAGTAATGATATGATTGCTTACTTTCAGAGTCCATCCATTACGTATATTATTTCATATATCCGCTTCATGGATTCATGGTCACTGATGCATTTGAATGAGACACAAGGCTAAATAAAAACTGGGTATTAATATAATTTGTGTATTTTTGTAGTTAAGCTTCAAAGGAATGGAGGATGAAGGTGTAGAGATGGATATGGATGGGCGACAATGTTCTCAGGTAATATATATATTTAGTTTATAATAAATTACGAGTTCAATACTAAATTTGATTTGTTTTTAAGTTTAAATAGTAAACTTAAAAACCAATCAAGTATACTTTTATTGGTACTTTACTCTTGATTGACTCTTCTACTTACTTCTATTCTTATACTTGTTTATCTAGTATTATATAATTTCTAAATGGATTCATTATGATATAAGTTTTATTTATATACAGGGTATGGGTGTAGATTTAGGATCAGTTCAAACTAAAATGGAAGTTGCAAACGGCCAAGGGGCACCGCGGTCTAAACCTCAAGCCTGTAAGGTGAGTTAAATATTGGAATATGGTTTTATAGATTTTATTTATATAATCCCCATTACATTATTAAATATTTACAGGTTTGTGGAAAAGTACTATCGTCAGCTTCATCTTATTATGTCCATATGAAACTCCACTCTGGCAACAAACCATTTCAGTGTACTGTAAGTACCAACTATTAGTATTTTTTAATATTTAAATTTGATTTTAGGTCTTCTGTCTTCATATAAATATACTCGCGAGCAAAAGTATGGAATCACTTACTTGGAATTGATACCGCGCGATATTGAGTAATAACTACTATAGTTAAGAATAATAAAATTGTTACTATTTGAAAGGTTAAACTGTTAACTTAAATTGTACTTACATGTGAAATTAGTATTCGACGATCATGACATTTTTAATGATTCTACACAAAAACATTTGGATATAAATCTTATAATTTGTATTATGCATAATCCTGAAATATTAATTTTTATATAAATTATTTAAAATACAATGTTTTTATTCATATTGAATATAAATTTATTAAGGTATGTGACGCAGCATTCTGCCGCAAGCCATATCTAGAAGTGCACATGCGTACACACACAGGGGAGCGACCGTTCCAGTGTGACTTGTGTCTTAAGCGATTCACACAAAAGTCCAGCCTGAATACGCACAAGCGCGTTCATACAGGTCAGTGTCCACTCGTAGGAAAGACTGCATCTTCTCATTCTCAACATTTATTTTGGCATATGCAGAAGGGAACCATTTTTGTTAATAGTAATAAAATAATTTTTGTTAGTACTTAATTCCATTCTGCATGTCCCAATTATACGTTTATGTGTGGTTTAAAAATATTTGTTTCAAGTTAAATTTAAAGATCTTTCTTTATTAGTGTTTATTTTGGTATTTTAATAGGAAGAATTGGAGGTCCAGTCATATGGTGTATTATTATTGTAATTTTCATATTTCAATGTTGCACCTTATTATTATAAATGGTGATAATTTATGGAACAGTAAATTGTCATTACAAAATATGCTACATTAATCCTAAATTAGTCCTATTAATTAGACTTTGGTGATACTAATATATGAAATATGTATGTGATTTTTTTTATTTTTACTTTACAATGAATTCTACAAAATATTATGCAACATTATTTATTTCTTTTAACTTATGGAACGTAGACGTACATAAATCACAAATAAAATTTGATAAGTATTATTTATCACCTTGTTAAATATGGATATTAAGGAATATCAATGTCATTATTGACTTACAATTTGAATATTATATAAAACTATATGGAAGTTACATTATTGTTATATGTGAGCTAAGTATGAAATAAATTAAAAAGGAAATTAAATAGAAATGGGCCAATGACCCTAGTACCATGAGGGGATTAAAAATATTGCTGCATGAGAACGTTGGATATTATATTTTCAGTCTAATACTAACCTCCTCCTGTTTCCACGAAACCAAAATATGTAAAAAAATTTTTTTTATTATTTTTCTTTTTACATTGTGTGTGATAAAATATTACATATTTTGCTTATATCCTATTTTGACGCCCTGATATTTCAAGTATTATACATTTTGCATATTACACGTGTTGTCTGTTATCGTCATTTTTATATTTATAATTTTATTTTAATTTTAATGATATGTATGCAAATTTTTTTATTCTTATTAAATAAGCTTTATTATTTTGTTTTTCGCTGAAAGAAAATATGTCAAGCATGGTTTTATACCGTAGGTAATTGGAATCTAGATTAAAATGTCAAAATATATCTTATTGTATTATCCCGTTAACTTGTGTATATGTTAATAGTAAGTAACATTTATTTGCTATACCTACAAATGTATATCTCAACATTCTGGCATGTAAAACGCGGCCTCTGGACGGAGCTTCTATAATTCTTGTATACATGTACATTCATTTACTTTATAAATACTTAATTATTATAGAACATAATAAACAGTTACCTATGACACTGGTGCGACACACAGTTCGCTCATCGAATACTCGACAATACATATGCTTAACTTAAAATGTGAATAGTTTTTGAGTTGAGTCGAATATAAAATCGATTCATAATAAATCAGGGCGTGAGGAAGGCTTCATTGATGCGAGGTAAACAGGGGGAGGTAATGAACGTATAATGGACACTGCTATTACTTCGAGACATTTACCACTCAAAGGAGTCCATTGTAAGTTCTATAGTAGATGGAATTGAACGGAATATGAGCAGTCGAGCGTATGTTGTTGGAATGTGGCCTGGGTTCTAGATGAGCACATGCACGCGTTGTTGGTGAAGGAGCGGCCCTACAAGTGTGAACTCTGTCAGTTGCGGTTCACGCAGAGCTCCAGCCTCAACAGACACAAGAAAATACACACGGGTGGGTTTTTGTTTGGGTACCCTTACTTATCTACCGCCCTGTGCCTATAGTGAATGAAAACGTTTGATAGATATCTCAATCATTGCGCTCATAGAGCTCGAGTCTAGACAATCCCTCCGTAGCAATTATAGTAAGCCTTAATTTGATTTGTCCGATGGTTTCGTTCAGAGGAACACAAACGCGCGCTGCTGGCTAAGGAACGGAACTACCAATGCGGCGTCTGCTTTATGAGATTCACACAGAGATCAAGTTTGGGCCGGCACGAAAAAATACATACCGGTGGGTGATTGTCTACTACTAATTGCCAACTTGTGAGAAACGTTTACCCTTGTGGCAGAAGGGTACTAACGAATAATGAATGATAATGATTACATAGTTTACCTCCCCCTGAATGCGTGTGAATGAGTGTGAAATTCTTAACCTGTTAGGTAATAATGAAATGCATATTGATTGAGAGGGTGCAGAGTTGCTATATCGAAACTCGTATAACTTATAGAGGAGCACAGACGAGCCCTGTTAGAGAAAGTGCGGCCGTACCAGTGCCACATCTGTTTTATGCGCTTCACTCAGAAGTCCAGCCTGGGCCGACATGGGAAAATACACACTGGTAGGCATTTTGCCCTAAAATCCTTTAGTAGACAATTTATAATTTTAGAGCTCACGTTATTAGGCACTATCATCTATGGCAGTGCATGGAGCAGAACCGTTGTTGTAGCTGAATTTTGTTGGTATTTCTAGAGGAGCACATCCAATCGCTGATCAACAAAGTGCGCCCCTATCAATGCGACATCTGTGACAAGCGGTTCACTCAGAAGTCAAGCCTTGGCACTCATAAACGTATACATACTGGTGGGTCCCTTGATATTTAATTTTTATTTTCAAATCGGTCTCTCAGCCACAATTCCATTTTTGTTACTGCTTCTAAAGCTTACATTATTTACTGTTTGTGGCTTTGATACCTATGTTTTGTGAATAGTTTTAAGGGCTCCCAACTTCGAAAAACACATTGTAACATAACATTAACACGATTAGCGATTCGGAAGTGTTTGTCGTACTTTTTATTTTTTTTAATATACAATATTTACGTATAGATTTTTCACTAGGTTGTACAGGCTCAAAAACTATTCACAAACAATATAAGTAAAGCATGTGTACGTTGTGAGGATTTCGTTAAGTAGGAGAGAGAGTATATCTGATGGACAAATAACGTGTTTGAAATTCCCTCATGGTAGTGCATCGTAAAAGCGATTGGTTTGCGTCAAGTAGTATTATTTGTCCATCGTGGTTTTGTTTTGTTTCTCTGTCCCCCCGTGTCCGTGTGTTGGCGGCGCAGGGGAGCGGCCGTTCCAGTGCACCGTCTGCCTCAAGTCCTTCACGCAGAAGTGCGCGCTCAATTTGCACGAAAAAATACATACGGGTTAGTAGCCCACATATATTATATTGCGCAGTATTCTTTTTCGGTAAAATTAGTGACAACGTAGGGCTGGCCACTCCGTCTCACATCATTTAGCGTCATGCTTCTTTCCTATTTTCCGTTGCCCGCCTAACCCGTTGTTTTTACAATCCCACTATATCAGCAGCTTCCATCTCGTTGCTTTCGACTAACATCTCAACATCTTTAACTCATCTCAATGCGCGCTTTTACGTACTTCTGCATTCACATGAATACTTCCCCGCCTATCATGTTATCAATAGATAGTCAGTTATGTTCTCCTCTCATTAATAACACAATACATTCAAAGATTTTAGTATATCATTTTTTGTATTTCATCATTTCTTCATGAATAATAATTCTTTCACAAAAGCGGTAATGCAATCGCCGCAGTGACGCATTATTGGCGCCTCAATATCGATGCAAGGTGCTATCAAAATTGGGTATATTAAATAGAGACGAAGCCGTAGTTACGGAAGTCGATAAGTGGGGTGAGATTGGCAGGGGGCGGGCGACAAAAGGCAACGTTGCCAGCATGCGTCGGCGACGTGCGTTACTCGCTTTTGTGTGTGCACTGGACGCAGTGCAAGGCCGTCCATTCACGTGCGGGCAATGCCCGGCGGCGTTCGCCCGCCGCCCCTACCTGGACATTCACATGCGCACGCATACAGGCGAGCGGCCCTATCAGTGCGACGTGTGTTTCAAGCGCTTCACGCAGAAGTCCAGCCTCAATATACATAAGAGGACGCACACAGGTGGGTGACAGCCGCGGGCCGGACTGGCCCGTCGCCCGCTCCCAGCCTTACTCCACACACATTCTGCCTCTCCAAATCTCTCTTATTGTTTCAAGTGCTTGGATGTTTATATATTTACGATCGGACTACTTGATATTGATTATTGCTAGCGCACTAAATATTCATAAACGATAAAGATTTGGAGCGGAGTTTTAGCGGCGAGTGGCGACCAGTCCGCGCCGCAATCTCCGTAGTGCGAGGGCGTTTAGCGTCCTTGCCTGCTCACCGCTGCTATAATATATGTATTGGGCACCAGTCCAGGGGAGACCGTTCCAGTGCCTGTCGTGCCCCGCTGCCTTCACCTGCAAGCAATACCTGGAGATACACACGCGCACCCACACCGGCGAGCGTCCCTATCAATGTGACATCTGCCTGAAGCGCTTCACACAGAAATCCAGTCTGAACATACACAAGCGGACGCACTCAGGTATGTGACGCTTGGGTCGGTCGGCGTTCGCCGCTCGACATTAGGGTCTAGGGACGTATGAACGATATGTGGGCTACTAGTGAGGATGCGTGCACGCGGGGAGGTGGGCCAGAGCCCGCTTCTCATTAACGTTTAATCTCGTCCACAGTGCAGGGGCGGCCGTTCCAGTGCTTGCAGTGCCCGGCCGCCTTCACCTGCAAGCAGTATCTAGAGATACACAACCGCACTCACACCGGCGAGCGACCCTACCAGTGTGACGTATGCCTCAAGAGATTCGCGCAAAAATCTACACTCAATATACACAAACGAACGCACACAGGTCAGTCGCATTCACAAGCACCACTTTTTTTTGTTATTCCTATTAACTAATTCATATATCATGGGCTATAATGTAATAATGTAACTATGTTCATTAGTATTAAATCATAACCGTCTCGAAAACTTGAGTAGTTAGTAGTACTTATAAGATGTGTTTATATTAGAGTTGTCGGTGCCACATGACACGTAAAGCCGTATGTATGTCTTTGTGAGTATGAAATAAGGTGTATAGTGCGAGTAAGTACGGGACATAGAATTAATATTGCATTACGACGGTTAGTGCAAGGGCGGCCGTATCAGTGCATGGAGTGTCCGGCAGCGTTCACTTGCAAGCCGTACCTGGAGATACACATGCGCACGCACACAGGCGAGCGACCGTTCGAGTGCGACGTCTGTTACAAACGCTTCACGCAGAAGTCCACACTCAATATTCACAAGCGAATACATACCGGTACGACGCCACTAAATCGCGTTCTCTAAACAAATTTAATAAAAGTTTTGAGCTTATCTGCTAACATGCTAATTTTACAATAAGAGCTACAGCTAATATATTTATCCCGAAAAGCATTTGTACTATTTTTTAATAAATGAGAGTACAGATGCTCATCGTTTTTTTTAATCGGTATCATCATTCACACATAGCAGATGTAAATTTTAATTTTTAATTTATTATATATTATAATATTTTTCATATAAAAGGAGCATGTGTGAATATATTTACCGTGGTTGGAAGATATGTAAAGTTAAGAAGACGGCAAATTGTGATAACAGGTATACACTCCTATTGTTCTGAACTTAATGATGTGGCACCGACAACTGTCTCCGATAACGTAATCTTATCATCCGCTACATCACCACATAAGTTTCAGTATTTTAATATTATGATGTTCCTTATTGTTATAATTTCTTGGCTTACATTCATCAATTTCAGACTGCATCATACTGTCTAATTGCATCTTGCCGTCTTTCTAACATCATCATTTGCATACCCACTTGCTTTTCATTACATCTTGTTTTGTAGTTAATTTTAAGCTTTATCATTATGCCATTAAGTTTCACAAGCTTATTGTAGTTAACATGTATGGATTGCATTCGTATTCTACTTTTTTAATGTTGTTTTATATACACTTACAGGAGAACGCCCGTACGCTTGCGATATTTGTCAGAAACGATTCGCGGTGAAAAGCTATGTAACCGCTCATAGGTGAGTCAATATGTGATAAGATGATGAGTTGTTACGACACACTCTACAAATGCATTCCATTACTTCACGCATTATTTGGTATTTATTGTTTGGGACAGATTTTGTTTTTATAAAATGCTTTTTACTTCACATGATAGAATATGTAATGTCTTCAATTAATATAAATCTTTGTCTCATATCTTAATTTTCCTAACGACCACAAATTCTGTTCGACGCAAAGAGAATTGACACATTTTTAAGAAGAAAGATTAATTTTCGAAACTTTGTTTATCACTGCAATTGGAATTGTTTTTGCTTCTGTGTGTCGGTTTTGACGCTTTAATTTAAAATATCTGAATTCTTATTCCCCTATATAAATCCCTTTTCTTATATATACCTATTTTTCGAACCCAGTCTAATTAGATAGTTTTGTTTACAATCCCACTAGCTTTATAATTAATAAAAGCTTTGTGATTTTGTATAAATATTTAGATTTCCTTAACAATTGTGGTTCACATTGATATTATAAAAAGTATATATAATTATGTTTTGATTAAATATACAAACTTAAAATAAAAGGCGAACGGTAAAAGCTATAGAAATCGGAAAATAAAATACATATGAGCATATCGTACCCTGGTAAACTATATTTTTTATAATTGTCTCGAATCTTTTATTTTTAATTTATGCATTTATATTTATTTTATTGAAATATGCTGAATGCTTCAAAGAAACACCATAGTCTTCAACAATCACTGCACCGACAGCACGTAAATTTCAATTATATATTTCAATTCAATATTCTATTATAAGCAAATGATTTGGGTACATAACACTTGGGGAGTTATAACATTCATATCCCCAGGATTGAAACGGCCCGGGTGTAACGGTGTTATTTATAAAATAGTGAACTGAAGTGTACACATACTGCATATTTTTGGTATCCGCGCTCCCAACCCCCAGGATATTGTAGTAAATTTGTAAATGTTAATCTATATAAATAAATATTTTAAACTACTGCAAACAAAAATAAAGGGTGCTGTTCATTTGTATTTTTGTGAATGTAATCGGTGCCAATAAGGTGGGCTGTAAGCTTGTTTGTCATTCCGTTCCCAAATGAATGCACGCAATGCTGTTGTCAAAAACATGTTATTTTATAACAGTACTTTAAAATTTTACTAGTATCAAAACCGCTTTTGGTCATATTGATGGAAACGGTTTTTGTCTACAGTTTGTATATTATGCCTTAGGGTGTGTGTTTGAATATGTTACTTGTGTAAAATAATAACTTGTTCACATGTTGTTACATTGTTCTCCGTTTATTAATAGATGGTCTCATGTGGCGGATAAACCGCTGAACTGCGATCGGTGCTCAATGACGTTCACCTCAAAGTCGCAGTTCGCGCTGCACATCCGTACACATTCTGCTGGCTCCTGCTACGAGTGTAGTGTCTGCGGACGTACATTCGTCAGGGACAGCTATCTCATAAGGTGTGTTCACATTCACGCCGTTTTCACACATCTATTGTTTCTTATCACTTTTGTAACTTGTTTTCTCAATATTCGCTCGTTCCCGACACGCCCTTTTAGATCAAGTTCTACTTATCTATTCATTATTGTCTACTAACGCTGAGGTTTTTATATTACATATTCATTACATTATATAGATTTATGCCTGATCCACTATTAAAACACTTATTGTCATGTATATATTAGTATACGAAATCCCAAAATATTTCACTTTCTTATATTTGTATAATATTGTTGCTAATTCAATCTAAATCATTTGTTACCACTCCTTTCATCTCCATGATGTCGAAAACAGTCCGATGGTTTTGAGGAACAGCGAACGTGTAATAATATACAATACTAAAAACAACTAAATAATTGCTGTCTCCGTGGTGGGGACAGATTTGATGGTCGAGCGGTTTAACATACCGCCTTACTTCCGATGGTTGGAAGTTCGATTACTCGCACGATACAAACATTTGTATATGAGTATGATTGTTTGTATCTGTCTATGTGTGTTCTATGTATATTGTGTGTATTTCGAAAAAAAAATAAGTAATATTTGTTTAGTAGCCATTACACAAAGTCTGCTTACCATGGGGACTAAATGGCGCAGAAAAAAGTATCATGGATGTAGGATGTATGATAGGATGTAGAGACCAGATTCTCGAGGAACCTTAATGCGTTTTTATGTTATAGTAATTCTAAAACCTAACGTTTAATCACTTTACGTACAGACATCATAACCGCGTGCACCGTGAAAATCATAGCAACGTGTCAGCGAATAGCATTGGAACTATTAACAGTGTCGCCACCAACACGAACAACTCGAATAACAGTAACTACGAATCGCCCGGCGTTTGTGACTTAAGGTTTGTTACATTTGAACTGCCTGTTAATGTTGCCAAATTTATTTTAGGGCTGTGAAACCTATTAACAATAATTAAGGCTCTAGTTATTGATGTTAGTTATGAATGGTCAGTCAGACCCATTCTGTGGGAATACAATAAACGGACTTCCATTATCATATTGCCTCCTACATAGCCTGCCTAACAATCCTAAATTTTGTAGATGGTAGCTGTCTTACTGTTAAATGATTTGCCTAAGATTTTATACTCTGACAAAGTTTTGTTTTTTCTCTTTATCGCTGATGATGTTAATGTTCTACAAGTGTCACATTTATTAAAAGATACGTGATTAGGATTTTTTTAAATAAGCAACCATGTTATTGTTGCATTGTAGGCACAATACTAGTATTTTTCGTTTTCGTTAAATTTATAACTTTGAGCTTGTTCTCTTTTCAGTTTTGTTCCACACATGGTCAATCGCTATATGACTTCGCAAGGTACACAGGTGTCAATGCAGGACACTCAAAGCAAAATGTCAGCAATGTCGCCCCAGTCTATAGCATCGATATGTAAGTCCGAAATTAATTTAATATTTTCATCAATCCTTACTTATAATAAAAACTGATACTGAACTGATAACTTTATCAACATGATACAACTCAAAACAATGATTGATAGAATTTTTTATGTGTTTATCCAGTCTAATCTCCGATTTGATCTAATTTTTGGTGCAGATTTCACTAATGTATTGTGGTAAACTTCACTTGAAACAGCTTGTTTATTTTAATAGTTAAAACGGTTGCAAAAAAAAATTGTGTACGAAGTTACTAAGTTAATAATTTAAGATATAGATATGACTATATTAATAAGGGATAATTGTTTCTAGCATCACCCCCACCACCCCACACCCCCACACCACAGCCCCAGATGTCAGGACAAATGCATCTTACAGACTGATCGCTGATATAGGTTGGTATAGTTTTCTATAATCAATATCAAAAAATATGCACAACACGTAAAAAATTGTAGATGTTTATACTAGTCCTAATGATTTTTAATATATATATCTTGGTTTCAGCTCTCGGTTGACAAGCGAGCAGCCAGAGTGCAATATTTTAAGTATGGCAGCCATCAACAAGAGCAGCTATTTACAAGTTATTAATGAAATGAATGATATACAAGAGAAACGGGAGACTGCTAACTCCTTACTACGAATGGTCAGCATGGACTAATGCACAGATTATATTTTATTTTGAGTTATTTATTTATATTTACTGTTGGTTGAGTTGGTCGACTGTGACACGCGCGTCGATCGTCGAGACGAGAAGAGATAGATAGAGGAAGCCGTGTGCAGGGATATTATAAAGGATGAGCATCGAGTTGGTTTCGTTCCGCTTGTGGAATCCCTCGGTAACATCAGGTGGACATCACAAGGAGAAGGAGGAAGTAGTGAGTAGTCAAGTAGCGGTACCGCCTATGATATGCATTGTGATTTTTACCCACAACTGTGATTTATCTATACCATCACATAATTATATTAATTGACGTGGTGGCGTTCATAAATCAATACTTAAACTCTCATCATTTTAGATTGTAGGCCTAAAATTTTTGATCTCATATTCTAATTTGCTTAGTGATAACTTTGGAATCGTGAATGGTAAATCTCCAAACTATGAAATTCTAAATTGAATGTTCATAACATAACTCGCTTGTCATACATTCTCATTAGTGGTAGTAAAATGTAACAATATCTTATTGCGATGCTTTAACTTAGAATTTGTCAGTGTATAATTATGGAGTTCAATAATTTTATAGAACTGTTACCAATGAGAGGTAAAGTATTTTGATCGCTGAGAATTTTTAGGGACTCTAACCTCAATATTAATCCATAAGAATGCTTTAAAGTAATATTCAGGTTCATATAAAATAAATAATTATTAATAAATAAGTACAAATAAAGCCATAATTTGCAGAGTCCTCAGAGGCAATATTGAAAAGCTTCACAAAATTAATAAAGTTTAATATGATGTTTATTGGAGAAATCCAGAGAAGTGCCTGTTGCAACATAAAATTGGCAATATTTTTTAATCGTATTGCGTTCAGAATAAACTTATGTTCAGTGTTCAATGTGGCCACCGAGTGGGCGGCCGGCCGCAGGCAATAAGTGATAGTTCGAGCGCCGTCCGTGCGGCCGCATGCAGCGTATCATTTGTGAAGCTTCTTACTAAAACTTTGTGTGCCTTCTAGCGGATAGCGACATTAGGCAATATCAATCATAACACCATTAAAAACTTCATTATTTTTTCTAATATTCCATATAAATGTTCATGTTAGTGTACTCTCATGTATAACATCGTATAATACAGTATGTAATGATTACCATTTCGGATATTACAGTTTGCGTTCTATACGTTTTTTTGTGGAATGCAAACTGTCGTCTCTTTTACTGTTTTCGAATAATAGTAATTATGTATAGTGATATAGTGCAGTAGTCTTCCAATACCTGAGACAGAGTGGTTTGTGCACTGGAGTGCAGCTAATGTGTCCGCTGCGGGGGTTCCTTATGGTTTGCCATTATTGATATCAAAGATAGATTGGTGCCATTTCTATGTAATGATGTGGTAGAGTAAGTTTAGTTAAGTCTGCAGGTCAGGGTAGAATTGGAAATAAAATATTGTAAGGGGAATCGTCTTCGTATTATATGTTACGTGTCATAAACGTCATTTCTGTTATATTCTATATTTTCTCCATTACAAATCATACATTATTTTATTTCCATATTGTGTGTGTCCATGTGCTGGGTCAGGAATTGTAAATATTGGTAGGGTTTATTTATTCAAGTATATATATTTATATATCAAAAAGAGAATACAATTCAATATTATAATAGGAATGTTTTGTAGAATGGTCTCACTCTACAATCTAATAATAAAGATATCGAACTGAGAGCATAATTGGAATAAATGTTAGAGTATATAGTACAGAACTATACTTTGGGTACTATTTACTATAAAAAAATCTAAATTTCTTTGTAGATGTACATACGTATACATATAATAATATATACATATGAATGTTGTTTGATAGTCCTCAATATTTTTTTATATTTTGATAGTTCTGTATTTGAAAGAAACACGAAAAAATAGGCCAATGTCTCATTTATCATTTTTAATAAATAAATAAAATATGTACACGATAATTTAAGATAAATAGTAATTATGATGTATGCATTTAGTTGCCCAGAAAAGTTAGGAGTAATATCTTTACGCGTTTTTTTCAAATTCTTAAATTTTAGTAGGATTTTTACCAAGCCATTGATAACAGTATTATTTAGACAAACTAGAACTTGGGTTTAAAGTAGTATAAATCTTTCAGCTACCATTATGAAAAAAAATTATCACCATTAAATTTTAAAATAATAATTTATCAATAATAGTTTGTAACAACATTGGTATGCACCACTTTACAGGTGCTTTCCTCTGTTGATACCATGTATTATCCATAGATATTATGAATGAAATAGAAACACCAACATAGTGAACTAGGTACATATATAAAATATATGATTATATTATATAACCACTGAGCTTCTTACTGGATCGGCAAGGGAGATTGTTTCTTTATTAATTCTAGATTAATAATATATTTTTGTTATATGTTCACTGTCTTTATTATTGTTTACCCTTACTTAGTGACATTATTCTATCGTTACTTCATCCTGGTCGAGTTCATAGAGAAGCCAGTGGTGTAATCCTGCTGTTTTTGAAATATATTTAGAGATTCGTCATCTTTTACTCTAGCTCAGGTTCCATGACTTTCGAAGTGGATGATAAATATTTTACGAATGTATATATATATATTTCTTAAACAGTTAGGATATTTATAGTAATGAAGAACCACAATTTGTAGAAGTGTCCACTAATGCAAGTTATATTATATTACGTACTAGTATTTAGTGGACCTGTAATTTGTGCGTCTTTGTTGTCTGAACTATTTTACATACCGATGTTAGTTACTATATTTAGAATGTAATGTAATAGCCATTTTCCATTTACGTAATCAAAAAATTGTATAAATTGTATTTTCCCATTGTCTACTTATTTTTCAACTGTAGAAAAGACTGAATTACTTTATACGAAAGGAATTCACAACTTTACAAGAATACTCAAAAGAATTATTGGCATTTTAAGGTTTTGTTAAATATGTTGTTTTACGTCGTAGTGGTTGTGGTGACGGACCAACCATGTTTTATAGGCAGGCCTCGACATTTTGTTAAAGAAATCATACATATCCTTCCGGTGAATATAAACGTATACTATTCCCGCGTGGTGGCCGCGGTGGGCCGAGGTGTGCGGAGAACGACTGCTAGTCTTTCGGGGCGCGGGTTGAGCGCCGCCGACACTTACACCTGATCGTTTGAGATCTTGATAGTTTAAAGAGCAAATAACAGTGAGCCTTGTGTAATCATAATGTCTAAGGTACATAAATATTTAGTTATACTGTATCGTTAGATTTACGCGAACTTCCGCTTTGCCAACATTATTGCGTTGCTTACATTATAATCATACGAGAGTACAGCCTAAGGATTTTAACTTTTTTTATATACTGAGAGCTATTTCTAAGTCACTGATTTTATACGATTTGTATAAGCTAACCAAATTATATTACTGGCTATGAGCCAATGAATTAACCAAATTTTGGAGTTATTTACATCATTTTAATTGCTAATTTTTTATTAAAAATCAATAAGCAAACATCATGGCATGATGATATTTGATACGGTCATTTAGTTATAGCTCTTCAGAGTTTTAATGACCAATATTTTACATACAATTGTTTTCTTTTATTGTTAAAATTTTTAGGCTAGTTTATATTTTAAATAAGTTAGATTTGTTAATTGTGGTGTATTAAATTGCACGTGAGTATAACTCTTACAGCCTCCTTTACTATATATAAGTAATGTTTAGTTGTTTTTATAGTCTGAAATGATTGTGATAAAAATATTATTATTATTGGTTTGTTTATCTTGTAATAAAAAAAATCTTATTATTGTTTATTGTTGATATTTTTGAGTATACAACCTGAATAGAGTGGTGTGGTAAGGTAGAGACAGAGGCTGTAAGAGTGTTTATGTAGTCAGCATTATGTATATGCTTTAATGTGATTTTTTAAATGTACTCTTAATTATAGTATCATCAATCAATATAATTAGCGAACTAACAAAACGTTTAAAATTTTTTTTCAGTTCATAGTGATTTATATTGAGATCAAAATAAATACAGAGTTTATTTAATTTTATGGAAATATTTACATTGTAAAATTATTCTTTAGTGCTCATTTGCAGAGCCCTAATAAAAAGAAACTGTGAATGCAAATAACAAGTCACGATTCTTTTAGAAGTCGCCATGTAGTGGAGAAAAATAAACGTGCCATGATATTTGTGGCTAATTAATTTGTTTAATTACCAACCCTGGATTATTTTTTTTTATCCTGTAGAAAAAGTATGGCATATAAAGCAGGTATTATATTATTAATTAAAGTACTTATATAGGTACTCTAATTAATAATCTAATAGCAGCGGAATATCTCATCAGTGATTCGTAAATATAATAAAAATTACTAACATTTTTTTTTATTTCACTATATACTTAATTTTTCATTGTGACATTTCGAAACCAAAGCCTAACAATATATTGTTTTTGACATACGTACCGCGTTTGTTATACATATGTAGTGGTGTATAAAATAAATAAATACAATAAATGCGGTTACCTTATTAGAAGACTAAAAATATTGCTATTCAAACTATTTTTAGTACTCAGCAGAAAATATGATTTAAATATTCAGAACATTTATGTCATAACATCTGACATGTATAAAACATAACCTCAATACTTATACGAAAATGTCATAAATATTTAATTTGGTGGAAATACATTGTAATAGGAAATACTATTCTACAAATACGTTGGGAATTAAACAAAAAGATTATTCAGAGTTGCATATGGAAATATATTGAAAGACGCCAAAATTGATTAACAATCTACTACTATTTCCTCTTTAATGACATTAGCGTCGCCGGCCGGTGCTAATGTGGTGTCCACAATAGGCGCAGGACTTTTGTAGTAAATATTACTGGCGTAGTGCTCCTTTAGATATTCACCGCCCATCTCATAATATTCTTCTTTGGAAATACACCAGTTTTCAAATTCATTACTGCCCGCAAAATCTCTGGCACCGTACCACGAATCTAGGCTGGGATTTGCAGCCGTAACTACCTTGTGTGTAGATTGGAAAGGTCTCATTTCGAGAAGCTCTCTCTCCAATCTTTCTTTGAGACCTGAAATAGTAACAATTTTTTTTTATATAGGACCATGAAATCGATGGGTATTTTATATCAGAGCAGTTATGGAGTTAATTATTACGTTTAGCTTATACATGAGGCTACGTAACGCGCTCCTAACACTGCTTCAATAATAGAGCCGTGTGAATAAGCTTTAGACTATTTTATTTTATTCTTTGTACTTTCAAATTTCGTAGTGGAGTTTATAAATAATTAGTAAACAGTATGTTTTAGACTGACTGTAACTGTGTAAAAGCACCATAAATTTTGGTAATATTGATGTTTTTATGTAGTAATTATAATTTTTTTAAATGGAACTAAACAAATACAGAAGGCGACATACCTGGAAATTGTGAACAACCTCCAGTGAGAAACACATTGTTAGCTAGCAATAGTTGATCCTCAGGACTGAAGTGCTTAAATACATATTCCATTGTTTCTGCTAAACCAGCTTCCAAGTTCCCCATCATTGACGGTTGAAACATTAATTCTGGAGCTCTAAAACAAAACGATTATATATTCCGAAATTATTTATAAAAAGAACGTCACAACTGTATAATAAATAAATTAAGCGTGATAATTAAAAGAAATACTAAAATAATAAATTTGAAGAGTATTTGTGGTTTCTAATTTTAGGCTCTTTACTAGGTGTGGCAAACGTCTGGACATAAATATTTATGCTATCATTAATATTTTTAATATAATAATTACTTTTAACCACAGTTCAATTCAAACAAGGATCGAAACTACAACGGGTCTGGGCTGAGGTTGGAAGCCTTACACTGAAGTCATATTCGTCCGTTGGAGTGCCATCTACACTTGCCCCCTGTCGTTCGTTAAAGCTGTAAAGACCAACTGCGGCCAACAGCATTAGAATAATTCGAAAAATAATACTATTTCATATATAGTACATAATACTTTTAACTAAGACTAAGTAAGATGCATTATAGGCATTACAAGTTAAAATTACCTGAAAGGTTCAATAGCCAAGTGCAACTGATGGTGCTGATGAGAGGACAGCTGTGGTTCGTACTCACGGAGTGCTTCTTCCAATTCCATCAAGCGCTCTCCGTCAGCTTCGGAATCAGAATCTGCTTCTCTACTTATGCTATCAAAATATTGCAACTGTTAGAAATTGTAAACACAAAATGAATGTGTAACATATTAGAAAGTGACAGACTGCTTGTTAAACAGTTTAGTCTTCTGATCTGTATCTAGTTGTTTCAGTTTCAGAAATAAAAGTTTTAGGTAAAGCCGAAAACATATATGGTTGGTTCTCGATTTTTCGATTGTTAATATACTTTGATGAATCCTAATATAAACTTAATTTATTTTGTTGATGTGGAATGTTTGGAAATAAGTATATTTCTTGTTTTCGGATATCGCGTATTTTGCACCAAATTTCAAAAGCAGTTCAATCAATGTTTGGCTGATAGTAGCATGTCCAAAAATTATGGACTCTAATGGGACAAGAGTCATATTTGCTTCTGGCCCAGATGGGTGTGGGGGAGCCGTTAAATTGTTTATGTATAATTATTATAACACTAGTTGACCCGCGTAACTTTGTCTGCACCAAACTTGATTTATTATTATATTTCGCAAAATTTACAATTACAATATTTTTAAATTATAGCCTGTGTTATTCTGTTGTACAAGTTATATTAGTGTTAAGTTTCAAAATATGGTCAGTAGTCTTTTCGTGAAAGAGTAACCAACATTCATCCATCCATACTCACTAACTTTCCCTTTTATAATATTAGTAAAATGTACAATTTTTAGGTAGAGCAGAGAAGGGCAGCCTGCCCATGTCTGAGCGTTCATGTTTTCAGGATCCAGCAGTTTTATTTATTTCAATCCAGTAGTCTGCCTTCATTCATGTGGACTGAATGTTGGTGGGGATCCGGTTATTGCGGGCCGTGTTCCCCATAAGATTCTAGGAAAATGATCGTCGGGGCTTGAATGGAATAACGCTGAGACGCATAACCTTACAAACTCATCAATTACACAGTGACGCGGTGACGATGCTCCACAGAGATGGATACAATGCATTACTTTATGACTATTGTTTCAGTATTTTTTTAAGGACGATTTCATCTTAAATTTAATGCATTTTTTTACATTTGTACCTAACCCTGTAAATGTTGAAGCAAATAAATTATTTATCTATCTATCTTATTTTATATAATTTATCTGCTCGCGGCAGTCAGCATCGTCATTGTTGTATTGCGATGTGTGGTGTAATAACTATTATTATATTATATTCTAAAGAGGTGGGTGTGGAAGTCCTTACTTTACCTCTTGTAGGCGTCCCAGTCAGAGTCCTGCGCGCCGAAGTCGTCGCCGGCGGCGGCGAGGCGCGATATGACGCGCATACGCTCGGCGGCGGCCGGCGTGCGGCGCCGCAGCATGGCCGCGCGGCGAGCGCGCCGTGCCGCCCGCGCCGCTGACAGCGCCCGGTACTGACATTTTTTTATTGAGAGTTTCGGACTAATGTTAGTTGTTAAGACTTGTGACACTGCACCTGCATAGATCTATTTTGCTCAGTTTCAAAGTCCGCTACCTAGACCCGTCAGGGACAAAAATTGAAGGATATTCTTGGGAGCGCTGGTTTTTATATCCTTAGGATACTGTATATTTCGTTGCATACATACGTAGGCTACAAACATAAAGCGCGCGCCGCACGCGCCGCACCAGTCGCGCCAGCGGTCTAACGGTTTCGATACAAACATTTATATTTGTAATGATGATGTTTGTATTTGTCTGGGTGTCTTCTATGTATACAGTAAAAAGTGGATAATTCTATTAGTTGTTACTAAATAACCGATACCATGTGCCATGTACTAACCCATGGTACAAGCTCTGCATACTAGGTAAAGGCTGGCTAAAGTAGATAACGCTGCATGAATTGTCCTGGGTTATTATTACTTATGACATTTTTATTCAATTTTACCAGTATTTCATTTTAAACTCAAAAAAATAAATAATTTTAACGCCATAGACGCATACAGTTCAAAAATCATAAGTATAGTTATGGAGTAAGTAGTGGGAGAGCACATTTAAAACGTCTCCACTATGTTACCCCCAAGATGTCGTAAGAGATGAGAATTGCAATAGTACGCGGGAAGGTAACTATTTATGGAAGTATTTTGTCTACCTAGCAATAAATTATGTTATTTTATTAACCTTGGCTCGCGTATCGTTGAGCCATATCTGGAACGCCTCGGGATCAGTAGGCGGCTGCATACGTCCGGTATTTGGTCGTGTGTCTAAATTCTCCTCAGCATTTGCAGCGGCAGCGATACGTTGTTTATTCTTTTCTATCCTCAAATTAACATTTGCGATTTGGCGCTAAAACATAAACGGCTCAATTAATTTGAATTAAACCACAAAAATTGTTGGTTATGTAGGGTAAGGAAGCAAAACACAGCTTGCAGCACATAGTCCAAATACTAGATTTATATAATCATAATGCTTAGGTGGTTTTAAAATTCCTCAATCACAGAGAACAATAGGATAATCACTGGAATTATTCACTAGGACTAATAAATAATGTGTCCCCCATTGAACAGAATTTAGGTGGATTATTCAAATTGTACATAGTTTGTTTGTAACTGATTATAACATTTACTTGTAAAAGCTATGACTCCAGATAATTGTAATATATATGTAGTCCTATTTTAGTAGTTTGTTTGTTACTATAGTGAGTGTATTGACATGCTTGCTTATTTAATATTGATACTCACTTGAAGGTCTTCATAGCTTTTAATATCGAAACCTTTAATTGCCTCATTGAATTCATCAGTGTCACCATCTTCTATCATATCCTTAAAAAAAGACAATACATTTCAATTTAAAAGAAACAATAAACTTATTAGATATTTTAATAAATTTGTTATAATACCCACAGACCTGTATGGAACACAACTGGTTAAGCATTTCCTCATCTTCTGCAAGGCGTTCCTCTCGTTTCCTTGCATTTATTTCGAGTAACCTGCGCGCCATTTCCTTCTTGCGTTCTTTTTGTTGCTCAGCTAATGAAAAAAAACTTATATTAGTATATTGAATATTTTTTTTATGTAATTACAATGGCAAAAAAGTTGGCCTGTTTAATGGTAACTGGAAACTATCACATACATGAACACTACAGATTTCACATTATCAGGTGACACTCCTATTGCTAATATGTTGCCATATACCAGAGGACTAAGATATCATGCCTCTTATACTGTAATTTCATTAAATTAATTGTTTATCATACATTATATGAAAAACATGGCAATATGTACAACAGGATAGAGCCGAAAATAACTATTTCGTTGTAATCCTTTTTACAGGATTACAAATTCACAGATAGTGTATTCCTAAATTGAAAAAAAGTATGCAGAAATCTCTAACTAATAATTAACTTGAAGCTCATACCTGTAAGACCAGATGAACTTGAAGACTGTATAAATGGCAGTTGTATTCTCTTAACATTAGCTTCGTAATAGTCAGGGTTAGCCCATTTCCTTATCTCCTCTTGATAATCTAAAGCTATTGAAGAATGTTCTTGTAAAATCTCTTCAATCCGAGACATTGTGATAGCATTTACATGAACTGGATATTTCAGTTGAAGTAATTTATGCAAGTAAGATATCATCTCACTGCCACCTAAATATAAAACAAAGAATTATTCATTCTATTGTGTTTATCTGCATATCTGTTACCTTAATTATTTTCTTTTTATCCTATTTTCCTAAAATTAAATATTTAATCTATATACTTATAACAGATTATGTATATATAAATTATTTTAAAAAAATATCACTAATTAAATGGGATTACTAATTGTAAATACATTAGTACTTTGTCATAGTAACATTATTTACAGTTCCAAACATTTGTAGCCATACAATAACTGTACAATGGTAGTGTTATTGTTATTATTTACACTATATGTGTTATTTACATTTTTTTAAGGTGTAAAAATATTAACTTGTATAATGTAATTAGTAATTAAATGTCTATGTAATTACTAATTACTAATATTACATTGTTATGCATTGTCTGTTTCATGGTAAAACACTTAGATTTAAATTCAGTGCAATTAATGTACCCAAATTGATTCTTCTGGCATGCTCTACAATGACTTTTCCTCTGATGACCGGTGTTATATGTATAGTATGATAGCCACAGTTGATGATGAGTGCTGTGTCACCAATATCATTCTTGTACATGCTGAACAAAGAGTCAACACCATAACTGACAGCTGGAATGCCATATCCCTCAAACAGCAGTTCTGACATCACTGTAAACATTTTGAAGTGATTATAGTAGATTTCTCTTAGTAGCATTGACACATACTCGAACTTGTTCATGCTAGAATTGGGTTTCGTGTGAGTTAGAGTATGCATATTATGATAGAGAAAGAGGAAGCAAACAATATCATATAATTGTGAGTACATTTTTTACCACCTAGAATAGTATGCATCTCTATTTGTATGATGTGTAAAGGCAATTATTGAGTTGATAAGAAAATTTGAGGGTTCTGACACATAAATATTATTATTGCCCTCTTTTACAGTCATACTCAGTGATAAGACTTCCAAAATAGTCAAGATTCACAGGAACTACAATTTAATAATATTAATTTATATTTATTATAACATACTTACATTGTCTGCAGTAATTTGGTGTTACAAATGCTTCTGTCATTACAATTGGATGTGCCACATGACCATCACTATTTATACCCAAATGTGAAAAGATGTAATCCAATACTTGCTCTTGAGCCTCAAAATGTGTTACTACATTTTTGTCAAACTGAGTTTTAAGTTGAAACCTGAAATCATCTATAATTTATTCTCTTAATTCACTAGAGATACATATGATGATACATTTCTTGAACATAAACAATAACAAGCATACTAAGTATATAATAGTATTTTTAATACATTGGGAATTAAAAATATTATTTTATGAATCTAGTTATGTCATTTGACATCTATGTTACTGAATGTATAATAAAAGCATATCAATTAATCAAGGTATGCTACAAATAATGAAAATCATAGGCAGGGTACCTGGTTTAACCTCTTCTTACCTAACAGCTTCAATATTAATTATATCATTTCCAATTTGAATTGGTGGTGTTACTGGAGGCTCAGCATCCTTTTTACATCTATCTTTCCTTGGCCGGGCTATCAGGTTTTTAAATATCAATTGAGGCTCATCGTATATGGACCAACCAACTCTGCATTGATACGAACCTGTGATTTATTCATTTAATATTATAAGTACTTAGCCAACTTGTAGTGTAGAAATAGAGAGCAACTCAAATCTATTACATGCACAGTTTGGACACAATTCAAGTAACAACAATATTAAAGTATTTTGAAAATACGCGAACAAACCGTTATCAATAACTAAAGGGACATTGCCATACTGCAAAGTACTGTTGTATTCATGAACAACATCAGGAACAGTTTTGTAATCTTTCAACACTAAAACATCATCCATTATTTATAATTCTACTATATCACTACTATATTTAAAATAATAAGTTGAGAACCAAATAAAAACAAAATAAATGAAATGAATGACAATAAACTAAAATGGAGAAAATGTCAATTTGACTTTGACAGTCACGTTATGACAGCCTTTAAATTACGATTCGTTTAAAAAAAAGATCGATTAATCAAAGTCTCATAAATCTAGACCCGTATCTTTTGAATCTAGATTTTTAATTTCATAAGAATTACATGTTTCGTATTTGTAATTTTAATTATATGGGAGCGAAGTTTTTTTCGAAAATGATATATATTTTAATAGATTTATAATAATAATAATAATAATAATAATAAATATCTCCTACAGAAAGCCACAATATTAAATACCTGTCGCATAACCCGAAAATTCTTATCCTCCTCAACAATATCTTCACCCAGCACAACCTCTCCCACACTTGGCTAAGGCCCGTGTAGGTGAGTATTACCTTCTTTTAAATCGATAAAAGAAGAGAAAAAAAGGGAAAAAAGAATAATAATAATAATAATCATTTATTCAGCATGCAGAGTAAAAAAGAAAACTTAAATACTAATAATCGTCTATGCTGAAAAGGCTTCCACTCAGCTGGTGCCGCAGCGTGTCAGTACAGCGCTGATTTTCAGTGGAGCCACTTGAAAAAAAGAAATAGCATTCGTGATGAATTTAAATATATAAAATGAAGAATGAGTTAAATGGATGAATTATAAGTATGTGTGATAAATATAAGAAAAATATATAAGGATAAAAAAGTGTTGATAGAAAGACTTTTGTGTAATATAATATAGCTTGAATATATTTATTTATTTAATCAATATATATGTATATATGACTACTGTATTTATCTGCCACGTTTAAGATTTTTGTACCTTAAATAAATATTTTTTAAAATGATGTTTAAAAGACGAAACTGACTGAATAGTATTTTGAATCGGGGGTGGTAAATTGTTCCAGCATTTCGTGGCAGTGTATTTAAAACTACCACGAAATGTTGCAGTTTTATATTGAGGACAGATCATGTAGGGATGTGACAATCGATGAATTCGCGTAGAAAATGAAAGTGTTTCAAATAAATATATTGGTTTCTTATACTTCACCACTCCAAAAAGCAATACTGCAAAATGTAGAGATCGCCTGTGTTCCACTTTTAGCCAGTTGCATTGATTTATATAGGGAGTAACATGAGCACGGGGGGATACAGAAAAACAGAAGCGTGCGCATGCATTCTGCACGCGCTGTATTATTTTTTTTGTACGATTTAATAGACAGCCTCCGTAGACTGTGTCCGCATAATTGAGCTTAGACAGAACTAATAAATCACAGAGTGATACGCATTTCCTCACTTAGAAAATCACGTACTTTATAGAGTACTCCTAGTCTATAGTAACAGTTTCTTATGGTTTCATGGATATGACCCTCGAAGTGTAATTAGCCATCCATAATGACACCAAGATTTCGAACCTGATCAACAAATATTAGAGGATTTTCTGAAATTGACAGTGTAGGATTTCGTACCATGATCTGATTTATTTTATTTTTAGTACCAAGTACTAGTAACTTTGATTTTGTTGGATTTAAAGTAAGACCATTTGATACAGACCATTTCGCTATATTGTTCAAATCACTGATATATCAGGATTAGGATTATAGGGATTTATAGATTTATACCTACATTTGAAGAACATCTGCGAATAAAAGATATTTACAAATTTTAATAGAATTAATTATGTCAGCTGTGAAGAGTATGAACAATATCGGCCCTAGAATAGATCCTTGCGGAATACCTTTTACAACTTGAGCAGATGATGATGTTAAAGTGGGAGAATTTGTAGTTGTCAAAATTCAAAATATTCAAAATTCAAAAATCATTTATTCATGTAGGACATTTTAGCCGCTTATAAACGTCAAATTTTTACATTATAATTTTATTTTTTCCCTACCATCCAGTTCGGTATATAGATCCAATTGAGAAGAACTGGCAAGAAACTCAATTGAATTACTTTTTTTTTTTAAAGCCAGTTTATTTACAATGTATATTTATATAGGTGTCTATGTCTAACATTAAATGAAAATTCAGTGCATGAACAACTATTGCCATGCACACTCGTCATTCAAGTAATCGTTTAGTGAGTAATAGGCTTTGCTCAGTAAATATGATTTAACAGATGTTTTGAATTTATTTAAGGGTAATTCCAACATATCCTTTGGTATCTTATTGTAAATTTTTATACCTATTCCCATAAAAGACCTATTAACTTTTTCTAAACGATACTTGGGACAACAAGTTTGTCTTTAAATCTAGTATTAATATTATGAATATTGCTGTTTTTTGGAAATAAGTCAAGATTTTTATGAACATGTAGGATATTTGAATATATAAATTGAGAAGCAACGGTGAGAATATTTGCCTCTTTGAATTTCTCTCTTAATGAGTCACGGCTCTTCATACAGTAGATCGCTCGAACGCCACGTTTTTGTAATATGAATATATTTTTAATATCTGCCGCTTTTCCCCATAATAATATTCCATAAGAGAGTAAACTATGAAAATAACTAAAATAGACTAATCTAGAAATATCAGTATCAGTGTTGTTACGGATGGAAGGATGGACTGTATTAAGGCTGGTTAAAAATGAGACACGTTCTTAGGTGAGGTAAAATAGGTGTAATCAGCTCGCTAGCAAAAATATAAAGACCATATGGCATAAGAAAACAAATAGTATATAAAAACAGAACGTCAAAATATAAAATTCAAATATATATAAAAAACATAAAAACTATCAAAAAGGTTGCCATCGGCAACATCCTCCCCAATTTAGCTGATGGGCAACCGCACCAGCTTCTTGGGAGCTCCACGCAGTGTTCCGTCAGTGGTTTGACATCGATGAGACTTGCCAGGGTGGACCGCCATCGTTGCCAGTGTGGACCGCCGAAACTCTGCCTTTAAGTCAGCTACCTCGAGGAAGGTTGCTCTCTAAAATTAGGACCGACCGACGTCGACGACGCGTAGGAGACTGGGCATTTCTATCAGTCCTTGATTTTGGTATTAATTTAAATGTTCTTTAAACCAGGTTGTCATTATCGGAGGACAAACTGCGGAATTCATGGAAATGTGCGTTCGTGGTTGGTCCTCCTGAGATATATCCTCTATAGTAACATAATTATTACTGACAGAGGACCCCGACACACCCGACAAAAAATGTAAAAGTTTATGATGCTTATATTTACACCCAGAAATATTACATAAATCCCCTCTAGTACAATATTTATATCTGTGTAAACCTTTCTTAAGGCATCTGTTACAAACTTTTTCATTTTTACACCACTCAAACCTCTATTGAGGTGTGAGAGAAAGAAATTTTTTACATATTTCTATTACATGACACTGCTGACAATAAAGACATGTTAATGTCTTGTCATGCGTATTATCATCATGTACTAGAATGTGATGAATTTTTCATTTTAGAATTTATTTTAGAATAATTATCGAAAGAACTACTAGGATGATTATTAATTATGCCAAATTGTAATTGAATATTTACCTCCCTAGTCAAAAAATCAGCTAAAAGTTCAAGTTTTGTTGGTGAACCTACAGACGTGTTGGAGGTGAAATTTTTGTTGGAAATAATAAAATCTATCCACCGTGATCTCATAAGTGGAGTCAATTTGGATAATACAGAGTTAAAAAGTTCAGGAGATTCTAAATAAGCTTTGTTTTTCAGTAATTTTATAATTTCGACACTGTTACGAACGCGACAAGCAAGGATATGTAAATCTCTCGATTCTGTGCCTAGCCTAGGAAGGGCTCGCAGTGTATTTACTTCATGTAGCACAATGTACTCTGGCCGAGCGAACCGCATTTCTAGCTGTGCCATGACTGGCGCAGGGTCGTGTGCTGTTACCAACAATACAGCAACGGCTTCTCGTGCACTACCACGTAACGCCATGCCAATACGTGCTAAGTTTTCAGCAGGCGTGTACGAAGAGGCTGACTCTTCGAAAACTTTTTTAAAAATAAACCAATCCAAATGCTTACCATCATAGGGAGGCAGGCGATCATCCCTGTGTTTTGAAGGACGGTTAACATTTGTTAAAGCTGTTATTGCATTTGCTAATAAATGAATATCTGACTTACCTGTGTGTGTATTATTTTTACAACAAATATTACTTTCCGGGTGCTGATTTGTAGTTACTGTTCCCTGGGGACACTGGTAACTACACTGTGCTGATGATTCAGCCAGCACCGCATTAAGAGGACCTGAAGATTGAAGATATGTAGATTGGGGCTCTGAAAAAGTCAAATGTCTGTTAGTGAATTTATTAGAAACAGAGACGCGATCCACAAGGGCAGACGTACCGAGGCGCGAATAAGCGACCTCCGAAACAGGGGTACGACTGCGGGGATACGTTGTAGAAGGTAGGAAATCCACAAGAGCCGAACTACCGGTGGCATGAATACCAACAGGGGCAGTACGACTGGGAATGACCACCTCCCTAGGCTCCGTTGCAACATCCACACATTTGTTGAGCCAACCCTGGACATATTTAATAGACGAACGTACGCTACGTCGACTGTTACGTTCATCTTCAGCTTCAATTTCAGCTAGTTGAGCAGATAGCTCCAATTCGAGTACCTCACGTTCTCTTTGTTGTAATTGTCGTTCTCGCTCCGCTTCTCTTTGTTGTATTTCACGTTCACGCTCCGCTTCTCTCGCAGCTGCGGCTCGTTCCAAATCCAAAAGCTTTTTCGCATGTTCGACTTGAGCGGCTACGGAACGGGCTCTGACAGTGGAAGATGAAGTTGTGGAACCTGAAATAAAAGAGCGTGCTGCGCCCGCTGTTTCGAGCGGCGCGCTAGGTTCCTCACCAACTATATCCGCGGAGGATTCCGCTCTTGGCTGACTACTCTCACCCTTCGTTTGGGAACGTGTCTTCATGTCGGAAAAATTTAGAATTTTTATTATAATGTAATACTAAAGACGGCGAAAGAAAGGACCACAATGTTACGGATGGAAGGATGGACTGTATTAAGGCTGGTTAAAAATGA